CTCATGATAAATAGACTTATATTTGTGTTAAAGTGTGAAAAGAGGTTTTCAATTGATTAACGTGAATTTTTGGGTAATTATGTGATTTTATATGATTTTTACAGTCTTACTTTTGAGATAAATGAAGAACAAGAGATAAAATTAAAAATATGGCAAAATGGGGGGACTCGCAAGTGCAGTCAGGGAGTAGCCGCGAGCCCCGGCTTGGCTTGGACCGATAAGGCACGTGTGTGCCACTCCCCTTCCACGTCACCGGTGGCCAGCCAACTGTGAGGCAAGGAGTGGTCGTACACGCGAGAGAAGGGACTTTGCTTACAAAGCTAACATTATTATATATTTGCCCGAAAAATCGGTGCACAACCGATGTGGGACTAAACCCGCGTCACACCTTCCTCATAAGAGGCGAGGCGACCGGCGCAGGTTCGAATCCTCCCAGAGTCAAAATTCATATATTTTTATCTGATTATCGTGACTTTCCTGCAGATCGCCGGCGAAGGATTAAGTAATGAGAATTGTTGGATCAACAGCGAAAATCTCGTCAATGCGCTTCGCAGAGTATTGCTACTAAAATTGCTAAATGATTCGCAATAAAAGGATCACGAATCCATCGAGTAAATCATCTCCGATTGATTGACGAACAAGGCGTTGTCGGGAAGAGGGCGATCCATCGAGAGACGAGTCACCACCTCCTGAGAGTGTACTAGATGCGATGAAGAGCCTCCTCTTGCTGCGTGGGCCTGAGGATGAAGTTCCCTGACATGTGCCCCACCTCCATCCAGCTCCTCTCCGTCGGGTGACAGCCGCCGAAGAGCCACAAAGTCGTCATTTTTCCGCTCCACCGGGTGACAGCCGCCAAAGATGACTCGACGACCCATTTCAGTGATCTCTAGACTTCGCAAGAAGATCTAGAGATTGCCCACGTCGTCTTTGTCCAAGGAGAGCCTTCGAGGCTGTGGATATTGCACAACGATCCTCCCGAATGCTCAGGATTCCGACGCATCGTCATCGCGACGCTGGAACTCTATTTTCCTACTTTCAACTTACTTTACGTTTCATTTAGTGATAGTTTTTGTGATTTTAATTTACCAAAATATACTTTGTTCTATTACAATTCTTCTGACTTTTATAGATATTAATTTGATCAGTTAAATCGTCTGTAATTGCTTACGTAAGAATCGCCAGGTGGAACTTTGTTTCTGCCTGATTCGCATTCGCCAGGCGCTGACATCATCATGACGTCCGCACCCTTACTTCCCTTTTTCGTGAATTTTAAATAGATTTCCTTTTCATTTCCTAGTATAAAATTCATAGAAAATTGTATGCATTGAAAAAAAATATGAATAATTACCATATATTATATTACATCCCTGTTATCGACTTGGAAAATTACCGCTATTTTTAGAAGTTTTATTGAATTATAATCAATATATTTATTCATAAATACTTCTAAATATCCAAAAAATCATATTTTCTAGTTTTATAAATTTAATATTTGCGTGATTTAATATACAACGACTGAGTCATGTCAAGCAGCTAAGGGTGACCGATTGAGGGCACATGTGTGTCACTCCTTGTCCACATCACTAGTGGTCTGTCGTGCGTGGGACAAGGAGCGATCGTACACATGTGAGAAATGGACCAATTAATTCTTAAATCTCGTATTACTATATGTTCATCTCAAAATTTGACGTATAACTAATGTGGGACTAAATCAAGGATCATTGAATATTTTTGATGATTTTAATACCCATAATACCCCTTATTTACAACAACGAGATATCACAATGATGTACTATATAAAGATATTTGATAACTTATTTTTCTCTCTCTCATACTGACATACTACTGACGAGGGTTTGAATTCTACTAGAGCTAAAACTCATATTTTTCTCTGATTAAATTGTACTTTTTATGTAAATTTTTGGTGAACAATTAAGCCACCATAATCACTTAATCATTGGCAAAAATTTCATCAATGCGATTCGCAGAGTATTGTTACTAAAATTATTGAACGATTCGTGATAAGAGGATCGCAAATCTATCAAGTAAATCATCTCCAATTGATCGGCGAGCAAGTTGTCGTCGGGAAGAAGACGATCTGCCGAGAGACGAGTCGTCACCTCTTGAGAGCATACAAAATATAATGACAAGTCTTCTCTTGCTGCGTGGACCTAAGAATGAAATTGCATGACATATGCTCCACCTCTATCGAGCTCAACTCTGTCAGGTGATAGTTGTCAGAGAGTCACAAAGTCATCATTTTTCCGTTCTACTAAGTGATAGCCATTGAAGACAATTTGGCGACCCATTTCATTGATCTTTAAATTTTGTAAGAAGATCTAGAGATTGTCCACATCGCCTTTGTCTAAGATGAGCCTTCGAGGTTGTGAATAATGTATAATAATATTCTCGAATACTTAAGATTTTAATACATCATTGATGTATGGCTACCGCAATACTGGATCTTTATTTTTTTTATTTTTAACTTAATCTTTACTTCATTTAAAAATAATTTATATGATAGAAAAATTTTAAACTACTCTTCATTCAATTACGATTCTTTTGGCTTTTACATATCTTAATTTAGTCAATTAAATCATCTATAATTACTTATGTAATAATCATCAGGCAGAACTTTATTATTGCTTGATTCGCATTCATCAGGTGCTGACATCATCTTGACATCCACACCTTTATTTCTCTTTTTTTGTGAATTTTAAATATATTTTACTTTCATTTCTTAGTCTAAAATTCATAAAAAAATATATTGTTTGAGACAAATTCTGAAATATTACCCTATATTATATTACATTCATGTGATCGACTGATAAAATTTTCACTATTTTAGAACTTTTATTGAATTATAATTGATATATTTATTCAGAAATACTTTTAAATATCTAAAAATTACTATTTTGTAGTTTTATAAATTTTAAATTTATGTTATTTATTATACAACGACTAAGTCACGTCATCCACCCAATGTCAACAAAAACAAACAGATGCTCCTCAAAAAAAGTAAATAAATTATTCATATTATTTGATAAATGTAGAATTAAAAATTTTAAAAGTAAATTGAAATTTAAAATTATATAACTATAAAAGAATTCTTGATATATGAAATTTTTAATCAGTAAAATATTAATATATAATGAATAAATCATCAACTGATGAAAATTTAATAATAGGAATAAGGTTGAAATAAAAAGGAAATAGTTTCAATATAAGAGAAATCAGTTTCACTATTAAAGTGCCTCCTTTTCACAATACATTTACATTCCAGAATTCATGTCATGTTTTGAACGAAAATTAATGAGTGCTATCACTATATAAGTCGATATAATTTTCTATCCTAAAACCTGAACAAGCTGAAAAATATATAAAATCCACGTTGATTTTTATACTAATTAAATACTAATTGCTGCTTAGCCCAAGTTCCCTTTGACAACATGTTATCCAAGGATCGTAGTGAATTCAAGGCACCTTTTCTTTCATTTGAAAATATATAATAAAAATTATATTTGTGAAGGATTATAACTCTATTAGTATGACATGATATGATCTTGTTTGAATAATTGATCTCAAACAAAGTTCAGTTTCACGCTGGTTCAAAAATTGGCCCACTAATATAATGTTTGGCTTATGGGTAAACATGGTTGGAAGAAGTTGTTTGAATGAATACTAATTGAAGTTTCAACGCTCACGTGCAGGCAATATGAGTTGACTTGATATTCAATTGAGCTTTTGCAGATCGCTTGGTTTGGCACTACAAACTCCACCGTGTTAATTATGGAAGCTACTTTGACTTATGATGCTTATAGGGGAGATTCTTCGCCTCTTGCTCACTCTCACTCTCTCTCAATCATTCTTTCAGCGGTTTCTCGCACGCAGTGTAAAATCTATTAAATGCTGATAGCGAAATGGTTTCTCTTCGGAAACCTCTTAGAGTCTCTATCCTTCTGTAAGCAATCTCTCCCACTCGGTAACTTCGCCGCCTTTCTTCTCTGATCAGACGTATTCGTCCATTTTCTCCTCGAGGAAGGGGAAGCAGAGAGGCGTGGAAGGGGGGAGAGGTGAGGAAATGAGATCGGTCACCCTGGATTTCTTCTTTTCTACCTCTTCCACAACTCCTGTGCCTCATCCCGGTTGTCACCCCAAGAATCTTTCCCTCATCCCCTCTAGTTCCGGACGCATCGCTGCCGGAGGCAAGGGGCGTGAAGCTGTTTGTCTCCCCCGGTCCGCTCATTCCGCTAGCACCCGGAGACGTGGACAAGGTAGAGTTTCCACAACGATCGTTTCCCAAACCACGAAGGGGTTTAATTTTTCGAAAATTGGAGCATTCTTTTTCGATGGAAATCGGTCGTGCGAAGGGTTGGTTGGTGAAGGGGGATCCCGGACTTGATTGCATTCGAGGGATATCCTCCGTCTTCCGTTCACGGCAGTGCTCAAGTTGGTCATTTCCTATTTCCCAGCGATATAACTGATAGACGCCGAACGCTCGCTTCATTTATTCCTGGAGTATATGATTTTTGATGAATTATCTCCCGCTATGGCCGTTTCCAACTCGATGATTTGCCACTTCTCTCATTCTCTTCTAAACTCCGTAGTCTCGTTTTGTTTCCTTGACGATTCCCCTTTTCGGAGGTTCTTCCATCTTCCGAGCCGTCGACGTGGCGGATTTCTTTTGTTGGCTGGTATTATCCGAGTGAAAAGACACAAATCCATGGAAATTGCAATATCACGACCTTCGCATTTTTGGGAGATTGATTCAACTCTATTCTTTCTCGATAGGAGTGCGTCGGGCCAGCCCAGGCTTCGATGTCTTCCCCTCGGTCTGCTCTGATGTTGTGGTTCGCGAGGCACGTCTGGAGGACTGTTGGCAGGTGGCCGAGACACATTGCAGCTCCTTCTTCCCAAACTACACATTTCCCTTGGATCTGGCGCTGAGGATCGATCGGTTCGTGGCTCTGCTCTCGGGATTTTCCGTCCCATCGGGATGCATGAGATCGTGTCTGGTTGCCGTAACTGCCCGCGGGACGGACGACAACCTCTTCATTGGAAGTGAGGGCTTCATCGAGGGGAAATTAGGCTTCAAACGAGGAACGGTTGCTGGAATCTTGACGGTCGACACAGTGGCCGACTATCTTCCGAGGAAAGGTCCATTCCGATTAAGAAGGTAACTATCGAGTGCTAAGATTTCCTTCATTTGTGAGATGTAGAAATTGAAATCACAACTGCACTGTTATACCGTCCTCAGGCTATTCTACATTTTATACCCATAAGCTCACCTCTTGAAGTTTCTTGTGCCCGTTGGGTGCGGATTTGCTTTTAGCCGATGAACTGAAGATCGATTGGCTTATAATATCATCGCTGGTCGTGCAGAGATTTTTTTTTCGCTCTTTGTATGACTCCATTTAATATGACTTTCGGGATTTATTCTCGAAGAAGATGATAAAGATGATAGCGAAATCTATCAACGTCAAAATCAGCAGATATCCCCCATCACTCTGGGCAATTAGACAGGCAAACAATGCCCTTAGCAAGCAGATGATTCCCTCTAAAAATCAGAAATTGTTTTGGACGCTAGCCCTGTAATTCAAGTAAACATTAACACCACTGTCCATGTGTATAAGGAGTTACATGAAAGGAGGGGTCTCTGTCGCAGCTTGAATGCTTACGTCAGAACTGATAAGTGAACGTTAGAGCAATTTGGCATTTCAAACTGAAGGTTGTCTGTATTAGTACTCAATTCTTCTAGACAGTTTTTGTTTAGTTATTATTCTACAGAGTATAAATATTCGGATGAGCACGGATGATGAGAGACGTATGCATCACAGTGCCTTCTTCAGAATATACATTCCCCTGGAATGTACAATCAAGAGGGGAGCGTGTGCCAAGGTTTGGTATATCATTTTTTCTTTAAGCTGTTTATTGCTATGGTGAGTATGAACTTTGATTTCGTTATTTATTTGATATCAGAATTGCTGGGATCTTATTGGCTGGGGTCCCTATCCGAATGTTCTTTGTATACATCATTAAGCGGAACGTAATGGATAAAGTATGGAGTATGAAGTTCTGATTTGTGTATATCTTTTAGAAGAATCCCAACCGACTATGAAAAAATATTGCCGGGTAGCTTGGATCCGTGTAGACTTTTAATGGCAGTATGCTCATCGCTGTGACAACTGGATTGGGAATGCTGCAGATTATTGTGGATAGTTACCGAAAGGAAATTTCTGATTGTGAGGCTCTTCGCTAGGATAAATCAGTGGCCTAACTCTATGCACAGGAGCTACTCTTTTCTTTACCTTGGGCGATTGTATCTCATGAATGATTGTAGAGTTGAACTCCTTACATCTCTCTTGTGAAACTATCAAAAAAGGCATGATAAAAGAAAGTTTAGTTGAACTCAATGCTGTATATTGAATGGTGCTTTGGAAGCCGTCTGTGAATGCGGCGGACGTTAGACTAAAATATTACTTTAGTTTTATAGACTGTCCATAGGGACATACTTTATCCTTTGGTTTCACTTCATACATGGCATTTTATTTCTGCCTTTCACTGGGTGTTTTAGATTCACGGTTGTATCTTCATTTATGTTTTTGCGAGTTTGATGCATTCTTCTCTCGTGATTGGCATACGGATTTCTTTGCCCCAGATAAGATAATATTCTGAAAAATTTCACATCAACATCTCGATAGAATCCAACCGCCATTCTGCAGGCATCTTAAAAGAATAGAAAAGTTCAAATGCGCAGTGAGGATGATGACGATGATATGTGCTATTATTTTTAATTTACTGCAGAACTGGAATTGCGTACATATCCAATGTTGCTGTTCGGGAGTCCGAGAGACGAAGGGGGATTGGCAGGCAGCTTGTTAGCAAGGCGGAGGCCTTTGCCCGTCGCTGGGGATGTAGAGCTATTGCACTGCACTGCGACGTGACCAATGTGGCGGCCGTGAGGTTGTACAGGAGCCAGGGGTACAAATGTATCAGGATCCCAGAGCACGCTAATTGGCCGCAGCCAAGAACCAGCCCAGACACGCGATTCTATCTTATGATGAAATTGTTGGCCACTCAACAGTCCGGCCAAACCAGATAATGAAACGGGCACCGGTGCTGCCCCGGTCTATCTGCAGAGCGACTATGTAAAAATCATGCATGCGGATTGAGGCTTTCTTGTCGACCATGCGTGTAAATTCTGTAAAAAAGCAGTGTGCAATCGATGTTCCTCTGTTGCTCCCTCCCCCCGGAGCAAAGAGTAGGCAATTGTTCTCCTATCGGGGTCGCAAGTACTCTCATTCGACCAATGTACATCATAACTGACGACAGAAAACTACCCTTACCCCTCAACTGTGTCGATGCGCTCATCCTAACCGTTGAACTGAGCGCGATGCCGATAAATTATAAGATCAGCACTTTCGATTTCCTCGGGTGTTCCTGATTCGACGGGTGGCGGCGGAATATCTGAGGCTCATCGCATTCGGATCCTGCTGGTTGATATCATCTGCATGGATGTGCAGCTGGAACGGTTCGAAGCAATCAGTCTGCGTCGCAAGGGACCTAACCAACGCCCCTCGGGCGTGGACCTCTGCTCACCAGTAATCCCCGCAGGAACACTCACCGTCCTTGAAATGGTGAAAGCGGTTAGTGTCCCTCACGAATATTTCTCTCATTTCGAACCTCGATATGAACTTGACTACGGAGTGGCAGTCGATGCATATCCGGAGGTTCTTGATGACTCGCAGGGGAGTTCCAGGTGGAGTGCTCAGCAGGCCCAACGCCACGGCCAACTTCTCGCTGTGCCCACATAGGATATGCTCCTTATCCTGCTCCTCCACATCTTGCAAGACCAGATCGGTGCTGGGTTGGTGACCCAGCTTCCTCATTTCCACGCTGAGCTTCTCCAGCCGCTCCAGAATCTGGGTCATCTGAGGATGCGACTGATCCCCGGCGAGAAGCGTGTGCAACCTGCTCTTGAGCTCAATCCAACTGTAGCCTGGGTTCTTCTTCAAACCCATCGCCCTCATCATGTCCCTTACTCCGTCTACACCACCCCGCATGCCTTTGGCTGCATAAATGTTGGAAAGAAGAACGTAGTTTCCAACATTACCGGGTTCCAACTCGAACAGCTTACGCGCTGCGATCTCGCCCAGCGCCACGTCCCCATGGAGCTTACAGGCGCCTAACAATGCCCCCCACACGCATGCATCCGGCTTCAGTGACATCTTCTGTGTCAGGGCGTAGGCCCGCTCCAACTTCCCCGCGCGGCCGAGGAGGCTAACCACGCAGGCGTAATGCTCCATCCTCGGCGCAATCCCGTGGTCCTCAGACATGGTCTCAAAGTAGCGCAGGCCCTGTTCCAGCAGCCCTGCTTGGCTGCACGCGGCCAAGAGACACGTGAAGGTCACCGAGTCCGGTTTCTGCGCCCTCATCCGCATTAAGTCGAACAACTCTACGGCCTCCCTCGCCTTCCCGTGCATTGCGTATCCTCCCAGCATTGCGTTCCAGGAGACGACATTCCTCGAGGAGGGCGCGGCGGCTTCGAACACTCGGCGAGCGTCCCCGATTCTGCCGCATTTGGCGTACATGTCCACCAGAGAACTGCCGACGTACACGCCCTCGGACATTCCGTTCCGGATAGAGAAGCCGTGGACGGACCTGCCGTGCCCCAAGGCGGCGATATTCGCGCAAGCCGGCAAGACGCAAGAGATTGTGACCGAGTTGGGCCTGACGCCGGCGGCTTGCATCTCCCCGAAGAGGTCCAACGCTTCGGTGTCCTCCGCATTCTGGGAGCAGCAGGCTACGATAGAGGTCCAAGAGATGACGTTCAGCTTCACCCCCCCGTCCCGGAACTCCCTAAACGACCTCAGGGCCTCGTCGGCTCGGTTGTTATGTGAGAGCCCCGATACCAGAGCATTGCAGGCACCCACCTCCATCTTCCGACCAATCCCACCGAACGCCCGCAGCATCTCTTCAACAAGCCGGCACTTGCCGTACATGGCGACCAGCGCAGTCACCACACAATCGTCAGACTCCAGGTTACACTTGATGATATACGCATGCGCCTGCATGCCCGCCAGCCCATCCTCCAAATCAGCGATAGCCGGGAGCACGCTCGAGACGGTGGAGCCGTCGGGTCTGGAACCTTCCGAGTGCATCTTCCGCAGCGCGCGTGCAGATTCCCTGGTAAGCCCGCTGGTGCTGAACCCCGCGATCATCCCGTTCCAGGTGACCCGATTGGGTTCCACCCCCGACGCGCGCATCAGGTCGAAGGTTCTCAGCGCCTCTGCGACGCAGCCGCTCCTGGCGTAGCCACCAACCATGGCGCTCCAAGAGACCACGCTCTGATTGGTCATCCTCTCGAACACCCGCTGCGCATCTAGCGTCCGGTCGCATCGCAGGTACAGGTGAACGAGAGACGTCTGCACGAAAGAGTCCCCGGCACATCCAGACACCGACGCCAGAGCATGGACCTGCGGACCCGCGAGGTCCGATTGGAGGGCAGCGCAAGCCTTGAGGACGCTCGGGAGAACGAAGCGATCTGGCGGGAGGCCACCGCGAAGCATGCGTCGGAAGAGGGCAAGGGCACTGGAGGCATCGGTGACCGAGGGAGACTTCGACAGAGCAGAGATAAGGTTGGAGAAGCAGAACGGATCGGGGTCCCTGATATCATCCAGGAGGAGAACGGCATCCGGGAAGCGGCAGAGGCTGGAGTAGAAAGAGAGGAGCTTGCTTGCGAGACGATCGTCGCTCGCGAGGTCGCCGGACTTGAGGAGGAGGGCGTGGGACCGCCGGATATGCGCGTACGAGGAGTGGGGGAGGGAGGCCGTGGGGGAGGCGGCGGGATCCGCGGCTTGATATAGACTTCTCCTCGCCATTAGGCGGGTGGGTACGCCGCCAGTCGTCCTTGCCATTGTGCTGTTGAGGACTCCGTCGGTGCACGAGATCTCTCTAGCCTTCCAAACAAGGACCGACTCCCTCGATGGTGGAGCGGGAGTATGAACATTGAATAACAAGGCTTGATTCAAGATGTCATTGGTTGACTCTGGGGGGGGGGGGGGGACTGGGATATCGTTTGCCTTGCCCGGTCCGGTACCACGCGTTTCGGAAATAAAGCCCACTGGGTTTCCCGCGCATCCGCTCCCACTCTTAACCCCTTGATTTCCCGCCTGCATCTCTCGCGCTGGAAGCCCTAAGGGGAGTAGACGGGAGGGAACAGCTCACGTCGTCACTCATGGAGGAGGAGATAAAATCCGAGTTCCTGAGGAGCGGCTTCTCCCTCTCCGATGAAGGCCAGGTCCTTCAGCAATGTACCGTCATCTTCCTTCGTCTCCTTTCGCCCTTTATTTCCGCGGGAAAATTGACGGGGAAAGTTTGGGCGTCGATGTCAACCTTATTTTCGTCTTCCTGGCTTATACGTCCAGGTCTGGCGTTCTGCATCAACCACAGCCTTAGCCCGTCAGATCTCGTTTCTCACTGGGAGGTCTACTATCTTAACAGGTAAGCTCGAAGCCATCGCTTCCAAGGAGCCTATGTTGTTTCAAGTGAAGTGTACCATCTTCCTCCATTTTTGTATCCTCTCTAGACGCCTTACGTATACTTTATCGTTTAAACGATCTCATTTGACAGATAAGTAGGCTCTACTGTAGGTGCTTTTACATGGATTACCAGATGAATCTTGTGGCATTAGGGATATGCAGCCTAGCACATGCGACTCTCTTCATATGAAACTTAACTGCAGTTGTACAAAATATTCTAGATCTTCTGGCCACCAGACACGAGATATTCTGCAAAATTGTTTTCAGGCGCCTACAAGTGCAACTGGTCGTTACGTTGATCCCGTAGATGATGTGATGTTTGGTTTTTGTTGGGTAGATCAACGAATGGGATTCAAGCAAGCTATGTTACTCCTAGATAAGATGCGATCTTTGATTTGTGCTGGGTCGATTAACCCTCGAGGTTCAAATTGGGTCTGCTAATCCTGGATATGTGCTTTGATTTATGTTGGTCTTGAATATGGGATTCATGTTCATATGATGTGAATCTTGAAGGAAAATTACTTCGAGTGTCAGTACGACCTTGCCAAATTGCAGAATTACTTGTAGTTCTTTTTACCATCTACTCTTGTACATCATGGCCTTGGTTGACTACTGAGATGGTTATTTTGACAGTTTTTCGCTGGATCTTTTTTAATTTTTATTTCTTTTCCCATGCATTCCATGGAAAAAGGACCCACTGGGTAAGTGATTTGACAATGGAACATGCCATTGGGTAAGTGATTTAAACTTCAAGAAAACAAAACCGATATAATATATTACCCTATAGCACTTCAATAATTTTGGATGTTTTAGGCCCTTTATTTATCATTTCAAGAAAGAAAACTGTTGGAGTTGAGGGTTCTGATGGATTTTTTTCTTGATTAAGATTAAAAAATGGGATTAAATTTATGTTTAAGTAAAGTTGACTGCGAGCTAAAACGTTTTCCTAATGTCCAAATTTTATGCTAGTTATCATTGGTCGAGTGAATGGACCTTCAGAGAATCTGAATGGGAAATTAGGATGTCCCATTCAAATTTTCTATTAGAACCATCCGGTTTGAATCTGAATGGGACATCCTCTTTTACATTCAGTTTCACAAGTGTAGATATTTTCGTTGTAAATAATAGATACCTCCGGAAACTTTATCCTGGAAAACAGTTGACTGACATTCTGAGCGCAGGAATTGCAAGAGGGTTTCAACTTTCCATGAAGGAAAGATAGGATTAATAAAGAATCTCATGGCTCCATGTTGGAAGCTTGAATATGATTTTAAACCAAGTCAATCAACCAGTGTACAGCCAGTGTGCTTTGAGTTTTGTGACATTTGAATTAGGAACACAAAATTCCATCAAGTTTTCATGATTTACTGAGTATTATGTAAAACTTATTGAATCACGCTTATGTATCAGCAAAATTTACCTTGGGGGATATCTGCTAGTGCAATGAAGGTGGTAGAAAAGTTAATCAATAGATAATGGAAGATGAAAGAGAGAATAAGAGAGAGAGTAAGGAAGGACAGGGAGAAGAAGAGGAGAACAAGTGGAGACATTCAAGGGTGGAGGAGGATAAATAAGAGAATGAATTAACATTAAGCAGAAAGAAGCATGGTCCAACGTTTTTCTGATTTATGCTTCATGACAGTGTTATTTTTTTTCAATTCGCAATCCACTTGATCCCATTAACATGGTCGTGATCAGGATGAAAAATCTAACCAGCGGGTCCAATGTTCAATACTGACCGAACAAACAATAGCTGCACATCCAGATATTCTTTTTACAGCTAATTGCTGATGACTAGCACTTTCCTAAATTATTCTTGCAATCGTCCTGACAATTTTATTAATCCGATGTCAGTTAATTTGACCAGACTCAAAAATCAGCTGATTGCAAGTTTATTTATCCTTGTATTTATATGGAGTGTGTATCTGTTGTTGATATCATGTGTACCATATTTTTTCAGTGATGACTTTTCAAAGAAGCGCTCACCAACTTGTGAAGATGCCACATAAGCTATAATGAAATTTTCCTCTTCATTCTTGTGCTGAATCTTATACTTATCATACGTACTCTGTAACATGTATGATTTATTTGTGTAGTCGTGCTCTTATTTCAGGCAGCTAAGTGGGTTTAAGGTCGATTATGCTCACATGAATGGTTTTCAATCGCATATTCAGACTGAACAGAAGGAAAACATGATCAGGGAGGAGTCCAGACTGCACATTTACTCCAGTAATGATGTTGACATGTATGTTTTTAAATGCATAACATTTTATCGTTTCCGTCTGTTCTCTCCAGATTTACAAGATGGATAAAATTGAATCCATGTGTGCAGCTTTAACATCGATAATAACGAGTTCGAATTCCAAAACGTGTTATTCTGTAACAGGCTTGTCAATGATGAAGATATTGATGCCAAAGAGAGTTTTTCTAACACTCCAGTCTGTCCCTCTGAAGGACCATATATAGAATCAGACAATATTATGGCAGTATCTGGAACGAATAAGAGGTCTTCAGTCAAGGGATCTAGTGTCAACAGTAACCGCTTGACTCCTTTTGGGCAGAGGACTAAAAAATTTGTTGTACAGTTGACCTTTAATCCTCAGGATATGGAGAACGGAAAAAGGGAAGATTTTGAAATACAGGACGACAATTTCATTAGGAGGGTTAAACCTGGTGAGAGGTGTTCTCTACAAATTTATTGCTCACGGCCTACATCAGGATGTAGGTTCATGTATGATAAGATTGAAGAGAAGGTATTAACGGTCTGGGCGTTTTTCCTCTTCTAGAAAGTGCATAAGGTAATTGAGCTCTTGGATTTTGTAGTTTGTCTCACTTGAGAACCGCATCAGGAAGCACATATCTGCATTTGCTGCATCTGGACTTCATGGTGAACCTACAGATGCCAGTTTGGCTTCACAGGTGATTATTTATTTCATGTAAATGGTTATTTTTCTCGTCCATGGGTCATTTATCTTCTGTGAGATGAGCTAATCATCTGTTGCTTCAACCTTAGTCTAGAGACAGTGTTATTTCTGTTTCAATCATCAGACTTCGGCAGTGGACATACCGTTAGCTATTCCATCAACCAATTTATTAACTCTTAAATTCCTTTCGTTTTATGGTTTCTTTACAGTGTGATTTCTGTTTCGATGATCAGACTTCGGCAGTGGACATACCGTTAGCCATTTCGTCAACCAATTTAGGAATATGATATAGAAGGTCCACAGATCTCAACATAGTATTTATTATTATGTGGGCTTTTAGGATAGTTCTATATCTGAGTCAAGAATGGTTCTTCGTCCTTCATTCGTCGAGAATAAGAATATGATCCTTCTCGAGTTTGAATTTATTCGTTTGGCATCTGGGTCTTATATTAATTTTTTTTTCTTTTTTCTTAATCCCATTTCGATCTTTTGTTGGATATAATGAAACATTGGAGTTTGAACAAGGTTCCAACCAATTGTCTTTTCTAAAAAATGCTTTAATGACTTTGCATAACAGAAAAGCATATTTGCTGTTGGTATGGTTTGCTGTGATGGAGAAGGTCGGCTGAACAAGAATTCTGCGTTGTTGCAGGGCTGGTATAGAAAATCCTTTTTTTTTTACTGTTTAGTATATGGCGGTCATACAGATTCTCTTTGTTCATTTTACTTAAAACTAATTATTCTTATTATAGTTTGGAGCACTCTGGCGGGCAGCGTGTCCGTCTTGATCTCCACAACTTGGTCAACTTTTCCTTATTCCCGGGACAGGTAATTTATTGCTTACGCAGTAATTAATTTAACCAAACAACGCTAGCAACCACCAGAAAGAGGATTCATTGCGTCAACTGTTTGAATATGAATTCATGGACATTGTTTCTTTTTTCCAGGTTATTGGCGTTGAAGGGCATAATCCCAGTGGTCACTGTTTAATTGTATCCAAAGTGATTGATTTTCTGCCAATTTTTGTCCCGCCCATCACGCCTTCAGCGAAGAAACAAGTCATGGATAAGGAATATCTTCCTGGATCTATTATTGAAAAAACAAAACTTCTATCCTTGGTATGCGGACATCCTGCATTCTTCTGACTGATGGATTGATCGCCATCTTTATAATTGCAGTGTTTTGTAAACTATAAAGAGGCCAGTATATTGCCCGTTTTTGTTTATAATGAAATGTACTTCGAAGCTAGGTATTTTTTTGGAGCCTTTTTATATGCAGGTTTTTTATTCCTTTGATTTACCATCTCCTGGCTTGTGCCGCGCACTATATTGTCAATTCTCCACGGAATCTGCTTAGCCCTAGTAGAAATGGAGAGTTAGGACTCTCGGAATTAGACTTATGACTGATGGATTGAATTTCGGAAAAATGTGATCTATTAGTTTCTTGCGAATATGTGCAGATTATTGCGGCAGGTCCTTTTACAACCAGTGATAACTTACTGTTTGAGCCCTTGGCAGACTTACTTGCATATGCAAGTAGGAAACCACCACAATTGCTTATCTTGGTAAGAAGCTGTGCCAGCTTGGTGGAATTATCAACTTTATAACCTCGAGGACTAAATCTCCAATTGTATTTTCAACTTCCGATAGATGGGGCCTTTCATTGATTCTGAGCATCCCGAAGTTAAAAAAGGAGCTCCTAGTAAGAGCTTTGATGACATCTTTAACGTGGAAATTATTACAAGGGTTTGTAGTTTCACAATGAGTTGCTTGCTTCGAACTTCAGTTTATTTCTATCTTTACGGCTTCTACATTCTGAAACAGGACTGTGTCCTATGCTTCCCGTGTTTTTCTGGTTTCATTAATGCAGCTGCAAGATTACGTTGGATTCTTGGGTTCAGCTGTGCGTGTAGTCCTTTTGCCAGCCACACGTGATGCTAATCATGACTATGTTTATCCTCAGGTTATTTCCTTGTAGACTCTTTTCTATCATTTTCCTTTATTAGTGAAGTTCTGTGTCAGGATCACTTCCTTTGTGACATTGCCGTTGTCCTCTGAATTATTCAGCCTGCTTTTGAGATTTTTCCACATGAAGAAATCAAGAATCAGGTCCAATGTTTTTCTTCAATTTGAATAATGTCTCAGGGAAAAACCCTGACTTTAGTGTTGCGCTAATGGTTCTCATAGTCTTTGACCTATTTTTTATTTGCCAGATAGTCTGTCTTGCAAATCCAAGCATGTTTGGTGCAAATGAGGTAACAGATCAACATTTCTCTTTGTTTCCCTTACTCAAATGAGCGCGAATTAATGAACGATAATAGGTTCGTTGAACTAATGTATATAATGCGTGGTTCTGATCTTCGTAGTAGTGTTACCAGCCAACTCCATGAGGCTGGGTGATTCTCATTGAGGAGCAACTCCCTCACCATTATATGCAGTTTGCGGCTGAGTGATTTAACTATTATTGCCGATTTAACTCTGCGCCATCCGGGTGCTTCTTGTCTGAGCTTTACTTGATTTTCTGCGTCTTCTTTTCAATTCCAGTGTCTTATGAGAAATGTGTCTCCATATCATCGCTAGGTAAAAGAATAAATCCTCATTGGGGAATTCGTTTTCTTCAATTGGGTTCATGGCTTGAAATCGTAGTGGTGCTTCATTTTTTTTTGTTCTTTCCAGGCGTAAATCTGTGGCCAGTGTGGGCTCACTTTCCAACCTTGTATCAGGTAACTGTTGGCTGCAATACTGTGGATATCCTCAAACAGCTCAGTAGTGAGGAGATTTCAGTAATGTCACCTGATGTTTCGTCTGGAGATCGGTTGGGGCGACTTGCTGGTCACGTCTTGAGCCAGCGGAGGTAAGGTTTTTTGGTGACTCGCTTCGTGATGAAGAGAAGCGAGTGCCATGAACGCTAACACTCGACACTAACGGGACTTGACTGCCTGGGTTTGGACAGCTTTTATCCTCTGTACCCGCCCTCAGTCGACGTCCCCTTGGATCTATCTCTGGCTCCCGAAGCTTTGGAGATATCTCTGACCCCGGATATTCTACTGATGCCCTCGGATCTCACTCCTTTCGTCAAGGTAAATGTGAATTCTACTGGCCAGTCCTCGGCACAATGGCTTGATCTGCCTCCGTTAAAAGCTTTTTCTTTTTATGACCTTCATTCACAAGCCGGCTGACCGTGGCGTGGAGTCGTGATGTGTCCTAGTTTCTCGGCTCGCACGAGGTTTACCTGTTTTTCGAGAAGTCTTGCTTCTGGGACTCAACAGTGCAAGGCGATGCTGTTTCGATCGCGGCTGCCTCCGAGATTGAGAGGATGTTGGGGACAGCGAGTGGTTTAAATGCCGTTGGGTCTCGCTGCCCAAGTTTAAAGCTTCACCTGGGACTCACCGCTTTCTTTGTTGGCAATCCACAGGTGCTCTCCCTCGCGGAAAGGAGCGAAACCGGTGAGCCTGCGAGGTGCGTGTGTGTGAACCCCGGCAGACTAGCCAAGGGCATCGGAGGGGGCACCTTTGCGGAGCTTTTGTACGACACGAGCCCAGACAAGACGCGCGCATTGATTCTCAGAATCTGAGTGTCTCACAGAGCACGATCCTTGTGGACGATGTTTTAGGCTCCGAGTCATCCGTCGACTGCTGTGTTTGAGCCCAGCTAGCCCGGCCGTGCACATCCATCCATCGACTTGCGTGTTTGCCCCTACGAAAACCAACTCGGGGCCAAGCTTCTCTGGCTTCTCTTGCCGGAGAAGCTTGAGGCTTCCCTGGTACGCGTCGGATGAAGGGAGGGGGACGGTCACACTATCTTATCTGAAGATTCGTACCCATCGAGCCAAGTGTCATGTTGCTGACGATGTGTATGTATCATATGCAATGCAGTATTGACCGATTCCTCGGGATCTCAGGAGACTGGACTGCGTGCAGGGCCCAGCCCCCGCGCCGACTCGCTAAGGCGGAGATCTGTCCGAATGAGGTTCAGTTTTGGCGGAGTTGGAATGGCTTCCGCCACACCTGCGGCAGCGGCGGTAATAACCGCCGGACGTCCCGACCGCTGAAAACCCGCCAGTCGAGCAGATGCTCGCTCGCGGACGCTAACTGGTGGTCTCTTCTATTCTCATCCGCCTCGGAAATCAACCTGAGCCATTCGCGCGTCTTGGATGTCCATGTAATTATTGCCCCTTAAAAGGTTATATGGCAAGGCTTTTCCAGAAGGGGGTGGTAGAGTGGAAAACCCCGTTAAGTCTGTAAACCCAACCTCGTCCTCTGCCTCTCTTGTCTGAAGTCGCCGGGGATGCCCAAAATCCTTCCCAGCCGCCGACACCCTCTCCCGACCCGCGTGGGAATAGGAGAGCTTCCCCAGAAGAAGATTGCCCGATTCCTTCCTAGGGTCCGAGTTCGCCGCCCCCGCCGGGCCCTCGTCGCCGACGTTGGCTCTTCTCGATAATTTTGCCCTAGATCCAGGATTCTGGGTTCCTAGTGGACAGGTCGTAGACAACCATGGGCACCTTGAGGCCATGATCTCGTGGAGCTTCTGCCGCAGATATGAACGTGAGCCGGCCTGCGGTGCACCCGGTGGAAGTCCCGCCTCTAATGGATGGCAATCCGGAAAACCTGCAGAGGTTGAGGATGAAGGACATCCAAGGCATGCCCGGGACTCCCGGTGGGCTCACCCTGCGGCTCCTCCAGTTTGCGTCTGGGGTGGCCGCGCTCTGCGTCATGGTGTCCACCAGCGACTTCACCTCCGTAACCGCCTTCTGGTAATTTGTTTCTGTTTTTTGCCTTGGACTTTCATCTTTGCTGCATAGCACTTAGATCATGCTCACGTGTTGTTGAAATCGAAACTTTGCGTGCTAAGGATAATTGATCCGTGTTCGACTACATTGCTATGGGCATCAAATGTTGCATGGGTTTCAAGCGAAACATGGAACATTTATGTCTTTGATCATGGACCAGTGAACATACGGCTATCGAGTCTAACACGTTTTTGTAGATTGATGCTCTCATTATCTTGGTTTGACGATTCCTTAGCTTTGAAGGTCAAGAGGGTTATCATAATAGCGGTACTCCTCAAATTCTTGGGTCAATGCTCGTGCGTAAAACCACGGCTCAGATATGGAAATGTCTTTGACATATGGCTCTAAAGCCATTGCACTAATTATCTGATCAACAACTAGTTTTTTCAGACATGTCAATCATTTAATGTGGTAACCATCCAGGGGACCGTGTTTAAGTTGCATCGAGCAGAAATAGTAAACCACGTAAAACTTATCCGAGTTTGCTGCATAATGTCAAGATAGAGTATCATAAGTGGATACCTAGCTTTTATTTATTGCCACAATGGCTTGAATCTCCGTTTTTCAAGAGCCTGGTGAGCAATGTGCTTTAAAGGTGGGGCTAATTAGTGCAATAAGATTGAATGAAAGTTTTCTAGTAACACAGTTGAAAGGAAGGCGATCAATTTGATAACACAAGAAATATTTCCTTTCAAAGCGTCGATTTAGGGATACTTCCATAGAGTCTAGTGCAACTTGAAACACTGAATTTATCAGAGTAGCATGGCCACCAAAGAGAATGTCTTGGTTGACTTCTGCACCGAAAATGCCGATGCGTCTTTGGGCTGAAATTGCAGAGTGCATACTCAACGGATAGGTGTCTGCCCCACTTTCACCTGATGGCCCTTTCTGAGGAGATAACTTAAAATTGAAACTGAGTGGTATTTTACGTCGCTAAGGTTATTGTGGAGCTCCATGAAACGATGGTGAGTGGACTTTATGCTGAAATTAGTAGATTAATCTTAAGATGAGGGTAAACGATACGTTATTTACCTAGATGTGTTTTAGAATCTGTTAGCAATGCTTGACGAGGGCTACATCGTTTTACGTCACTTGCAACTTTTCTGTCAATTTTTGAAAATCTTAGTTTTGTGTACGTTTTGCCTGATTATTCTGGTTTATTATCATCTGGAGAAACTGAATACCTGCTGTATGTTAATATTTCTCATGTTTGGGCACAGCTATCTTGTAGCAGCGGTTGTTCTTCAAAGTTCATGGAGTCTATCTCTTGCCTTTGTGGATATCTATGCGCTTCTTGTTAGGCGCAGTTTGCGGAACCCTCATGTTGTATGTTTCTTCACAGTTGGTGATGGGGTAAGCAACTGTCTTAGTCGGAGCACCTGCCGGAAAAATAATTGATTTTTGGAGTCTAGCCATGATAATTATTCCATCTATTATGTTACACCAGGCCTGCCTCACCTTGAGAAACGATGTCGTCCCACCTGTGGTAGTTTGGATGGGTTATGGGTTGTGTGTGTGTGCCTTCTAGTACCCTGTTTAACTGACAACGGTGGGCGATGTTTACTCGTGATTATAAAACTCTTTCACACTCATGCGGCCACCCAATTTACCCTGGGTGTTGGTCATTGTATGTTTGTTCATAATGCCTACATCTATGCTTAAGCCAACTTGAAAAATACCTGGTAATGGTCGGTCATCTCGTTCGAGGGCATCATAGAAGAAGTAGACTGCAGTAAAATTCTTTCCAGTGTGGGTCGTAGATCTTTATTTGTACCAAAACGAGGTCATCGTGTTTGTGGTGCAGATCACGTCGACCCTGACTTTTGCTGCTGCTTGTTCATCCGCGGGCATCACTGTGCTGATCGACAACGACCTCAATAATTGTGCGCAGAATCATTGTACGAGGTTCGAGACGGCAACAGCAATGGCTTTCTTGAGCTGGTTTGCTATCTCCCCTTCATATCTCTTGAATTTCTGGACAATGGCATCGTCCAGGTGAGAAAGAAGGCAGTCACTGTGCCTGCGCCTGTTGGCCTGTCTCATGTTCGGTCGCTGCTGCTCGCTATTCATCCTCATTCAAGTTTTGACAGCCGTCATTTGTGTATATTTCCCCCAAATGGTGCTTTTTCAGAAGTGTAGACTTTGGACTCACCTTGAGACAGTTTCACCATCGGACTATTGTGGTCGGTTCTCATCTCACTGAACCCCACGCTTTTGTTTGTCTCACTGTGTATGTACACACCTGTAGTCCCATTGTTCTGTTGGTTGAAACCTTGGTTGCGAAGGGATATTTTCGTACAAGCCCCAGCCAAGCCTGACACCCATCCGTGTGATCCTCATCCTGTGCCATCTGCCAAATGCTTTTGCCTCGCTGGCTTGGCAGCTTGGCCGGGGCACAGGATGAGAAGCATTTGCCGATATTTCCGTGTGCTTTTTTGGTCCACTTGGCGTGTCTCGCTTGTCTTTTGAACCCTGATCGACGCTGGAAGGTTTGGGAGTAAGTGATCATCAGTTGTTGGCGGGCCTGATCTATTGAGATAATGCTTTTGATGCTCTACAAGCTAATTGAAATTGTGATTGCAATAAAAATTGCATCAAATTACAATGACTTTGTAATTGAGACTCAAAGGTTAGGTCTAGCATTGCTGTTGTTGAAACGTATTTTAGGCATAAGTTGAAGCAATGAGAAGACAAGATTGTCTCTGCAACAAACAGGATCAAAATGGGTAAATATTAGTGAAGTACATGATTAGTGTCTACCAATGGGTTGACCCACTAAGAAAGTGTGGTCCAAAAAAAAATTCATGTCCATGATGACACGTGACTGTCAAACACAGTAAAGTGTGGCAATTATCTGACAGTAAGAGAAAATTACATATCAAGATGACATGCGGCATCATCTGTTGACACATCACAAACACGGTCAAATATATGATACATGGAAAGAGAGTGACACACTTTTGAAAAATGGCGACAAGTGCAACAAAGACAGCATCTCTAAGATGTCAGAAGGACGACGCATGTTTAGAAGATCTTTGACTAACAGAGAACACACTTGGCAAGTCAAAAACCCACACCAACTATTCGGTCAAACTAGTCTGACACCCCAATTTAAGAAGTGGGTCGACCCATGGCTTGACCCGAAGAAATTTCGACTTCACAAAATTCTTTTGTTGCAATTCCAACATCCAAGTTTATGGGTCCCATAAATATACCCTTTAGGCAAGCCTTCAAAGGCAGCACCAACGACAACTGACAGGTCATCCTCTTGCTGCATATCCTGAAAGAAAGATTCAGAATCAGTAGTTTGTGCACAAAGCTTCATCCTCAGCTTCAGAGTCTATACGCAACAAGAAAAACTGTATTCAATCATCCGAAAAATACTAAATTCCTCGTTGCTGCTCCCAAGAAAGTGAAGACACTTTATTCGGATAGATCTAAATCTAGTTTAACGGTTAGGTAAAACTTTGTCTCGTTTGAGGAGAAAAACCCAAGTAAATCTGCCTTGTAAAGGAAAAAGTATTGAGCGTTAATATCAGTTGTACTCGCTAGGCAAGAATAGTGAAACTAAAGATTTAGACCCATAGAAAGTGGATGTAGGCTACGGAATTCAGGATTTGTTTTAAAAGAATCATTTGAGTTAGTTAAAAGACTTTGCGTCAGACGGTGCCATACTCTATAACGCTTCGACATCGTTTAGATGGCTTGGGTAAATGTTAAACTCTCACATGTTTCTGTTTTGAGAATTTTGAACCAATAAATACGCAGACGAGACATTACCCCTGACACCACATGGCCAAGGGATCAAGCAGCACAAATATCTTGCCGAACCCCATGAGGATTGCGCAAGCAGTAGAATTGAGCCGCTGACAGTTTAATAAGATGTAAAGGCCAGCCTCACTGTCACTCATCATCAATCCAACCGTGACTGGCCTAAGCCAATTAAGCAAGGGAAGAAGGCGATACAACTCACATACAAAGCACAAGATGGAATGACCTTTCGAAATGCAGGCACGGCCATCTTGTTTCCAAGGTCATGGGATGTCTGCTTTCGCACCTGCATATCACTCGTTTCAGAATGCGGCAAAGGATCGCATTGAGAATTTCCCGGAAGACTCATCAACTGAGCCTTGAGGAAATGATGCGACTGCAATTCCGTTTCATAGTCTCTACTGTATGATTCAACGACGCCACCTGCGCCTGTAGGCCCATGTTTTCCTGCCATGAAATATGTAGATTGAGACTCTCTCACTCATGTCACCAGATAAAGTGTGCAGAATCTCTCACTCATGTCACCAGATAAAATGATGAAAGGATCAAGTGTGCAAGCGACCACCAAAATCTAGTACCTGCCGCAGCAGTGCCAGGATCTTGTCAGCGTTAGCCAAAGCTGCATTCGCCTACACCAGAAAACGGAAGCTTTTTAACTTCATCCTCACAGACCTGGTAAAAATTATCGTCTGATGCACAGAATTATCAGTAACTAGTATGCATGAAACTTCATGTGCGGGCGTATAAGCATCCTCTAATGCATTGTGGTGACCGTGTGGATGCCGCCAAAATTCAGGAAAGCAATTACCGAGGAAAGCATGCTTCTAAAATGACTTCAGCCGTCCTGATTCCTGCAGGCGACGCCCCACAAAGATTCAGTCTCGGAGAGAACATCCAAATTAAATTGGAACCGTCTCTATGAACACTTAAAACTCCATAGCCCACCAGCTATGACCCCGCTAAAAGCCGAGTACACACCTCCCGCTCCGATTTCCCACTCTCGTCATTCAGAGAAGCGAGAAATGACAGGGATACTAGTACAGAAGATCCCCTAGTTTCCCGTATTTAATTTAATTCTTAAAGCCATTTCTTTTAAAGGACCTTCATGAAATCACAAAAAAACTTTTGACCAAAGTTGAGAAAGGTTATAGATGATTGGATGAACCTGACGAGACTTTATGCAAACTTTCTGGACTGCTAGTCAGGGAACATGCAAAGCCATGGAACTTCATGGTTCTGTCTCTGGACAACTTCACATCTATGGTATACGCTAAGGCTGTAGTAACAACTCCAGCATGGCCTCTTCGTTGAGGAGGCATGACCGTGCATTGAGCTGGGCACTAGAGGAGTCCAAACAAAAGTTGGCACTTCAGCTGCGCAACGGTCTACATAAAAGGAGGGTGACTTCCGTCTTCCACTACAAGAGGGTGGACCGACTTAGATTGAAGGGGGAGGCGATCTTCTCTCCAAAAATCTTCCAAAGCTATGGTCAAACTGCTGCTAGAGTGCACATATGCAATGGCTCCAAAGATGTAGGAAAATACTGTTTCCTGCCAAAAGATACAACATCAACCATGGCCTTCAGCTAGTCCAAAGCAGTCGACCCCGAGCAAAGGCCCCAAACAAGATGCCACTAAGAGTTGGTGGTCTAGCTTTTTATGGACTCATTAAATGCAGCAGTGTTGTTCCAGAGGAATAATGACAAATCCCTTTCACAAGCATGGACAACAATTCTAGTGAAAGGTAACCACCGAAACAAATGATGCCAATTTAATATGGGAAAATTGATTGATTTACTGGAACAAGCAAGGTATTGCTATAAAACGGAAGTCCAATCTGGTTTATCCATTAACCAGAACATTGGCTTTCTGAAAGGGCATCTCTGAAAGGTATTTATCAAAGAGCAGATCAGAGAAAGGGATGAACCAAAGACATACCAGCTACATTCCCTTCGAGTTCACAAACAGCAGCTATAGGAGAAGAAGCTCTTCCAAAGCTTGAAAAAGCCTCTTTTCCTTCCAAGGAGATTCACTTCCTCCTACATACTATCATAGGCAAACAATCTGAGGACAAACCTGGGAAAGATCCATGCCGTTGTAACATGGCCGGCTCCAACCAAGATGGCAGAGTTTCGGGCCTTCTTGAAAATGGTCTGTTTCAACTTGCAAGGGGCTAACACCTCAACCGGCTAACTGAGGAACAACATCGAATGGGATTAATCAAAGGACGGCCAAGCAGCATTTGTCAAATAGAAGGTGGAGCTGGCCACAGAGCCAATGTTCTGACCTGAAAGAGCATTTGAGGTACACCTATCCTGGACAGCCTTTGACGATTGAAAGTTTACAGATGGAGCGTATGACTTGCTAAGAGGGTTTCCATCCCCTTCATTATCTCTTCGTTTTCCTCCATCCTCAGATGACAAGTGTGAGGTAGCATTCTTCTATATTCTCTACTCATCTGGCAGTTTTACGTTTTCTCAATGAGGAGTGGATGTCTCCCGATGAAGAGTAGGTCCTAAGTGCAGGCATACGATATATAATGCCTTCTCTCTTTTAATATGGCATGGGGCATTTAACAGATAATGGCTACATAAGAGTCTACTCTGTAAGATACCTAATATTCCTAATCTCACGGCCACATCTGAAAGATATTGATTCACCTAACCCTAATGATAAAAATAATCGGCACATATCAGAAAAAACTCTTGTCCTTTGGCGGATAAGGTCACTTGGATGTATCCATGTGATATTGAAGTGCGGGACTACGCATACTGGATATCCCTGGGTTATTTGTATTGTACAGTCTTATTTTCTGCGTGATAATTAGGAATCACAGGTGAAAATGCATGCGGAGAAATTTTTCAAATTATACAGTCATCACCTCTGCGTCAGAAAGTAGAATATAAACTCAAGGAGATCGCTTGTCAAAGTCATCATTACAAAAAGGAACTGATAAAAAATGAAAGATTCTAGATGCCTCGCAGTTTCATCAGGCACGTTATAGCAGTCAAACACAGCAGCAAAGTCTCAGCAAAAACCCACCAAACATAAAATAATGGGATCCCAGGAGCATTAGATCCTTGACACACAGTTTACCGATTCGATCATGCTCTGTTGAAATTCAAATATAACTCTGTATATCCACCGATTCGGGAAAAACAGTTAGAACCAAATTACACGCAAACCAGAGATCCTTAAAAAATTGAAAAATGCTCGAAGAAAACAACCATGAGACCCTTCCCGACACTGACTCTGCAACTAGCTTACCTGGAGCAGTTCTGCCGTAGACTGCCTCGACCTCTCCACCTCCGTATCGTATTTCATCCTCCAGTGAGCAGATTCGTCCATTGCCTCCATGTTAGCCTGGTCAAACTGCTTTCTGCAAGGCAAGAAAAGCGTAAAGGGTGGATTGGCCGTGGGCGCAGTGACACAGCGTTTAACCGTAAGAAGACATAATTCGGAAAAAAATCAAATTCTGCTTTTGAGTCTACTAAACGTGGGAATTCGTAAAGGCATTCCCATGAAATGCTCAACTGTTACACAAGGTATGGTAACCCAAAACTCGCAAACCAGTGTACGAGCATGACCCGGATTGGAACACTGGTGCTGGAAACAAAAGCAGAGTGTACAAAATCCAAAGGCATGGTTTACAACACCCAATCCCGTAGAGGCTTGAAAACCAATATTCATAGCCTTTCAAATAATCTCAGCCCATGAATTCGAAACCTTCCTAAAAATGCATGCCGGAGAAATAAAACGAACGCAGTAATCCCCGTGGTTTTACTCTATTTATAAAAAGAGAATGCATTAAAGAAAAAAGAGAAGGAGAACGACGATAATGACGGAAGGGGAGCGTGGGACCAGACCGGAGCAACTCGCGGTCCTGGGAGGAAAAGCCGTAGTCTATGATCCACAGCCGAAGATAAACCATGGAGACACCGGCAAGCATGACGAGCACCAGCGTCCCCACAACAACTGTGGGACGCCTCCGGACAGCGCCTGGCATCATCTTGATCCCACGGGGCGCCAGCGATAACGGTAACACAGGCTCCTCCTTCCGCCCAGTCGCCCGACCCGCGTTTCCGGGAGATCTGAAGGCTGATTGCTGTGATGAAGAAGGTAGCGGGGGGATCGGGCAAATAACGTCACACCCAAGGCAACGCACTAATGAAACATTCTATATTGAATTCAACAGAACATTGCTCGCTCTGATTTGGATGGCAGGACATGTAAGGCTCTTTCCATTCTGGAAGAACGGATATCAAGACGCCATCGCCGGTTATAAAGAGGCTGCCGGACCAGTGAGATGACCGGAAGGGGTGTCGGAGGAAGGGGAGAAGAGCCGCTGGACGACCGCAGGGGAGGCGGGTGGGGGCTAAACTTCTCAGCAAGCTAAACAGGCATAGTATAGACAGAGGTCGCAAAATAACCTCGGTATTAAAAAAAAAAAATCCGACCAAAAAAATGAGAAATGAATAAATAAATAAATTATCGCGTTAAATTCGCGACCAATCGGGGTGTCGTCTTCTGAGGGAGCGGTTAGTTACTAGACAAGACCGTCCGCTCCGGTTGACGGCCTTTTATGTGACCGGTGAGAATTTCAGCAGCCGGACAGAGAGCGAGCAGCGGGAGAGGACTCGCACGACTCTCGCTATGCTCTCCGTCTCCGCGAGGCCACCTCGCGCCTTCCGAATCCTCTTCCAGAGATGGTGCTCCTCCGTCGGGCTCTATTCAGGGAGCGACTGCCGTCAGCAGGGGGAAGGCGGAGACGCGGACCCTTGCTCTGTGGTTGCCCGCCTCGTCCTTTTTCACCCCGGTGATCCCCGCGACCTCTGCGAGGCTCTTTCTCCTCATCTCTTCTTCACCGCCGACCACCATCCTTATGCCGACCTTGTCGATCGCGTCCTCAAGCGCTTGTGGAACGACGCCCCCAGGGCCCTCCTCTTCTTCCACGCTCTTCTCTGCCACCCTTCCTATCGACCCGCCGCCTCCAGCTTCGACTATGCACTCGATCTCGCGGCCCGCCTTCGCGATCACCACGCCGTCTCCCGGTTCCTCTCCCTGAGGGAGAAGCTCCACGTGATGCCGACCCATCGAACGTTCGCCATACTGATGGAACGCCACGCAGCGGCGGGAAAGCCCGACCGGGCCGTTCGTCTGTTCCTGTCGATGCACCGACATGGGTGCCCCCAGGACCTCGCCGCTTTCAACACGCTCCTCGACGTGCTCTGCAAATCCCGTCGCGTCGACAAGGCCAGCCGGCTGTTCAGGGCGCTTGGGGGCAGGTTCCGGCCCGATGTTGTCACTTACAACATCCTGGCCGACGGGTGGTGCAAGATCAAACGCGCCCCGAGGGCCTTGGAGATTCTCAATGAGATGGTGACCTCAGGGCTGGAGCCCACGATCGCCACGTACAACATCTTGCTCAACGGGTTCTTCCTTGGGGGCCAGGTAAAGCAGGCGTGGGAATTCTTCTTGCAGATGAAGAGGAGGTCCAAGTATGGAGAGGAGGGCTGCGGCTGCCGACCTGATGTCGTGTCCTACACGATAATGGTGCACGGGCTGGGGCTGGCCGGCCAAATTACTAAGGCCCGGAAAGTGTTCGGGGAAATGACCGGGCAGGGGTGTCTGCCGTCCGTGGCGACCTACAACGCCCTCATCCAGGTCATCTGCAAGAAGGACACGGTTGGCAACGCTCTCTCGGTTTTAGAGGAGATGGTAGGCAGGGGGTACACTCCCAACTGCATCACTTATAATCTCGTGATCAGGGGGCTCTGTCACGCCGGGGCGGTGGACGGGGCGGCGGGCTTACTGGAGCGAATGAGGCGCGAGGGTTGCGATCCGAGCGTGCAGACCTACAACATCCTGATCCGCCATCGGTGCGAGGCCGGGGAGATCGACGAGGGCCTTCGTCTGCTCCGCGGGATGGCCGCGGGGGAGGAGGGCGGAGGCTGCCTGCCGAACGTGGACACGTACAACGTGCTGATCCGGGCCATGTTCGTCAGGAAGAGGGCGGAGGACATGCTGACCGCGGGGCACCTGCTGGTGGAGATGGTGGAGCGGGGGTACGTGCCGCGGAGGTTCACCTTCAACCGGGTATTGAATGGGCTTTTGCTGACGGGCCACCAGGCGCTCGCGAGGGAGATCTTAAGGGCGCAGAGCGACCGCGGCGGCCGGCTGCCGCGGGAGATCCGGCTGCGATGACGCCGCTGGGGCGGGGGGGGGTAGGGGGAATTGACGGTTGTGAATGAACGGGTAGCCGGGCGATGAGCCCTGTAGATAGGGGGGGTTCGGGGAGATGATGGGTCGACTGCATCGCATGGATCATGGATCAATCTTACTCACGAGAACGTCTATAATGTATATATAAATATCTTTGTGGTGTAGAATATGCAATAAAATATTGGCGCGATTTATTGTTAATTAACTGCCACGTCCACAAGGAGGGGGGGGGGTGGAGGGGGGCCGTCCGCAATGACTGGCAAATGCCAGTCGGCACCGTCACGGCTAAAGGGTCTTGGCGTGCTAGACGACTAACACGACTCCCATTGTGAGGAGGATCCCGACCTCCCCTGCCAGCGCCCTCCCCTGTGAGGAAAACCCAACCCTCGACTGCACGCCGGCGCTCCAGTCGACGGAGCAGATCAGCGGCTACTAGCTGTGCGATTAGCCCCGGCCAAGGCGGAGGCGCTGCCGTCGGATTAGTCCTTGGCCCGGGGGACGGACATTGGCCGCAGAAGGCCGAGGGTCGCGGGTTTTTCTCCTCCTTTTGACGCAGCCCATTCGTCAATCAAGGTACCTGTCTTCTCCGCAACTGTCTTGGCGTGATTGCTGAACAGACGAAACCCCAGTTTTCAGTTTCGACTCCCATCCCTCTCTCGGGTCGAAACACCTCATGACATTGATATCTGTGAATTTTATTGATTGTCCTAATTCTCTCTCTCTAAGCTCGCGTTTTTGTACATGGTTTATAGTTCGTTTCTATTTCTCTGTCCATCGTTTTTAGTATTCCTGCGGACCCTTGATGTGGTTTTGACTTCTCTTTTGGAAAAAAAATAATCGCAATCGTCGCAGTGTTGTTGCCACTAGGGCACCACACTTCCTCTTCCTGAAGGCGGAGAATCGAATTGGAATGGCTCTCTTGGTTGAAGTATATATGTAATTACCTTTTCTAGAAATTAGGGCGACCTATTTGTTCAAGCTATTTTTATTCTCAATCCTCGGGAAACCTGAATGAGATGTACTATGGACCTAACCAGTCAAAGTATGGGACCAGGTTGTCTGTCGTGACGATCTTCAGAATGCATCTCTGAATAACGCTTGGTCCCCGTTGCTGTGATTTGAATCCAATTAAACTCTAAACTACAGAATTTAGGGGAGAATTGGTCCCTTATCATTACTCCTGACGCAAATAATATCGATGCCTGAAAATATTTGTCAATTGCTTGAACGGTGCATTTAAGAAAGGTGATGGTTAAACCAACGTTTTCGCTGGAGATGAGAATCTACGACTCTTCCATGAAGATTTTCTGCAACTCAGTTGGAGCATGGAGCAAAACATTTTCAATGATGTTCCTTACATGGTGAAAAGAACTACATTTTCTGGGAGAACTGGACCGGGGCAGCAGATCTGTGAGGCTAATATTGCATAAGCATCGTCGTCTTTCCTTGAATTGTGTGGATAAAGTCTCTTTTCAGTCTATCATTCAAATGATGGATTGCGTTTGAGAGTCCATTACTTCGACTTAGTGTTATTTGGGATAAAAATTTCTCTTTTTCCTGCTTCTCGTATGCGGTGAATAAATACAAACCACGGTATTATTTTTCCTTGACATTGCCGTGACGAACGGAATTTCATTTTCCCTCCTTCAGAAGAAGTAAATAGCTTCATGCCAATGAAAGAAGACTGCAATATATACGAAGGCTAATCTGGTGCTGTTTGTTCATCTTGAAACTAAACTATAACTTACGGCCATGCTTATTGAATTTATTTGCTCTCATTTTGAACATTTTGATGAAACTAAGAATGTACATTTAGATTTGTTCTCATGTCTTCACTGTAGAGTACTTGCTTTCCCACAATTTTTTGACGCTACATTGATCTAACTTGTCAAGAAATGCCCAGATGGCAAAATATGTAACTTTGGATAGGACCTGTCTGTTGATTAACACAGTTTATTCCTTTCTTAGAAGGTCAACAAATCAAGTTCGGATTGTACTAAAAATTCCGTGAATTGAAAATGGCTGGGCCAGCTTTTAACTCATTCGAGGAACGGATTCTGATGGTGGTAACTTCTGAGACTTAGTATGTGATCTTATCATTTTCGTTGCATGTTTTTTGGCAACTATAATGCCTAGCCGAGGTCTTCAGTCTTAGCCATTATGCTGGTAATAAGAAAAAGGTCACCATTTCACTATGTCAATAACCACAGAAAGTCAAAGAAGGATACCTGGTTTCTTTCAGCCCGCATCATTGGGAATTATTTAGCAGTGGCAGATAAGTCACCGAGAAAGATTGCGTGGTGTATTTGGCATGAAAGGACTTCGTCATGGAGATGGATAACCTGTTTTTAAAAATTACCAATGTTGAAAACGTCTTTGACAGATTAATCTGAAAGAGATTCTTTACTTAACTGAGCGATCTTTTATTGGAAACAACTATCATTTCGAAATTATGTTAAGGAAGATATTTTTGTATCAACTTCTGACATGTGAATTCGCAGAAAATTCAATTAGCAGATATTCGTGGATGGCCATGTGAATGTAGCAGAAAATTCACTTCAATCTTTGCATTATATATTCTTGTCATCAGATGGATGTGGGTTAGAAAGAGGAGTAGGACAGAAGAATAAGAACATATGGTTCTAAACATGGCGACGGTTTCTGACGTTGGTATATAGTTAGGGACTCATGGAAACATGTTAATGTGTGCCACAAAGGTAGTTGATCTTGCTCATACGGTCTTTCTTATATCTGGTCAGCTATGCCCTGGACGATGCAAGGAATGTTTGAACCACCTTAACAATGATGTGGATAATGATGGAAAGGTCTCTCTTAGATGATCATTATCTGATTGAGATTTGTCAAAGTTGAATTGATCTGTGGGGTTCAAGGTTGATGACTGAATTTATGGATGACTCAATCTGCTGTAAATAGCCTTGGGCTGAATTCATTTAAGATATCTTTCATGATCTTGTCGTTTTTTGTTTTCTACAGTTTTAAGGGATAAATTTTACTTGGCCCCAATTCTCATATCCATGGTCACATTAATATTCAGTGAAGCAAATTGGATGCCATCACCGAACTATATGCTTCCGTCTTGTCCTTGTTCAACCGATTAGGTTTTCTTCACTCACAAATGGGAACGACTTCTGGAAAAGGCAATTGGCTTACAGACTGAACCTCATTAAAGCCAATTCGGATTGGCCCACAATTCTAGATATATATCTGTAAAACAGCAAAAAAAATGACTTAGATGAGAATTACCGACTCAACTTAATGCATCAATGTGATTATGACTATATTTTTTATGCTCTTTATGATATTTCATTTTTCTTGTGATGTTCGTTGTAGTGTGCATCTTTTGTTTGCTTGTTTGTTTGCCTATTTTCTATTCTTCTTACACTAACTTTTCAACTTGTTTTTCCTCTTCTCAGATGGTTCGATGGTTCTAGTGATATGAACTCTCTGAGGCAAGATGAACCAGTTCAGAATCCTCTTATGGGTAAGGAAAGCATCCAAGAACTTTTGAACTTCCTCACTAATGAGCTAGTCCATTCTAGGTCCGATAGGGAAAGGAAGTGACTTGTCACGTTTGAGTCCAAGAAGATGGATTGTAATACAAGGGGAACGACAGAAAACAAGAACTTGGACCTTGAGAGTTCCACGTCAGGTAATTTAAAATCCATCCACAATGAGGTTCATTCGAGAAAACACTCAAGGAAGGGGGAAATTCCAATTCGCCTCCCATCAATGGTGGGGAATCCTCCAGATTCTGGTAATAGTAAATCTTGGGTCTGCATGAATTCAGCTTGCAAAGCTGTCCTTTCTTCAGAGGATACGTTCTGTAAGAGGTGTTCCTGTTGCATTTGTCACCTATTTGATGACAACAAGGATCCCACTCTATGGTTGGTTTGCGGATCCGACTCCAGTGATCTTGATTCTTGTGGGTTATCATGTCATGTAGAATGTGCCATTCAACATCAAAAAGCAGGTGTTGTGAACCTTGGAGAATCACTGCAGCTTGATGGGAGTTATTGCTGTGCTTCTTGTGGCAAGGTTTCTGGTATATTTGGGTAAGTTCTTCTATCTCTTTGTCCAAATGTTTGTGATATTCCTTCATAGATTATTTTCCACTTGATGATCATTCTCTGGCATAAAAATGACGTACCAAGTAAGATTACTGCAGCACTATTGAACATATGCATGACTGAACTGAACCGGAGTTCAGCTGATGGACAATTCTCTAACTCACGGTAATGCTTTTTCCCAAAGCAAATCTCGGTACATGGTTTCCCACCATCAGGTTTTGTGCAAAATGAGGTTGCCCAGACTCCAGCCTACCTTTTTCGTGGTGTCTCCTTCGTATGTTTTCATAGTGTCACCTATGCAGCACCTAGTAGAAAGGGAACAAAAAGGGAAATGTCATTCTGGTGCCTTGGCAAGCAGCTCTTATATGTGCTCACTTGGTAATCATAGTATGTTGTACGTTTGTTTGTTGCCTGTCATCTTGTAGATATTCCTCAAGTATTCTTATGGCCTTGAAAAATTGTTATGACAAACAAAAGATATGAGCAGATACTTAACCATCTAGACATTTGAAAGCAGGTTAAAGCTTGCATATTAAATTGTAATATGCTGTATCCTACCATTGAGTTCAACAATCTAAAATGATCACATTCAATTATTTATATTTCATTGCCTCCAATGATATGCAGACTTAGGTTAAGTGGATATTACAGATGATACACTCAGACTTTAATAAATGAACGAAAAGTTTCTCTCTTAGTAAACTGATCAGTTAATACTTGGCACGAAGGACTATTTCTTATATTGATAGTGAAGTGATTAGTTGCCTTTTGATGGTTCGGGAAAATATTTAGCTTAAGAGATGTGGATTTTATATGGTTTTAGTAGGTAAGTTAAACTTTTCTAGGTGATCTGACCAATCACCATTCACAAATTCACAGGTTCTGGAGGAAACAACTTGCAATAGCAAAAGATGCACGGCGTGTAGATATTCTTTGCTACCGTATATCTTTGAGTTACAGGCTGTTAGAGGGCACTTCCCATTTCAAGATCATGCATGAAGTGGTGAGTGAGGCGAAGGCAAAGCTTGAGACTGAAGTGGGTCCGGTGAGTGGAGTTTCTGCCAAAATGGCTCGGGGCATTGTGAGCAGGCTTTCTGTTGCTGGTGATGTGCAGAAACTTTGTTCTCTTGCGATTGAGAAGGCAGATCAATGGCTGAGCTCAATTGCAGATGCAAATCCAAATGGCCGAAGTGTGTGCTGTAATGATCACTTGTTGAAATTGTTCCACTTAGAATTCCAAGTAGGTATTCCATATAAATCCTTTTTCTTTTTTTGGTTTTATCGCAGGGGATTTTCTTCCTGCTGCATGCAGATTCCATTTTGAGGACATCACATCATCTACGATCGTGATTGTGCTGAAGGAGACAAGTTCATTGGAAGGCAATGTTATCGAGGGCTATAAGCTGTGGTACTGCAACAGTAGAGAGCAAGAAACAGAGAAGATGCCTGTTATTTTCCCAAAAAATCAAAGAAGGATTCTCATATCTAATCTGCAACCGTGCACAGAATATACATTCAGGATAATCTCATTTACAGAGTCAGGTGATTTGGGCCATTCTGAATCCAAATGCTTTACAAGAAGCGTTGAGATAATCCAGAAAATATCTGAGAAGTCACGGGCTCAAGCTGGTTCATCCAGTGCGAGGAGAGAGACCAAGGTTCCAGCAACAGGATCTTCTGGCTTTAAGGTGCGAAACCTTGGGAAAATATTGCGCTTGGCCTGGGCCCACGAACATGGTGGCCTTGAAGGATTTCGCGGTGACTCTGCCGAGGGAGAGTCCTGCAGGCATAGTGGTGGAGAAGAACCAGAGGGTTCTGTGCAGGAGCATCGTCGTCACCCTTCAGTTTCCTGCGGTCTCAACCTGAACATGCTTTCAGCCCTTGGGATGAACCCGGAGTTTCTGGCATCAATCGGCTGTTCTGATAGTGATGCTTATGATAAGAATGGGTCTACGGGATCCGACACATGTGAGGATTCTCAAACTTGGACCGTCAGGGAGTGTGGGGAGATACCTGCAGTAGAATCTAAACCAGATATCTGCAGGAAACGAACAGGTGTTGCGGATGAAGAAATGTACGACGGTGACAGCACCCTGGTTAATGCTTCACCTCCCAGACTCTCCAATGGGTGCTCTGGGAGACTTGACGACCACTACGAGTACTGTGTGAAGATCCTGAGGTGGCTGGAGTGCGAGGGGCACATTGGAAGGGACTTCCGCATGAAGTTTCTTACTTGGTTCAGCCTGAGATCAACGGAGCAGGAGCGTCGGGTGGTGCACACTTACATCGACACGCTTGTGGACGACCCTGGTTCTTTGGCAGGGCAGCTCGTGGATTCCTTTTCGGGAATTGTAACCTGCAAACGGCTGCGGAATGGTTCTTGCGGCGAGCTGTGCGCTGCTGACTTCTAAGACGCTGGCGAAGAAGGGAAGAATGGAGTGGAGAATAACCATGTGCCCGTCCAGCGGAGGATATGAGCGGCGGTCGGAGGAGGCGTACGCTGGGGAAGAGAGATCGATCGGCAAGGCGAAGTTGTCCGATCATCGACTTTGTGGCGACGGAGGATTGGATGGGATGCACCCTGCGACCACTGGTTGCATCTCGTCTTATAAATTCAATTTATTGTACTGTTCCCGATGGGAGGGGACTTGCTCGTTAGGCATTCACCAACTCTCGTCTTTGCATTTGCATTTGCACTTGGGAGGATGGACAGCTGACTGACTGACTGACCGACGGACTGACGGACTGACGGACTGACTATCTCTGCCGGCGGGGGTGGGGGGGGCAGGGGGACTGGGGACTGTGAAGGAGATCCTCGGACAGTGAGGGGAGTTGTGTGTGTGTGTCTCTCTCTCCTTTCACGCGGTTTGTACGGCCTGGAACCCTTGCCGGAGGGGAGGAGGGCGAGGCGCCCGTCGTGGGCCTTGAGCCGGGCGGCCCAGTTCCCCCACAGAATCGCCGGCTCCAAATTTCCCCTGCCGGCTTAGCCCGATGGGACGCAGACGACGTCGCCGCTCTCTGCATCTCCTCCATTCGATTATAAGTTGGGCACATCCCGACCGTCAAGACTATAATAACCCGACTAGGGAGAGCAATAAGTACCTTCGCTTGGTCACCCCAGAGCCCTAGCCTTTCTCTACAGCTGCCGGCGCGCGGAACGGTACCATCGTCTCCTCTTCCTCTCGCCACCCCCGACACTCGACATGCCGCCCAAGTTCGACCCTTCGCAGGTCGTTGACGTCTATGTCCGCGTCACCGGCGGAGAGGTAGGAGCGGCAAGCTCTCTGGCCCCCAAGATCGGTCCCCTCGGTCTCTCGCCTAAGAAGATTGGTGAGGACATCGCAAAGGAGACGGCCAAGGACTGGAAGGGCCTCCGTGTCACTGTCAAGCTCACCGTACAGAATCGTCAGGCTAAGGTCACCGTTGTTCCCTCGGCGGCCGCTCTCGTGATCAAGGCACTCAAGGAGCCCGAGCGCGACCGTAAGAAGACGAAGAACATCAAGCACAATGGAAACATCTCCCTGGATGACGTGATCGAGATCGCCCGGGTCATGAGGCCAAGGTCGATGGCCAAGGACTTGAGGGGGACAGTGAAGGAGATCCTCGGCACCTGCGTCTCCGTCGGATGCTCCGTGGATGGCAAAGACCCGAAGGACCTTCAGAATGAAATCGCTGAGGGAGAGGTCGACGTACCGCTGGAGTAGGCAGATAGAGAATGGATTGATGGTATCCAAGCGCACTTCCGATATTGTTGAACTTCCTCCCCTCGTTTTTATCCTCTTTTCACTTTGGTTCCGAGGATGGTAAGAACTTTGAGAAGAATTTTTGTGATTTTCAATGTATTGAGCGTGAACCTGCCGAGTCCATATACCATCTGCTGAGCTTATTAACGCGTGCTTGTTTTTCTTAGCATAAGAGCACTTCATAGCCCTCTTCCGGCCGCTCTGTAATCTAACGTCTCGAATAAAATAGGTTCTCATTTCCTTGCCCGGCGCGGATTCCTCCTCTGTCGTTCTTCGCACAATCGAGTGGGAATAGCTGCTCTGCAGCCGTCGGCGTCCGTTGTTTCTTCTGAATGTACACATGTTTTGATTTTTTTGGTATTAGAATTGCTTTATCTCCACTTGGAAAAATGTATATTGATTTTTTTGCTACCTCGTGTTGCGGAGGAATTGCGCATGGTTCCAAGGTTTAGCGCGCGCTTTATTGGTCTTTGAGCATGGTTCCAATGTTTATCGGCTGAAGGAGTTTTGTGATTCGAGCTCTGTAGTAGATTGGTCATCATTGTCCGGTGTAGGCGAATGCCATGGCGCTCAACGTCAGCCGAGCGCTGTACGAGATGGGCATGCACCGAATGATATATTCTCATATATTCCCTTCGTCTCTTCTTGGGTCTGAGTTGTTCCAAGCACTTGTGCAAATGTTCCTGCCTCGCGGGCCTGTCGATGTGTGCAAGATGTTCCCCGCCTCCCACGACGGATGACTTTGAGGGTGGGAATGATGATGACGATGGGTCCAAGCAGGTTCCTGCCTCGCGGGCCTGTCGATGTGTGCATATGGCACGAAGCTCGACATATCCATTGAGTTGTTTCTACCTACCCTATCTGCTCACATCATCATGGAGTTGAGCACATCTAGTGGCTCTCGGATGTCGTCGTTACCGGTGGAAATACTTTTTTATTCGTCTCGCGTATCCCGTCTTATTATCTCCCCTCCTTCCTGGGGGAAGGGAGTGGTTGGGGAGGAGCCAGGAAATCCAAGCATTGGCTCGGCGGGGACGCCGACCGTCGATTTCGGAGGAGCCGACGTAATCGTTGCCGCCTCCCCATTGGCCGGCCCGATTCCGGTGCCCCCGAGAGGAAGAGGCCGTGGTCTTCGTCGTCGTAGCACCGGTGGGTGGGTTGGGAGACCGGGAGATGCTGCTGTCGGGTCAAAGCTCCTCCCCCTGCCTGTCCGGTAGGGAATTCTCGTCACCCAGAATAGGCGATGGCCCTGGCTTGTGCTGCTAGCAGATAAATGGTAGTGCACTTTGGGAGGCAGAACCGGGGTGGGCAGGGAGGGGAATATAGCGGCAAAGGGTGTCGTGGTAGTGCTAGCATTGTTCTTGCTCGTGACCACGGCGACCGCAAGCGACTGCGGGGATTGCATAGACAGCTGCTCCGCGAACCATCATGGATGGTTTTACTGCCGGCTAATTTGCATGGGTGCTTGTTCACCCGGGGATGGATGGCGTAAATCTCTCTCTCTCTCTCTTTCTCTCTCTCACCGCTTATACTCGTGCGCCGTGTCTGCAGGCTCCTCGAGGGGCATGGGACCTTACCGCCCGGCTGATGGACCCTCGGCTGCACCGCCGCCGCGCTATTAACCTCATCCGTATTCCAGAAACACAGAACGGATAGGGAAATAAGAGAACGCAAGCCTTGCTAAATTTCTCGTCATGAGCTTGTTAAATTTCTCTCATATACCTCTCTTTCTCTTCTGCCAACTTTCCTACAGAAATATTGTTTGGAAGAAGCAAACTGCACATATGTTTTTCCTTTCGTTTATTGCTCTTTGGAGCTTATGATGGTTTAGTAGTATGAATTCTAATGCATTCGGCCTTGTTGTATGCACTACCATTTCCCTTGTTCTTCTGAGAAAATGTGTTCTTACCTGCTGATGGGGATTAATGACCTAATGTTGAGTCATGAAGAATGAGAATAATAAAGTGAGAGTGATCAAGAAAATCATATCTAAGTCTATTGCAATTCAAAAGAGAGTGTGATCTTTTAGATGAACACAAATGAGTTGTTTGCACTATCACCTCTCTCAAAGTGATGGGATACTCTAAAAGTGACTCTTGCATTCTATGACTCAAGAACCATAACTCTTGAAATAGACAAGAGATGGTAACTACCTCTTAATATTTTCTCTTAGTTTACTCATCATAAAATTAAAATTAGATTCATTCTCTACACAATTAAATTTATATTCATACTTTTACCTATGAGAGATGACTTAATCTGAAATATTAAATGTTTAGTGAATTAATTTAATTTAAATTAACCTTAATGTTACCGTCATAATGTATAATTGATGTATATGTACGCTCACATACAAATTAAATCTAATAATCTTTCATATGGGGCCATATATAACCTCCTTAAAAATATATATTATGATCTTGTGACCTTAATAAATTGGTTATTATTATTGAAGTCATCTCCAACAATCTCATCTATCATTATAACAATATAAGACTAGGGATTTTTCATTATATTTGTGCATTAACTACACCCATCAATATCAAAAATATCAATTTAATGAATAATATAGATCGTGTAGATATGTAGCATAAAATTACATGTATATTTTTAACTAGTCCACCTTATTTTGTGTGAAAATCAATCAGCTATATTTAGTCTGAAAAAAATAAAATTTTTGATCTGATAATTTTTAACTAATTTAATTTCATATATATGACAATATAATTTTTAATTGTCTTCTAGTGATCCACACTTAGACTTAAATATCTACCCAATATTCTAACAATATATATAATATTTGGATGCATACATACTTGAACATACATAATACTTCCTATGATTGATGCATAAGAATTTTTTTGAATTTGTTTAGCATAAAAATCATTATTATAGCACTAATTGAGACAAAATTTCTCATTTAATGACCAGGGTAACACTTAGTTTATAATATTTTATGTTAAACATTTTAAAGATTTTCTCAATATAATATTTTCTCACAACTAAAGGATACCTAGAGTGCAAACTTGCTATATTTGTGTGCCAAATATAAAAAAACTTCTCCAAGATCTTTTATTTTAAATTATTTGATAAAAATCTCTTAGTTTCACATAATAAACTTATATCATTATTAATAAGTAATATCTCATTGACATACAAAATCAATATACATATATATACTCTCACTAAACTTATGATACACAATTAACTATATTTATCTCAAAGCTAAATAAAATGACAACTAGATGCAACTTGTGATACAATTGGTTGGAAACAAATTTGTAGCATCATTTTCCTTCATTATCTCAACACAAAATTTTCATTTACATCATGCAAATTGTTTCCTTAATATTAACATTGATAAATGTAGTGTTTACATGCATATAATGTAACTCAATATTAAAATGAGTTACTAGTGACATTATTATTATAAAATAGTTTTTTATGAAATTGAAAACAGTTTCTATATAGTTAATCTTTTCATTAAGTAAATCCCTTGGTGATAAGATGAGGCTTATATCTCTCCATATTATCTTTCAAACCATCTTAGTTATAAATATTCATTTGCAACCAATGGGCTTCGCACCTTTCAAGTAATACAATAATATCCAAAATGTTATTGTCTTTTCTTGATTTAATATCTTCACTCATGACATCAATAAATTTTTGATAATTCAAAGATTACATGACTTGATAGAAGTAGATTATATCATTTTCTATTATTATGATGTCAACATCATATTCTTTGAGAAATATAATATGATCATCTATAATCATAATGATTTTTTTCTAGTAGATCTTCTTAATGACACAACTCTTTGAAAGCATTGAGTTTACTCTTCTTAAATGAAGGATGTGTGAATATTATCTTAATTTTAAATTATTTCTTAAATCATATTAGTTAAGATGATTTTAACTTGATCATTGTCAATAGCAAATAGAGAAATATTGATTTTCTTTTAAAAAAATATCTCTCTAACCTTATCCTTCCATGCAAACTCAATACCCCCAAAGAATCAAGTATTTCTCATTCCAAAAAAAGTTCTTAATGAGATTATGAGTTTTCTAATTCTCTGACCTTTTCGGACACCCAATAAAATATTAACTAATTATCTTATAATAAAATTTTCTTGCATTAGGTTTCTAAGGTTTTGCTTTCATTAAACAACCTCAAATATGTAAATACTTTACATTGGGCTTTTATTTATCCAAACCTCAAAATGGGTTTAAATAGTTATTTTAGTTGACATATTATTTAACAAATAAGCTGACATTTTTAGTAATTATAGATGTCTTTGGTTTCTATGCTTACATTGGAAAATTTATGTATGAAAAAGTATGAATTATCTTGACGGTAAAGAAAGAACAATCTCACCAATCAACTCCAATCATGAAGCCAAATACTTGATTGCATCGAAGGCCGTACGTAAGCATTTGCCTATGCTGAACATATCTGTTGAGAAAACTCCTTATCATCTGTTGGTGAGGAAGAGATGAGAGACGTTCACAAGGGAAAGGGAGAGAGACGAGGAGAAGTGTGTGCGTCTGTGTGAGGGAGGGAGGGAGGGAGAGAGAGAGAGAGAGAGAGAGATAAGGAAAGCTTCACTGAAATAGAAATCATTGGCCCTTTAAGGGAGGAACCCTCAGGTTTTCTTCCATTCATCCTTTCCTAGCAGGAGTGGGTCTTACATGGTGTTCCCAAAATTCCCCAACAATACGCTCAATAGATGTATATGACGTCGGAGTATTTTCTTCTCCGTTCAATCATCCTTCCACCGCAAACACAACTCCGATTCTTTCCAGCCAAATCCTCAATACAGCGAGTAATCCTTCGGCTGAAAGCCTTGCTTTTATGCTTATGCTCCATAGTTCTCTGCGTCATCAGATGATGTCATCAACATTAACTACGTTTCACCTTATCGATCGACTTCAGCTCGACCAAAATTCGCAAATGACTCTTCTTCAGAGCTAACTTAACCAATTTTCACGGATTATTTCGCTTTCCTCGCGAATATTTGCTCATCCGTGACATTATGCTTGGTCCCAGCTCCATTAAGCTGCCTCTACGGTTTCTGCACAGAAACGGCGTAAATTTCTCATGACGAGCTTGATAAATTTCTCTCGAACACCTCACTTTCTCTTATGGCAGCCTTTCTACTGTGAAATATTGTGTTTCGGAAGAAGCAAACTGCATACTAATTTTTCCTTTCCTTTCTCGCTCTCTGGAGCTTCTGATGGATTACTAACATCAATTCCAACGCACTCGGCCTTGTTGTACGCACGAACATTTCACTTGATCTTCTGAGAAGATGTGTTCCTCACTAGTTGCACCTCTGTTGATGGTGAATAACTTCACGTCAGGGTTATCTCCATTTCTCTCATCGCGCCGGGGACTGGTCGAACGCACCGCAACTCCCACGCTCTTTGCAACCGCGTACGTACAAGAAAGGCTCTAACAGTGCCGCGCCGTGGGCCCCTCGACAGACCACTAAGCTCTACGCGCCTTCCTCTTTCTATCCCTCTCCCCCTCTCCATCCCTCTCCCCCTCTCCATCCCCTCCCCTTTGTCGTTTGTCGTAGGGGGTAATAAGGTCCGTACGTCATTACAACGTGAGATGACGACGATGCAACTCGTGCGGCTGAGCGAACGCAGACGGGGTCGGTTCCAACGCAGAGAGAGGAACGGATGGGTTTTTCATCCCATTCATGACATCCCTGAGGCTACCTACTTCCTTCTTCCTCTTCCTATCGTTCGTCCTCCGGACAGCAGCGCCTCCGCGCGCATCTCACCCAACAATCCCGCCACTGCTCTCGCCCCGCAGTTCACGTCCTCTCCCTCCGGCCTTCCCAAAACCGTCGGCATCCGAAGCAGGCGAAAAAGAAAAAAGATGCCTCCCGTTGGCGTATGGAACGCGGTGTGCACGCCTCCTGCTCGATCGACCATGCAGATGCCCATCCCATAATCAGAGTGAACCATCTGCACGGGCTGGAGTCGTCGCAGGAAGAGCGTCAACCTCAAGGCACAGGTGTGAATGAACAGATGTACGTGGGATCAAAAAGACCGAGAGGCAGAAGCTAGGGAAATACAAGGCTGCAACCGAGTCCGACCCAAAGCTCAGGAATAAAATGCTAGCAGCGGCCCCAGGACCACGTTTTGATCGCGGCATCGTCATGATGCCATCTCTCAATCACAAAGAAAAGGAGCAAATGGGTTCGAATAGTAAAAACTGATTGTATTCAGATTTCACGGCCTCCAGTTTTCCTGACTTGTTTGCTTCCTCAACTCCCCGAAAAGAAGTCAGATGGGTCTTACAGGCAGGCCCTGTCCACGCCAAATCAACACATGAATTCCGTGCGGCAAACACGGTTCTTACAACTCCAAGATTGAAAAACTCTCAGGTAGCTGCCGCCAGCGCTGTTTGCCTATACTGGCCTCAGTCTTTTAGCCGGGCCTCTTGGCCTCCAAAGTTGATGATGACATACGGACAGTAAGAGGAGAGGGAAAAGCACCAGTCTGAAAAACCGTAGCATAAGGTTCTTCGACCTATCTTGATGACTGCCGCGATTAATTTAGATGTACACTCCGCCAGTTGGCCAACTGTCTGTACACCCCATGTGTGTCGATGAAGGATCCTCTCCCAGACACATTCATGACAAAATAGATTCCCGCCGGCTCTCACAACCAGGACAATTGTGCAAGCTCTCGTGGATATATATATCACAATCGAGGCAAAAGTATTGGTTGCATTTTGGGCAAGAAACGTGGAGGCTAGATTTGCTTCCTGCACAAAAATGCTGAGTAAGTTGAGAAGCAAAAGAATGAGCCTGGGTACTAATATTCATAACTTAACAAGACAGGATCTAAGAAACGGTCTCTGTTATATTAAGGGCTCAGACAGTAGACTGAACAGAAGAATTTTTTGTGGATCACTATTTGTGCATCTGCCTAAATAAGCATACTGGACATAGCCATCCGCAATTACTGTGGGAAAATTACGATGTCCAACGCATTATTTCCCAGCAATTAATAGTGGAGATCATTACATTCTCAAAAATCAGCCATTATATTCAATCAATACTGCCAATTCCTCCAACATCTAAGTTGATTAACTTTGAATAGACCAGAGCAAGGTTTTCGTTATATTAAATTTGTGATGGCATCACACTATGCGCCTCTGGTGCAACCATCAGGGAAAAGGCCGAACAGAAAATTAACAAGAATATCGATGAAATAATAGACATGGGCAAATGCTTGGAACAACGGGTATCAAATCAATAACGCGAATGACGCTAAGGTTATCGAGATTATTATATAACGTGATCAAGTGAAATCATATACACCAGGAGAAACATTTCACACTTTTTATAAAGATGGGCTAAAAACAATACATAGCGTTTGATGATGGAGTCTTGGGTCTAAAATTAGTTGTCAGACAAAGAATGTGGCATGACTAAGACCCTTTCGTTTTCGTTTGAAACCTGTCCTCCAATACAAAATTCCCTTCACGTGGCTTTCAGCCATCAAAATTCGAATAAAATGTCAGCTGCCTTCTCCCAATTTCCCACAAGAAGGTACAGGCACGAGTGACATTTCTATAATTGAAACAACTCAGAGCAGCAAAAAGTTACTTCCAGAGGGAAAAAATCTGTTCTGTGCCATGCATGATTGAGATTAACGTGGCACGGCTCCATGATTAATCACAAACAGGAAGAAATTACAATAGATGGCTAGGGCTGAAAGCTGAATGGTTATTGAAAATAGTCACTCAAAACTGAGGGAATTATAGACCTTCCTGAAAATAAGTTCATACTAGACGAAAATAACAAATGGGCACTTGCTAATTCTGATTTCAATCGGGATCAAATTAGTCAGATTTAGTCCTAACTGACTGCATTACGGAGTCTTTTGAACATAACATTTAATTGGATCCCAATCAACCAGCCGGATATGTTATCGCGCATGAGCACCATTAATTTGATCTGAATTGATTATCACAGGAAACCATGATGTCTAGGAATAGCAATCTGCCTAGGTAACTGCCTCTTATCTCTCCCCAAGGACAGTGATTTTCTGCCATACTGAAAGAAGATAACAATTCAATCATGTACACTAGGAGTGTAAATCATGAATTTAATCTATACACTTATTTATGGTCATCTACAAAGTCCACAACTTCTCCAATCGAAATAAATATACATCATGATTGCACCAAGGAATGATTTCTCTATTAACCAACCCATGAAATGCTAATCCAAAGACCGAATAAGGGAAAACCTCATCTCCTTTAAATATGGATTTTCTAATGAAAGGTTTAACTTGTGACATGACAAAATAGACCATGGGAACAAAGAAAATTTGCAACAAATTTTCACTAGAATTGGTATGTGGTTGGGGATAGTGAGGCTTTATAAGAAAATTATCTGAAAACAGACAAATTAATACCAGTCTCCCACAGAAAAGCCCTTTCCTGCAGATAAAATCAAAGTAAAGTGTAAAACAAAATGATAGTGAACTTCTCTTACAGGGTTATGTCCCTTGGCAGAGCTCAATTTCAACAAGGCATCCTTCAACTATCTCAACCTTGCTTAATTTGTGAAACAATCTAATGTTGAAGTGGTAAAAATATCAATCCAAAACATACAGCAGGCAGGTAACAGAAAAATCATACGATATGTAATTTTATAAGAATCTTTTGACTGAACATGACAACATGAAGGAGTTTATTCGTTCCTAATAACATTATACGATTAGGCACATGCATAAAAAAATCAGACGAAACTGCCAAGCACCTACAATACGTTAATATACACAACGCTCAAAAAAGAGAAAATCACATCAAGGGATTTTCAGTTCGAGTTTTGAAAGGCCAATAGTACCCCAAAGGCATCCTTTTCCAATAAATTTCTGACTACATAAAATGAGACTAATCTGTAAGTAGTCCAATGTACAGTGTTCCTCGTATTTGTTGACAGAAATGTTCAATACACACGAACGCACAAACAATCAGACATAGATGCACATACCTGCATAGGTATATGGAGATGGACAATGGCATAATATCTTTTCTCTCATTGACGGGTGTGCGATACATTCATTGGAGAGCATTACGTGATAAAACCTTACTAGAGGACCTATTGATGTTTCCCAAAACGTTAATGGGTCTTCACATTCGGATATATTTTAATTGGTTTTCCCATAAACAATTTTGTGCATATACTCAAGTATACGATTCCTCAAGACGAATAAGAAAGTATGAATATACTCAAGTATCTATGTCAAAATAAACTGTCTACCTTGGAGGAATGTAGGAAAAGTGGTCGACAAATTTTTCTCAGATGCAGTGAAGGTTTCAGCAATCAGTTGAGTTTCATTTTCTGCTAACAAACTTTAAAGAAAGCATGAAGTTCCCAGTGAAACATTTTATGGTCGAACACTTACCATAATTCAAGAGATCCTGTTGACAACCGAAACAGGTTCTTGGTGATTTCTGGTAAGAATTAAGTGGTGCAACTGATGCTTCATTGAATGGCAATACAGGGAAGAGATGATGATAAGATCTAGCCAGATGGGGAGAAGAAACAAGAGTCAACCCACAAATGTTGCACTCTGTGGGTAGTTCACACACCCGCGCGAAACATTGTGGGCAGGTGTAGCCGCCCCCAACCTTGGGTTCCTTGTGGCAAGAGCAGATTGCAATAATGGTTTCTGCTCCTCTTTGAGGAAAGCCCATCTTGATTAAATTAGCAACAGCGTATTCTGCTATTGCGGGAGAAGGAGGGGCATGTTCCTGTAACAGCTCCTTAAAATGTGCCTGCCAAAACGATTGCAAAGGTTCTCAGTATAAGCAACTGACCGTTTACCACGACACGATGAGAAGCACCAGTTCGTTTCTGCTCACCTCATCCAATGCCACAGTGTAAGATCCCCCAGTCTCCGCACAAAGATGCTTACAAATATAAATTTCTGCTGAAAGGCCTACAACAGAGCACCTTATTTTGGCTTTCTTGCAGTTCTCAATGGTTTCCATTATGTTGCCTGGATCACATGTGGTGAGAGCAGAATAAAGAATTAAGATTTCCCGGTGACCATATGACGGAACCTGGGTCAGAAAGCCATGCACTAGATCCAGGGCATTCTGCAATGAAGGGTCTCCAGAGCACTCCAGTTTTCCCATCAGCGCCCTAATCTGTGATTCAGGACTGCCCCCAAGTTCTGTCAGGCGGTGGGCAATACCATCCTTTATTGCAACGAGTCCGATATGACTGAGAGGGTTCTGATCAAAGAACTCCCTGACGAACCCCTCAACGCACTTGGCAACGACAGCCATTCGGCTTGGCCGGTAGTCCGTCTCTGAAGCAGCCTGCAATGAAGGTGAATGAGAGCGTGGCAACATCATAACAATCAGAGAAAGGAAAGGTCTCGTTGTACAGGTCAAGGCAATTAGCATTCATTCAGGAATGGAGTATATATTCGCACTCGGAGAAGCGAGCATAAAACATGCTTCGGAAGGAATTCAGCTATAAAGCATGTTGCTCTCATACATTCTCGAAAGAATTTCCCTCTCTTGTTAGAAATGCGTAAGACCCGAGCCCGTTAAAAAAATAAAATAAAACCAAGCACCAAATCTGACAAGCACAGAGGTAGGAGAACAGGTAGAAAGATGAAAGCGTCGAGAGAGCGCGAAGCGGAGGGGGCACACGTACCCTAGAGAAGTCGATGACAACGTACAGGTACCGGATCAGACCCCTCTGAATCCTGGGGGCTGCAGAACCGGAGTCCCCAGCAGCAGCAGCCGTCCGAAGGAGAAGACGGCGCCTGTACTGGGCATGCTGGAAAGTCTTGGTGTCGATGGGGCGGAGGAGGCCCGATTCGTCCTCCTGGAGCGACTCCCAGGATCGCTCGTCGGCGTAAGCACGCTCCCACGCGGCCAGGCCTTCCCCTTCGAGCCCCTCCTCCTCGTCCTCTTCTTCATCATCCCCTCCTCTTGCTCCCGCGTCTCTTCTTCCTCCCGGCCCGCCCACGCCATTGCCGCTCATCGAGAGTTAGGGAGAGCGAGCGAGCGAGAGACAGGGCGCAGCAGGAGCGGACGCGGGCGGGCCACTAGGGTTTATTAGTGGAGCAGCGAACAGCCCGGGGCTTTCGCGGGCCCCGACCGGGGGTGGGGGGCAATTGACTCTTCCTGGCCCGGAGAACGGGGCTGCAGTTCGACGATCTCACTAGTCCAGGGCACGCTGAGCTGCCGCTGCGGGTGCAACAGGTGGGGAGGAAGAGGAAGCGAAGGGTCTGGGGGCCATTCCCTTGTGGACAAAATTACCTGCGGAGCGACCGAGTCGGCTACAATGCCATGGCGTCTGCAACCGAAACCACACCGCCCGCGGCCGTCCAGACCCCTGTCGGTGGTGTGTGTCATACCATATGCCTGGACATGGCTTGGGTTGGGCCGCCGGGAAGCAATTATTCTTTTTTATTCGTAAAAAATCGTGCTTGTTACCCGTAATAATTGGACAGCCTCAAATAAGTAGATCATAATAAATTCTCTGCTTCTTCCCCAAGAACACCCACCGCGCGCTCTCACCGCTGTCCTCCCACTTCTCGCCCGCCGAGCTTAAGCTGAGAGCTGCTCTGCCCGCGGAGTTTATTCGCTCCTAACTATCTCACCCGTGGCGAATCGCTCTCGCGCCGACGCTGCTCGCCACCGCTCCGACGCCGGACGACTCGGGAGAAGCGGGAGGCGCCAGAGATGGACGTCGTGAAGGCCCAGCAGATCTCCGCTACCCCGGTGGAGAGAGTCGTCGTGCACCCCCTCGTCCTCCTCAGCATCGTCGATCATTATAATCGCGTCGCCCGGGACACTCGCAAGCGCGTCGTCGGCGTGCTCCTCGGCAGCTCCTCCAGGGGAACCGTCGACGTCACCAACAGCTACGCGGGTGCGTATCCTCCTGACTCTCTTTGCCCACGGTTCGGACAGGAAAGAGATTTTCAGATCGAATGGGCGGCACAGCCTCACATCCTGCACGATCGTGATTAGGGTTTAGTCTGACGGAGTCCTCCATACAAATCAAACCCCCTTCGGTACGGTCGACGGATCAGTTTTTGTAGGTCTCCTTTCCCCCCTCGACCCCGGGGACTTGTTTCCGTTCAGCTTTGGGGCACATCGCAAGAATATTGGGCGTCTGATTTATAGATTTGGACACTTGTACTGGGATGTTCAGAATTGTTCGAGGCTAGTTTTTGGGAGCCAATTGGAATTGAAAGTGGATGATTATTGGTCGTGATTACCTGGCCGTAGGAGATCACAGGTTGATGGGTATTAGGGTTCAGTTGTCCGGGATTTGGGTCTTCCCAAGCTCCTACTCTAGATAATGAGAAGTTGACCCACCCTTCTTCTGCTATCCTTTGGATGTTCTCGTCTTTTCATGTAAATCAGGAGGCCTTGCCTGTTCTGAACCTTGCCTTTGCATGTACAGTATTTCGCGAATTGGGAAGTTACCCCCAAATATCCTTTCGAACCATTTTTCCGCCGGTGGTAGCATTTTTTTTTGTTGGGTACTATTCGCTTGAGCTTCTTGTTGACCGTTATTTCCCATTAAAAGTTTGTCAAAGATGAGAGAAAGAGGAAAATTTTCCGTTCATTGAATTTATTATTTACGTGCAGATCAGAAGTCACAGAAATGCGCAAATGCTTGTAATATACAAGAGTGTGAATCATGAGCTCTACAAAAAACATCTATACAGCGATGTGTCTCACTAAAGGTTCGGCATATGAAAAATCTAAAAACCCAATGATACCAAACTAACTGGCCCCACCTTCCTTGCTCCACACCGTTCTTATCTGATCTTTCACCCTGTCGTAAACCAACTTAAAAAGCCTTTATGCATTTGGTACTTTCCCTGTTGAAATTGTCTCTTTCTCATTGTCTAAATAGCCCAGAGAGTTAAACTACTCAATCCCGTGATCGACATTCTTTTTATAATGTATATTCCACCTGTGCCGAAACTGATTTAGGCAACTGAGGTACTCCTTTGTATACTTACTTTAATAAACAACGATTTCCGAATCTTCTTGGAGAAGAAGCATCAGGTTTCCCAAAGTTTATTCTTCCTCCTCACACATACTACAAATGCTGTGAATAATGTATTACAACAAGTTTGTTTTGTACATAAATACTCCATGCGGAGATAATTACTCTAAAGGAGAAAGGGGTTTCAAAATCCCATTTACTATTTGGTATCTAATCCCTTGATTTGAGATAGTGCTATGAGTTGGCTTGACTGAAAGGCTCCCTCCATGTCATTGTCTCCTATGCCAGATTTTTATATCAGCTCTTCTTATTTATTCCTTTACAGGTAGAGGAACAAGATCTTCTTGTAGTTGAATCTGTTCCTTGGGTGAACAAGATCTTTTAGTCGTTGATTCTCTTCCTTGAGGATTATCTTAAACCTTGAAAACCACATTCCTCGCTGTTGTATTTTCAGAAGGTTGTGCAGTGGTAATGTTGGGATCTTTGCTTGTCTTCAAGAGATTTGCAATATCAGATGCCTCACACTAATCAACCTAGAATTTTTTTTGCTCATTCTTTAGATGTTCTCTGGACGATTCTGAGGTGGTGGAGTATGAATTATTCTTTTTTCTCATTCTCAATGGGAACACTCGCTCGATTTTTCTGTACTCTATTCTAATGAGACTTTAAGTTTGGTTAAGAATCTTTAACTTCCTCAAGTAAAGAAGATACATTTTTTTTTTCTGATGACGAACGTCTTTCTGCCTAAACTGCAGTGCCTTTTGAGGAAGATGACAAGGATCCTAGCATTTGGTTTCTTGATCATAATTATCATGAGTCAATGTTTTCAATGTTCAAAAGGATAAACGGTGCTCTTCTATTCCCCTTCCTTTTGTATTTCTTGCCAGTATGCATGATTATCACACAACTTTTTGTATTTCTAAATGCTGAGTTTGAATTTTCCATGATTTTCAGCCAAGGAGCATGTTGTTGGTTGGTACAGTACTGGTCCAAAGTTGCGAGAGAATGATCTGGATGTTCATGCTTTGTTTCATGAGTAAGTTCTTTAAAGGATTTCAAAATTTTTGATGTTCGTTAATATAAAATAGACAATGAAATGCTCGATATTCATGCATGAAATGTCCTTTGAAGAAGATGTGAGTGATCCTGCATATTCCCTGTAAAAAGTGACGTTTAAACTGTATTTGGAGATTACCTCCCCTTGCTTCCATCTTACCTTTTCGTTTTCCTTTCCCAAAATTGGATGGTGCTGACATTAAGTCAGAAAAGGGTAGAGATATAGTTAGGATTTATTTACAAATAATTCCACTGTTAGATAGCCTTATATACCAACCAGAAAGCAGGTCGATATGCTTTGAGAGTTACAACTGTTCGCATGGTACACATCTTAGTTGGAATAATCTAGAGTTCAACATTTGTTGTAGTCTGTCATCAGCCGCAGAAAAGTATAACAATACAAAACCAGATATAAGACACAGCCAGCAGAAACTGCGAAGTCAAATCATTTGTTCATCTTGTAACCTCGTGATCTCATTCTAGAAAACTGTAACATCTTTTTAACTTGCGCCAGTATATGTTTACATGTTAAATCGAATATCACATTGATATTTTTTATTTTTTTGTTCACTGGATTAGTTATGCTCGAACTCATCATCATTTCATATGTTGATAACATATGTTTTTGGCTTAAATTCTGATGCAAGTCACTTGCCATGTCAGTTATGTTCCAAATCCTGTATTGGTTATAATTGACGTTCAACCAAAAGAACTAGGTCTGCCTACCAAGGCGTATTGTGCTGTTGAAGAGGTTAAGGAGGTAATTTTCGCTGCACTAATGTAATTTGTAGTTGTCACCAGAGTATTAGCTAACATGTGAACACTTGCTACAGAATGCCACACAGAAAAGCCAGAAGGTGTTTGTTCATGTTCCATCTGAAATTGCTGCTCATGAAGTTGAAGAGATTGGTAAATGCCTCTTACCCACTATATGTTGTCTCCAAGGCTTTTGTCTAGGCATGAAAGGCGGCCCAGATGTCTAAGGTGTTCAGGGCGCCTAGGCAAGCCGCACCGGTCGTTATGAATACAAATCTATGGGACTAGCGGATTGCAGAAAAATCATATTTAATTCACGTATTTTCAATATCCGTATATTTTTAAATAAATCTTTCCACTGCTAGCTTGTTCACCTGGTTGCCTAAGTCTAAGGTGATGATGGACTATGGTGTTTGTCAAATCCACTCTTCAAATACCCTTTATGACACCTTTTCTTTTTTCTTTATTCCTTTTTTATGATGGTTGTAAAGAAATCATTTTTTTTTCTGATGTAGTCTTTTTTTATCTTCTTTATTTCCTGCTTTATTTTTCTCCTTTGTATGTAGGTGTGGAACATTTGCTTAGAGATGTGAAGGACACAACGATCAGTACTCTTGCAACAGAGGTCGTTTCTCTATTTCTATTCCTTTTTTTTAATGTTTTATGCTCATTTCAGAAACGTTATTGGTGTCTCGATGAATCATAGAAACTTACAGATTGCTTGATCTAGGTTACTGGAAAACTCGCAGCATTGAAGGGTTTGGACGCCCGACTCCGTGACATACGCGGTTATTTGGATCTAGTAATTGATGGGAAGCTTCCTCTGAATCATGAGATTTTGTATCATTTACAGGTTAGACACCCCATCTATTTCTTTATACTCTGGAATTCTATGGTGCTAATTATGCATCCTCCGAAAGGGTGACCTTCTTCCGGTGTGAATTTGGGAAAAAGAGGAATACCCTGGAAAACGTGGCCATAATCAAACCTTGTGTTTTGTTTACTCACGTAGGACAGAGTTCGACAAGGGTGCAAAAACTAAAATTGAAGATCTACTCAATTTTATTGCACCCATGCAGAACAGTCTCTGAGGTATCACCTCTTTTGCCGATGTGAACCCTGTTTTGGTAGTAGTGAGTGGCACAGTTTTAGTTAGTTGGATGAGAAACGAATCTGGATTAGAAACCAAAGAAATACCTCAAGAATTCCACCCTTTAAGTTTGGGATCCTGATGTCTTATTTGAACAAGAGATGCATTTTGTGTGGGCATAAGAAAGAGGACGGGAGAATTGTCGAGACAAGGTGCTCATGATGGGAAGCTCCTTCCCTTCTTCCCAAGATGCCTGGACACATAGGTCTCCTGTCAAAGTTCAACAGGACAACACAAGCATACCTCCATGCCGGTCAGTTTCTGTCATAGGTCTTGCCTCATCTTGACGGGGGACCTTGACGTATCCTTCGCGGCTGAAGTGTTCTAGACCAGAGAAAAATTATGGTGCTGTGAGTTATTTGGGCAAGCATCAACGTTTCTTCTGGTGTGGAGGATCAGATAAGCCTACTCGTGCTCCCTGAGGAAAGAAGCCGGGACAGGTCTCAGTTAAACGTAAGTATCCCGAAGGTGGATGCTGTAGGGGACGCCTTTCCAGCAATCCTCTTACCGTGGTGGCCAGTTCGTTTCAGAATTTGGGTGTCTAGTCGGGTTGAGGTAGACGCACGATTCTCTGCAGGCCGGGTTTTGCCATCCATGTCTGGTGTGAGATGTTCTTGTTCATATATCCATTGCTCGCATAATTATTCTGAACGCTCTCGTGTCCGGCGATCTGCTCGCAGGACGTGTTTAACCTGCTCCCCAACCTGAACGTGAACGAGCTGATAAAGGCTTTTGCAGGTGCGCGTCCGTTGCCTGAAGTTCTGTTCTTTTAACGGAGTCACTCCGTTGGAAGCGTTGCTGCTAATCAATTAATTCCCCCCACGCACCTGCCTTGCAGTGAAAACGAACGACATGATGTTGGTGATCTACCTCTCGTCCCTCATCCGAAGCGTCATCGCCCTTCACAACTTGATAAACAACAAGGTAAAGGGGACTCGCTCGCTCCCTCCATCCCTCCCTCCCCTTAGAAAGAAAGAAGATCATCGCCTTCATCAGTGAATGGTCTCCGAGAGCAACACAGCTCATAGCCCCCTTTCTCTCTCCTAATCCTTTGGTTGGGTTTTAGGCTTTCGTGTTGCAAACGAACTCGTCTCACAGTCTTCTTCTGCGGTTGCTTCTTCGTTTGAGATCTAATCGTGCTATGTTATTTACCTGCAGATGCTAAACAAGGAGCACGAGAATGCCGAGGATGCGCAGCCGATCGCCATAGGAAGCTAGGATCTCTCCATCTGCGTGCCCATCTCTTTTCTTCTTTTTTAATTTCCTCATTCGGGCTCTTTTTGAACTCTCTACCTCTGCGGGCGCCTCCTGCTGCTGATGGGTACCTGTCCGCGACCCAGAAGAAGAAGAAGAAGGAAGACAGTAGAGAAGGGGGAGGGATTTAACGCGGGGTGTCCGCTGCTTGTTTCCCGGCGCGACCCTCGTCGCCGCCGCCCGCACAGACGGACCAGTTAGCTAGCTGCCTTTACTCGGCTTGGCTTGGCTGGGGGTTTGATGTTCTGCAAGTTTCAGTAGTGACCCTGGTCTCCGAATCAATCCTTTCTCACCGTCTCTTCTCCCCATCCTGTCTTGTCTGCTCTTGGCTCGCGTGCTGGCGCGAGCCATTATCGCCTTCGTTCCGGCAGCGAGTTCCTCCATATTTCGACGCCGAATAACACGGACGACTTAAGTTCTTATTGACCACAATTACGGGCTTTGCCATCGGCGCGATGGATGATCGATCAATCCGTCGCGGGGCTAAAACCCCCCCTACCCCCTACTTTCGAGGTCCCCCTCTGCCCCCGTCGCATACCCTAACGGCGACATCCACCCCGCCGCCGCCGGCTACACCCAAATGGCGGCCACCGCCATCTCCGTCGCCCGCCGCAGAGCCCTGACGGTGGCCCTCCGAGCGCTTGGAGGGCCATCTCCAAAAAAGTACCCCTGCTTCGCCCCGCGGGTCTTCCACGGGTTCTGCACCTCTCAGTCCATAAACGACCAGCCTTCCGGATCGCCGGATCGGCCTCCGCATCCCTCCGCCGGCGGCGCTACGGAGTTAGCTTCTCCGAGGGAGGAAGAAAAGGGGAGGCCGCGGCGCCGCCCGACGGAGTCATCTGCGCCGCTGCACGAGACAATATGCTACATGATGGCGAAGCGGCCTTGGACTACTCGCCTCCAGAACTCGATCCGATCCCTCTGCTCTTCCTTCGATCAAGAGCTCGTTCTCGCTGTCGTCCGCGGGGCTCGAGAGCCCGACCACGCCCTCCGCTTCTTTCGCTGGGTTGAAAAGACGGGCTTCCGCCACGACACCGCCACCTACGGCGAGATCGTCCGTCTCCTCACCCGGCATCGGATGCTCAACCACGCGCGCGGCCTCATCCTCGACGACATGCCCAAACGCGGCCTGCAGCCCGACGAGAGGATGCTCGCGGCGCTGATCGAAGGGTACGGCCTCGCCGGTATCCCCCAGGAGGCCGTCAAGATCTTCCGGCGAATGCCCGATCTCGGTGTGGAGCGCGGCGTCCGATCTTATGATGCCTTCTTCAAGGCCATCCTCCGCAGCGGGCGGGCGATGATGGCCAAGCGGGTCTTCAACCAGATGCTCCGGGAGGGTGTGGAGCCGACGCTCTTCACCTTCAACAACCTCATCTGGGGCTTCTGCCTCTGCCAGCGCATGTCCACGGCCGCTCGCTTCCTCGCGGAAATGAAGGAACGCAGCATCCTGCCGGACGTCGTGACGTACAACACCTTCGTCGGCGGGTTGGTGCGCGGTGGGAAGCTTGAGGACGCCGAGAAGATGTTTGCTGAAATGGGCAGCGCCGGCCTCGCCCCCAATTCGATCACCTACGCCCTCCTGATCAAGGGGTACGCGTCGAGCGGCAAGGTGGGGGAGGCCCTGCGGTTTTTTGCCCAGATGGTGGAGAAGGGGATAAAGCCGACGGAGCAGACGTACTCGGCGTTGCTCCCAGGGCTCTGCGGCGACATGGAGAGGCTGGGAGAGGCCAAGAAGCTGCTGGGCGAGATGACGGAGAGGCACATCGGGCTCAGGGATGGCTCAGTGTTCTTGAATCTCATTTCGGGCCTCTGCGGGGCCGGGCGTCTGGATGAGGCTCTGCAAGTCCTCCCGATGATGGAGGGTCTGAAGGCCAGGGCCGATCTGTCGCACTACAACGTTCTGCTCGAGAATCTGTGCAGAGAGAGCAGATACGATAGGGCGGTCGAGATGGTGGACGAGGTCGTCGAGAAAGGCGTTCTCCTGGATCCTCGCAGCTCCTCTTCCGAGATGAGCCCCGGCGCCTACAATCCGGTAATCGAGTACATGTGCCGCAATGGGCTCACGAAGAAGGCTGAGGCGCTCTTCCGGCAGGTGATGAAGAAGGGTGCCGACGATCCGGTGGCCTTCGACAACCTGATACGGGGGCACGCGAGAGAGGGCACTCCGGAGTCCGCCGCCGACATACTCGCCATCGTCAACCGTCGGGGAGTCACCACGGAGAGCGACGCGTACGCGATGCTGGTGGAGAGTTTCCTGGGGAAGGGAGACCCGGCAGTGGCGAAGGCGACCCTGGACAGCATGATCGAGCAAGGTCACCTGCCGAGTCCGTCGCTGTTCAGGTCGGTGATGGAGGCGCTCTTCGAGGACGGCCGGGTCCAGACGGCGAGCCGGCTGATGAGGAGCATGATAGAGAAGGGCGTGAGGGAGAACCTGGACGTGGCTCACAGGATCCTGGAGGCGCTCCTCACGAGGGGTCACGTCGAAGAGGCCCTCGGCCGTATCAATCTACTGAGGGTGAACGAGTGCGCGCCCGACGTGGACCGCCTCTTGCTGGTCCTCTGCGACAAGGGCAAGACGATCGCGGCGCTGAAGCTGGCGGAATTCGGGCTGGAGGCCGACTGCGAGATCGACTTCTCGACTTACGACCGCGTGTTGGACGCGCTGTCGGAGGAGGGCAAGACGATGAGGGCGTACACGCTGTTGTGCAAGATAAAGAAGAAGGGAGGCGCGACGAACCAGAAGGGCTGCCAGGCACTGATAAAGTCCCTGATTGCTGAGGGGAAGACCGAGCAGGCGGACACCCTGTACAGGCTGGTATTCGGCCACGCCCGGGGGAAGAGGAGCGGCGCCTCCGCGGAAGGGGAGGAAGCCGCCTGACTGATCGACCTCTTTGCGCCGGCTTATCTATCCCGGTTTCTCGAACGTTTCTTTCTGTATACAGACAGACATCGGATTGCTGCCCCCAGCCAACCCACCGCCCCTCCTGGAGACAAGTTTTGTGCATTTTTAGGCTGGCTGCCTTCTCACGCCAATTCGACTTATTGAATAGCCCATCGAATGCCTATTAATTGACGCCATTCCCCTTCTAGTCGCCTGCACCATTCACAGATGCCGTAGCTGCAGCAGCTTCACGTGTAACCCGACATGGTAACTGCCAAATTGGCTCGGGTCGACTGGCGAGAGAATGCCGCCACGCCCATTCACAAAATTTGAACATCGCAGTATAAGAGCAACCAAGAACCAATTTTTGTATTATTTACAAAGTCAACTCATGTACACGACGGGACCAGAATCGCGAAGATGGTTCCTTCGGTTCCCGCAGTAGTCTCTTCCGTCTCCGACCGGTTCACAAGTCGTCATCCAGTAGACTGATAATCCGGGGCGGCGCGGTCGTAGCTGCCGTGAGGGCGGGCGGCGCCTGCTCGACGCCAGTCGACGTGTGCCCAAAGGGCCGCAGCCCTCGGTTCAGACTCAGCAGCCCAGGAGGGATACTCGGCAGTACTGCCCCGGCACACTCACGGACGGGTACGCTGATAGAGAGCTGCGGCGGGGAGACAAACGCCGGCCACACGTCACCCGCATTTTCTTCCCGCTGGTTCCGCCCTCGGAGGTGCGGCTGCTGCTGGCTCAGTGAGGCTCCCGGTCGGGGGGCCAGATACGGCGCGGGCGTGGTCGCGGTGGCCCAGAATGGCCGGAGATGAGAACCGGGAGCGGCGCGCTCACTCCCCGCGTGAAAGCTTCCGCGTGGAGCAGGAAGCGCCGGAGAGGGACCGCACGTCGGCGAAGAGTGGACGGCGGGCATATTGGAGATGGAGGAGGATGAGGCCAGGCCTTGGGACCGAGCGACAGCTGGAGGCGGTGACGCGTGGTGTTCGGGATGCGAGCCTCCGGAGGCCGACACGGAGGTCTGCCTCAGACCAGGTTGTCGCAGAGAAGCTTGAAGGAACTGCTGCATGGAACTCAGCGTTGTGCCTACGAGGAAGAAAGGAGGGGCCGTCAATGACCATTCAGGGATCTCTCGCACTCGTTCCGATCGCGAATCTCTCCTATCTCGGGATTTTGTTTAGGGATCAACGATCAAAATTTGACCCCCCCCCCTTCTCGAGATCGGTATTCATCTGAGAGTACTTTCGAAGAATGTCATCCATCTGACTGAATGCTCAAGGGACGGGAAACCGCCCACATCTCCAGTGGCGCAGAGAGGAAGATAACATGAAGCAGGGCCCAATGCACTGTCACGCGAGCATCCAGACAAATCGATGCCATCCTCTAAAATATTCTCAGGTGAACACCGATCGCTAGAAAAGAAGAAGAAAAGAGAGTTTCGCCAATAGTTGGTCCTTGAATCACTTCACTGATTCCCCATAAGACTCGAACAGGAAAATTAGACGCTTGCAAAAAAAATACTAAACGGAATGACTATCATACCTTGCGCAGCAGCCCCGGCGCCGATCATCCTGCTTTCCGTGAACCTGGACCGGAATTCCTCAGCCAACACCCAATTGAGGTTGACCTTGTTGTAGATCTCTCTGAGCAGCTTATTCCTTTCCGTAAACGTCGTCTCTACCTCGTTAAGTAACGAATCATACTTCCTCCGAACCTGGTCTAGCTCTTTCTCCAGCTCCAATTTCAGTCGATGCTTCTGCACGAAGGAGAACGACAGAAACTATCAAAGCTATTGAAACAATAACGGTCATCAAAACTCTTTCGGCCTAGGAATCGGTAAGGAGAGACCTCCTTCTCTCGCATCTCATTTTCTTTTTCTTCCTCTCGTCGTATTTTGCCCAGCTCATTTAGCAGGAGCTCGCGGACTGACACCTGGGACACCCTCGAAGAGGTCACTGACAAACGGCTGCCAGCTTCATTTGGGACGCCTCTAGGATTCTCCGACACTAGTCCTCTCTGAGGTACACCCACGCCCTCGTGGAAGAGAGCCTCAGCACCAGTCGTTTGCCCAGCCTCTGAAGCCGCAGATCCAGGGGGGTAGCGGGGTGACGCGGATGCTTGACCATTGCCACTGAAACCGGCATCTGTAGAAACCTGGAATGAAGTAACCTGGCAAGAATTCCTCCCTTCTCCTCCCATGGTCCCAGATGCATGCCCTGTAGTGTGCTCAACAGATGCATGACCGTCTTGTGAAATAGTTTCGAACCCAGCTGATGGCAAGGTATGTGGAGAGACTGCTTGGGAAGAATTTGCACCCTGACCACTGTCGAGTCTGTCAGATAACGCAGCTTGAGAAACAAGTGGATCTGATGATTCCCTAGTCTGCAAGGGCATGGATTGTTGTTCGGAAACTTGCGATTGATTCATGGGGTGACACGCATTACCCATGGGCTCATCTCTACCTTGTCCAGACCCGCATGCCTGAGAAACATTACCGTGACAAGAGGGCAGATCGGCAGTTACATGTGGCTGAAATGACAGGCCATTGCACGGCTGCTGCAATGGCGATGGGATCAAAAGAGGTGTAGAGTCGTCGAGGGAAACATCAGCTGGTGTGCATACGGAACCACGTGATCCTGCTAGGACAACAGCAGCCGGCTGGGATGAATTCAGCTCCTCTCCATCGCCAGCTATCTCCAAAATGTCAGTTTGTAAAGCAACTACATCAGAATGAGAGACTAATGTTTCAGAAGACTGTCGCGAAGTGGAAAGTGCCCCTGCGTCTGAATCATGCAGCCCTTGCCCACTTTCAAGTTCGTGAAAAATATCAGCTGATGAACCTAATGAATCAGGTTGGCTTGCCTGCAAAGATACGTTGTTCCCCGAAGACTGATGCATTCTCGATTGCGCATGGCTTGAAGAACTTTGAAAATCACCACTAGGGTCAACGCAATTAGGAGTAGAGGGAAGTATAACGGCCTCGGAATAACCCAGCACATCTCCGTTTCCTGTAGCTCCAGGCGTACATACTTTAGGTTGCTGAATAGGCACATCATCAGACTGATCAGATGATTCGGTACCCGAAACAGTCAACACAACGTCATCATCTGGAGGATCTAGTTGTACAGGGACACGATTAGGCCTCTGTGACGCGGCGTCGATGCCTGCCTGGGTACCACACGTCAGCGGTTCAGATCCAATTCCATCCAAAACAGATGGCCTTCCGCCCCCATCACAGGGTACCTTGAGATGCAAAAAATAAATCAATAATACTTAGACCGAAACAAAATATGTTCAGATATTCTTCTGCTGTAACCAGCCCATAAAACAACACCTCATTTAACATCGAATTGAGTCATACAGATGATCAGTCCTTTTTTATTTTCTTTTTATATCATCAATCAATATATTCTAGGGACATATGGGTTCTGGTAACATTATAGAACTTAGCCCTGCCGTTACAACCGCCAAGTAGGGATGTCACTAGAGCGTTTATTACAATACCTGGCTGCATGGAGGGCAATAGGCCAGCCCAGCAGGTTGACACGTGGCAGGAAAATATACAGCGACCTGGAAAAGCTGGACACTCTTCAGGGCTTCCAGCCTGAGCAAAATACCAGGCTAGGAGATTTTTTTTCTTCTAAGCTTTTTGTTCTCCACGATAAGTCTAGAAAACCCGGACCCGACCAGGATTCTAGGCTAATGCAACCCTGAATACTAACACTTACAAGGAGATGCCAGCTCACTCTCAGGCAAATTTATATTTTTCTTTTTCCAATAAGTCGTTCTATTTTTTCAGAACCAAATAATCTAGATTTCATTTTTATCGATCTAGGAACAGTGTCAATATAACTTGATGACAGTGAAGATTCAAAAACCGGTGCCTTTCAAAGTTGGGTATTTAAGATTAAGACTCATATCCGCAAGAAATTGCGAGCAAGCATAGCAACCAGTGAAACGCTAGTCCAAACCAACCAAAAAGTTTTAAAACAAAGACGATCTGACATAAGTATTCATTTTAAAATGTTGCACACTCCACTAGGGCATTTGCTTTAATAAGTTTAAGCTAGCGAACAACAATGAATAAGGTTTATGGAACATAACTTGTTTAACGACGGACTGTGTACTTGAATAGAAAAAAGCAGCAAAGCTTGGAAAAACAAACAGATAAAAAAGCATACCTGTTGAGATGGGAGATTACTCTCGAAACCACAACTTGGTGATGGTTGTCCGAAAGCTGCTACTTCCTTCCTCTCAGGTGAAGCGGATGGCATAGCACATTCTCTCCTACTTTCCCTTCCACATACATCAGGAGATGTAACATTCACTGAACCCTCTTCAATAGAAGCACCATCGTCCGACCTGGACACATTATTAGATGAATTATTAGGACTAAAATCATGAGTAGCATCTCTCATTCTGGGCAAGTCCTCATCATGTCTTTCCACAGTTGACAAGAGAATACTGCCAGACATGTTTTCTTGACAATTATTATCTGACTGGCCACTCGAAACTGGACAAATGCGTTGACGATTCATAGCCATTCCAGAAACATGTGGAACATTACTCAGGTACGAAAAATTTCCAGGTCGATCAACATTTTCGAATTTCTCTGGTGTGAAATCTGTATCGTCTAAAGGAATGTTGTCAAACAATTCTCCAAGTTTACCAGCATTCACTTCTGCCAGCCAACATTCTCTTAACTTCTGCTCCTTATTTTTTGCTTTAACTTGCATACTCATGAGTTTCTTCCTCTGAGTCTTCATGTGCTTCTCAAACTTTTCCGTTGTATTTGAGAATTGCTGTTCGAGAAAATCCAGCTTTTCTTTTCTAACTTCAGAGGGCAAGTCCATAGCATGAATCAAAGCTAATTCCAACTCGTAAGCTTTTTTATGCTTCGTTCCTTCAAGTTTCATAAAATTGTCGAACTCTTCTACCTCTAATTCATGTTTTTCACGAAGTTTATCTGCCCTCTTTGAGCTCGTTTTCTCAATGAGGCTAATTCTTTTACTTCGAATCTCATCCTTTAATAAACTTGCAGGCAAGTGAGATCCCACTGGAGGGACCACAGAAACAGGTATCTGATCCTGCAGTAGTGATATCTGCTTTTGAGAACAGTCGAAGTCACAAATTTCACCTTCTTTCAGTTCTCCTTGGTCACATACTACTGATGCTGGGTCCTTTTTGTGCGAATGTTCATTTTCCATCTCTTTTCTAGGTGTTGTGGCATTTCTTTCAGGGTAAGATTTCAGTTCATCTATTTTGCGACTCAAATAGTTTTTAAGCAAAGTTTTTTTCTTCAATATTCGCAGCTTCTGGTAAACAGACTCGGCCTCTTCCTCCGTACACTGAAAGTTCAAGTATTTTCTGGCAAGAAGAAGCGATGTACTGTGATCCAACTTTTGTTTCATGGTGGATGCTGCTCGCCAACACTGTACAATGAAAATGCATTAAGATGTCCATCGTATCTGAAGAAACGATCACACCATAGCATTATGCTATATTAGTCAATAAAAAACATACGCATGAAAAATTATTGTGTAAGTTGTGAAACAATAATACACAAAGAATTGCGGATAAGGCATTTTCAACGAATACATTAAAGAGCAGTACACAACGTGTCGAAGGGTGACAACAGATGGGAAAAAACTAGGTTGCCTAAAATGAGATGAGTGAAGATGGTTTCTACGAAAAACAACAGGATTAAATTTAGGAAGTGAATTACAAACAGGATGGCCTACATTCTGTATTAGTATTGCTTTCTAAACTGGAGTTTGCAGTTTTCTGAGAATTTATCACTTTTATCTGAAAGCTTCGGTACAAAGCCAAAGCTTTCACCTCAACGATGCTACTTCAAGGAGATGCGTCCTACTGGCGTCATTGAGAGTTTGAATTTTTGACAGAGAATATTCCACTTTCCTACAACTCAAATCACGAAAACAAAGAATGCAATGAGATTTTGTACTTTAGGACTAGCTCGTCGAGAAGGCAAACACAAGAGGATAGATCCTGAGTTACTGTGAAAAACATAACTGTGTGAAACTATGCTACCTCAAGGAGCGTTATTATGTTACATGCTATATCAAGAACAGGTCCAGCTGTTATAAAAGAAAGCAGATCGGAAAAAAGTAACATAGTTACCAAGGATATCTTAAATGCTTGCAATATTGTCTCCGGCTCTTGACTGACGCGATGGTTGTCTATTATGTACTTGAGGAACATCTGAGCCACGCTGCTAATGCCAGACTGCACCGAGGGCACAAACAACGAAATATTAGTAATACTAAGATTTCATAACCTTCGGTTGTTGGCAGCCCAGTACTATGAATCTAAAGTCTAAGCAGTTTCTGAGAAAAGTAGAACACAAAAAAATTAAAAAAATGTCTCAATGTATGCAACTTTTCCAATTCGCACAAACCAAAGGTCCACATCTAAAAGATTATCGTGTCCCAGATGACCAACATGGTTATCTCATCGAATACATCATTGCGGTGTCCATAGGCATGAACTTCAGAAAAAAATTCCATTTCACAGACACTCGAGCATAAGCTGGGTTGAAATCTCGAATTAGCCCACAATTTGAATGCCATGGAAAATGGGAAGCACATGCCTATATTTTTCGAAATTGTGGACGGTTATATTTTATTTGCACACAAATGAAAATAAAAATAGTCAACAAAGCGGAAAATGGGTACCGAAAGTTGCAGCGTTTCACATAGCTGCGCTAACTCCGGCTTCAATAAAAGATGGAGGTTCCTTTGCAAATGACATGACATTGTCTTCTCTTCAGATTCAAAAGTAGCACTTTCAGTTCCTCCTGGGAAGGTATCGGACAAAAGAGATATGTCCATAGCACAGCACGCATTATTTTTGGAAGCTGAAGAACTTGGCAAACAATGTCTAGTAGGAACTTTATCTTTCGGGGCTCCTGATATTTCAGAATAACGGCCAATGTCTGAGAACAAAAAATAAAGAAATCAAAGAATAACAACCAAATAATCTGTTCAGACAGTACCTGGTCCCATTGCAAGGTCAACTGGAGCGCACATTGTTTCATTCTGTGAACTGGAAGATTGTGATTTCACGGTAAATACTTTTTCATCTGGCATTTCAGCAACACCATTGCTACTTGCTACCTTCCTACATTTCTTCCTTGTTTCATCGTTATCAGACCCAGGATGCTGTGGCAAAGAATCATAACACACAGGCCTCCTCCGATCCCTCAGAGATTTCTCAGTTCTATATACCCACCTAGGATTCCTTCCATTCAATAATTCTGACCAGAAAATGTGAGGAGGCTCTTCACTGAGACATGGAAATTCCTTCTCACCAAGAAGCACTACTTCCCTTGAGTATCGTGCTCCATTATGCTGACATTTTGAAATTATGGAACAACTGGCTGTGGTCTGCTCTCCACTGTTCTGGGACAAATGTGTTAACAGTTCTTCTACCACTTCATCCAAGATTGGCTTTTCGAAGAAACTAACTGAACAAATCACCGGGCTCTCACTTACGTGAAACTCGTCAAGCTTACTGAATATGTGGGACGCACCCCAACTGAGTAATGACCGACTAACTCCACAGCTGATATTTCGAATATTGCTATCAAGAGCTGTATCTTGCTTTGCAAGAATTAAAGCCTTCTCCTCAACGGTAAACGCAGAATATAAGCGAAAAATTTTCACACGTCCAAAATTAGAATCAATGCTTATCCTCTGAAGTGCTCTTAGGTCACTTGCGGGGTTCCAGTCACTGCTGAAAATAATCACAGCATCAACAGATGACAGGCGAATGCTGGGAAGGCAAGCACGATTTTCAATTAAGAAAACAAATCTTCCATTCTCTTTGTTATTAAACAGTTTCAAAGAAGTCTGTTTCTTTGACGGGGACAATCCACTATCAACACGTTCATAGGAATCTGCTCCAAATCTTTGACGAAGAAAATCATCCAATATATCTCCAATGGAACACATTCCATCCCTTCCCACCAGCTGTTGCATAAAAAACAATAGAATAACTCCTTAATAAATTTCGTAGTCATCATTCATAAACTACTTTTACAAAGCACAGCAATTAGCTCAGAAAGTGGAACCAGCATATTATACACAGGTTGGTTAAATTTAACGAGAAAAAGAAAAAGCGATCCTTTACTGGCTGATGAAAATCAGAACTCATACTTCTATTCTCATAAATTACGAGAAAATATGAAGAAACTTCAGTTAGGTCCTACGAACACTAGAGAGATTTAATAAAAACAGAATCATCAAAATAGTATTCAGAGCATTTTCAAAGATGAAAACGTAGGCAATCATATATCCGTTTTCACAATTGACTGGAGCAAACAAAGGAAAGGCAACTGAAACACTGAGTGGTCAAGGACCATTAAATACAAGAATCGATTTTAAGCATAGCTTAAAACTTCGAAGTATATCAAGAATAGATGAGTGGTTTTGCCTACCTGAAAAAGGACAACTACTCTATGACTTCGGTTCTTCATCTCTTGAAGAATCCTATCTAGAAGATGTAGCTTGCCACTTGCCTTTACTCCGACGTCCAAATAGTCAGCTGCTGGGAGGTCCTTCGTCAACCTAGCTTGCAAGAAGTCATCCACTAGGTAGGGATGATCACAACACTGAAACGGAAGATGGCAATAATTAAAACCGGTAGGCCTGAATTTATGTTTGACAATTACGCAGATTAGCAACACCACATGGGCATATTATCTACAGAAAATACAGAATGAGAAATTAGCCAGCTAACCTTGTGTTGAGATATAAGGGCATCACTAAGGGCCCCAACATGATCAGTTTTGGACAATGATCGAAGAGATAAGGAGTGTGAAATAAGATTGGCGCAGTACTGCTCTAGTTGTACAGTAGAAAGCTCAACAGGAACCCAGTACTCCAAATATTTCGAGTTCTCGACCTTGACATCATAAGTTGAAAATTTCAATAATCTCTCTTTCACAAAAGCAAGTTCCGTTAAGCCGCAATTGAAACTATCACCAGCACCATCAACAGAGCACTGATTTCTTCCAGAATCGAGGAAGGATAGAAAACTTAGGTATGTACCGATATTATCCTAAAAAATGCCACAGGCAAGCAAGAGTTATTTGGAAGTCAAAAGAAACAATGGAAGACAAAATGAGTTTGAAAAAGGTACCTCTAATTGACCATCCAACAGAAGAAGCCGAAAATCAGAGGAGAGTCTATTGAGGTGGTCCAAATGCTTGGATACTCTAAAACGTTGACAATCGTCAACTATCAATGCCTCCCAGCCAAAAAAATCCAGAGCATCATAGTCCTAGAGAATATCACAAATAGGACAGTAAAATTTACTGCTCTTGTTGTGTCACGAACAAAGTCAACAAGAAATATAATTTAACAATTCAAACAACAATGGCACTGTCAACCTAGACAAAAAATAATTAAGGCAATTACCATAAAAGACGCACCTAGATGTAAACAGGTGATAATTCCACAGGGTGGAAGTGGGTGAGACATAAGGTTGAACCAAGGAACATTACAGGTGAAGCAAACGGTACAGGATAGTGGAAGGGGTCGAGTGCGTAGTTAAAGGTACGAGAATGTTTTATGGAGACCTAGACTCCCATGATATGGGATCCAACCCTTGATCAAACAAACACATGCAAATGTCACTGGATGACAAGCTTCTTGCGATACCAATAGTCATATTTCACAAGTTCCATGTAACTTTATGCGAGTCAAATCAAGCTAGTTCATTCCAAAAGCTCAAACCCTAGATTTTCTTCACAAGCACCCCCAGAAGAGCAAGAAAAGTTAAACCCAAAGAAAAAACAAAAAAAACTGAATTATTGTCCATTGACAACCACATTCCCCCCACTCACTTTCTCCCACCTACCTTTCACATCTGGGAAGAGCTTCTATTACAAGTGCCACTTCTATTTGACACTACGGTTGTTGTATCTACACAATGTAGGAAGACATGAACTCAAGAATGCACTTCACGATTCCAAACGAATTCCCCTTCGTTGATCGGTCTATCGAGATGAACCTGACAATCTCATTCAGGTCCATTGCTAAATGTACACTTCGGGTCTGCATAACCTGCATTATCGCCAACTTTTCAAGCATTAATTACCATACATAGAACAGCACTTTCCTGTCGTCTGTATTCTTGTGCTTTCCCCTCCTTTTACATCACCAATGCAGAAATGGGTAAAATGTAAGAACGAGCATTTCAAAGTATTGTTAAATCATATTTTTGGACCAATCCATTTATTTACATGAACGAATTTCTGTCGACAGCTGTTAATCGTGAACGGGAGGATGAGCAAGTCTGCATCATATTCTAAACCTCAAATATGCATCACATGAAAAGACAACCAAGATAAACAGATTGGAGGTATCTTCTGAAATTGATTAACAGGCCATTCTTTAGTAAGCCTTCTGATAGCCCAGTAAAATGTCACATTTTGATGATTTCAAAATTTGAAGTTCTATAAAACTAATTATTAAAAACCCAGATAGGTTTTTCTCAACAATCTGATATCGGAAATCCACCATCAGGTCATCCACAACATCAACAGCATTTAATTAAACACCACAGATAGATCAACCAACAGGGAAGAAAACAAAAGCTACCTCAACAATGGCATCAGGAAGAGACAGAAGAACTTGAAACTTTATACAACCATCTTCTCCATAAAACTCAAAATTTCTGATGATCTTACGAGCATCTTTGCTTCCACAATAAACTAAAGCATTAATCGATGGGGCCAGACGCCTAAACTCAGACTCCCATAAAAATATAGAAGCACCATCTGAAATAATGAGGAAAGGAGATGAGATATCTGGTTCCGCAGACAATATGAACAGGATCACTTTGACAATTTTTTCCTGCAGAATTCCCAAGGTTAGTCCTTCATGTAACAAAATAGCAAAAAGACTCAGACTAGGTCATCATTTCCACAAAAACCAGGAAACGAACGAAATTTTCTATGAATTTCTCAATTACACTAACTCAAGAATGAATGGCATACAAAGATTAGAAAAACTCAGACTGGTGACTGTGAAGTGACGTCTTCTGCCACGGACTAAGCATTTATTACTGAAAAGGATATAACTGCAGTGGGCAAAGACGAGATGATTGTTCTTTAAACTCAAGCGTGAAGCCAATGACCTTTAATAGGCTGACCTCAGAGTCAGCCAATCAAAGCTGCACTGGCTGCCTGTGGTTGATTCCATTTGAAAATATATTCAGTGGAAATTAGGACTTAGGTGGACACAGGCCACTGTAGGCCAGACGAGGAACGTAATTACAGAAAGCCCATAAAAAAGAAATTTCGAGTCCAATCCTATTCGGATTTTTACCACGAATCACACTGTCAATATTCATTCAAGAACTGAGAAAAGAGAAGACCAAATTCAAAAGCAATGGATTTTATGGCTTCACAAGAAGGAAAGAAAAGCACCTGTTCATTAAGTAAAAGAAGACTCTGTGCCTTAAGCCAGCATTCACGCAGCGTATTAACTGAGTGCAGATATTCACCAAGTGCTCCAGACAGGGAACCATCAGGCAGCAATGGCAGCTGAGATATATGAGTCCTTCGTCCCAACTTTACCAAATATAATATCAGTGACATTATGATGGTCATATCAAAAAACAAAAGCCATTAAGAAGAGTATTAGAAAGAAAGACATCCTTATGAAAAATCCAAGAAGAGAGTCTGACAAGGAGCAAGGAAAATGCATAGAATATTTAAAGAGATTATCAAATATATAATATATAGGCAAAATTCTCAATTGCGATATATGGCAATACCCCCACCTCCAGATTACCTACCAAGCCAAAAAAACCTCAGGTAATTAAAAACACAAATTTAAGTGTCAGGCCATAATACACAACGTGATGTAACACATTACGAGAAAATCAATTGCGACCACTCTTATGTTTCCATAATCAACAAAGGACATAGCAGCACAATAATGTGCCAGGTCCCATGTTTCACATCTGCAGCAGGGTTCGCAATGCTTGACTGAAGACATTGATGCATTAAGAGAGGATAATATAATCCCTGTAATCTCCACATTTTCTATAAATTTTCCCCTTTCCTTCTTAGGCTCCTGTACTTATGTATATAAATGTGTATATAAAAATACCACAAAAGAGGTTTAATCTCCAACTTTCTCTATTCACTCTAACCTTGACAGGATAAAAGACAATATCTTCATTCTCGCTTCTCATCCTTTGGATCAGGTTTCTTTAAAGAGATGCATGCGAAAAATTTGTTGGACACCATCTATTCAATTCTTTCTTTGTTATATGCCCCATGCTTCCCTTCCAGCACGTCACCATTCCTTTGTGCCTCCTTTCCATATTGTTCCCCTCATGCAAGAGCTTTTGCAAACACCACTCTTAATCACTGTCTTAATCGAGCATTGGCCATCGCTATTACCAGTTCCATCTGGCCAAGCAATAGCCACGACTTTTCCAGCCCTGTTGTTTCACCAACTGGCATCATCTGCCATGCCCAGTAGAGTCATCTGTCATCCTTAGCACCCATCAGTGTCAACCTTTAATTGTGAAGTGTAAAGTTGCACCGTGTGGCACTCTTTTAACAAGCAAAGATGGGTAAATGATACTCTTCAAAACACTTCACACAACCTCTTGTTTAACGAATTAAGACAGATGTTTATGCTGACATCAAAATTACACGATTGATGTCCACATTTGTATGGAACAACATTAACACGTACTCTATATCCATCTGGGGACCTTTTGAACCTTCCATCACGTCAGTTTAGTATCTTAAGTTTCTGACTGTCTAGCAATAGTGCTTGCTTCACCAGTGTTTTCTCATGAACTAGGAAACTGACCTTACCTCTGTTTATAACAGTCTCGCCACATTTTTATACCTTCATAAGCCATTGACACTGACTAGGAGTTCACAATTGCCCCAACAGTTTACTTGCCAAAGTCACAGTAAACTATGGACTGGAGTGAGGCTCATCAAAACTCTCAAGCCTCGGATATTCCATTTCCTTTTCGCGTTTCTCCCATCAGCTACAAGTAAACTTACAAGATTAAAGCCAAATTTGATAATCATATCGAACATTCTGAGGGTCAGTTTGCGGCATGCAATCTCACTCAACAAAGATACATTGATTATGAAGTGACAAAATGGCCAGTAAACGTGCGTTGATCCCTATTATGGCTATTCGTCCATGGTCTCTATCAGCCGGACGTTAAGAAAGGATGATCTAAGGAAACCTACATGCAGCCTCCTACTAGTCTTTCGACCTTGCATTTTCGGTCTCTCTACATCCTGCTTAAGGTGAGCAATCCCATCAGATCGTCCTTGGAATTGATTTCCAATAGTGTAAAGGCTTATACTCTCTTCATCTGTGATTTTCCTCATGACCATACCATTCTAGTTCTCCACGTCACCAAAATAGTCAGTACTAGCGAAAGTACAAGTAGCACTGCCTCCGTCAAGTAACCCAAGTTCCATCATCAAAGTGATGATGATGAGTACTTCAGAGAGCTTCTTTCCAAAACTCTTGCTATATGATCTCCACAAGTCTGAATATGCTAGAGAGGAAAGATTCGTTGCTCATTCTTTCCCTGCTTTGAATTTTTTCTTTGTTTGTTCTTATTTAGGCACTTGTGCACATATCTACCAATACCATAACAGAAGTAGGCTCCACATTTCTTCCCATTCTCTATGTTCATAACATCAACAAAAAGATGAAAAGAAAGACCCGTCCACCCCAAAACTGAAGGGGAAACTTCCTAGCCTACCATTGCACCAATTCTTACAAACCAGCTATGAACAGTCTATTAAGAACTTCAAACCAATTTAGAATACAAAACATTTAATCAAAAGAAAATAAATTAATCAGGAGAAAAATAAAAAGATCAAATGCAGTAAACATGGATAAATCCCCAGACAAATAATCCACAATATATCTACAGTCATTGTATGAACCCAAGCTTTGAAGGAAACCTTTTCTGTTTTTGAAGAGTTGAATAATTTCCTTCCCTTCTCGCAGCGGCTTTCAAAATCTCTTATGAGAGCAATGCCCTCGGGTGATCTCAAAAATGATGAATTTTCGAATTCCCATGTAGCATGTTCATAGCCGAGATCAGTCCATTTCACCAGCCACTCATAGTAGCAAGACCTTGCATAATTAATACACCCATTAAAACATTCATCAGCGAGATCTGGGGGCATAATTAATCTTTTCTGCAGCAAACGCTGAGGGAGAGTCCATTCTCTTTTCCAAAGTACGACCTAGAAACCAAAACAATGAGATTAAGAGACCTCTGAAACCTATCTGCGTCAGAAATGTAAACTCATCAAAAAAATACACCGACCTACATTGAAATATATTTAAAAGTAAATTGTAATTCACAGACATCACGCATGATCTCTCTGCAATAGCAAGTCTGATTTCACAGTCCACTGTGGTTGTAAATACTACAGTCATCCTGAAAGAATGCATAGAAACTTGCTACAGATCAGTTTTCTTAAGATATGATTCCAAGCTATCTACAAACGTCTCATGTATACTGTTCTGTCTTCATGAATATTTTCTGATAATTACGCACCCATACTTTGCCTTTTTTTGCAGCAATATTAACAGAAGCTAGCTTTGATTTACATACACATTACAAAGGGGACTTTATTGGTTTAACAGAATTCTAAGCTGTAAAAGGAGGGTAAACCACTAATAATTAATCTGAGAAAATAACCCGTTTTGAATCGGACTGCCCTCGCTATGGCCCTCATGGCATGATCACTGCGGCAGTTTTTTTTTTCGATGTCATAATCATGGGTAGCTTAGTATTACTCATTGCAAAATTTACAAACAGTGTCGCTCTTGTCAATTGGACTTGCCCAAAGTAACGTCATCCCCATCAGCTAGGTGAATTTTGCATGACTTAATGGCACAAGTGGGGATATCTCAACAAAAATGAGTGGAAAAATCCTGCTCGGAGAAAGGGTTCACCAAAGGGAGTGAGAAGGCAATGCATTGAGCACCTGTGAAGCAGAAGGGTAATGGAACAAGAAGGACAGGGAGGACAAAGGTCAGAACCGAAAGCAAGGGAGAGTGGAGAATCAGGCAATGGTTGAGTGTACATGACGTTTCGACGGCAAATCCAGGTGATATCAAGCAAAAAAGTAGACACATTTTTCCCAGTAAACTCTCTAAATGTAGTTGAAAACAAAACTCTGCCCACACAAAAGTCGTCAAGCGCTATAAAGATCATAACAGTATAATACTAAAAGAAATTGACCTTCGCTTTCTGTTTCCTTTTATTGAATTTCTCAAGAAGAAATGGAGCTTCAACAAGCATCTCTTTTTCTGACACCCAACGGTTATGAACATGTGCAAGGCCTTTATACTTGACCAGGTATTGCCTCTCTTTCCGAGTTCCTAGTAACAGAGTTTTAAACGGTAGTAAGGAACAACAATTAAGATTATCCATAAAGAAACTACAAATAGAAGAAGAATTGATAGGCCAAATGAATCCATACCGCTGGAATGTGTTGAATCGACTACTCGAGCATCCAAAACTGACTCCATTCCTTCAGATATTGAATGAACCCCTAACTCTATCTTCTTCCTAATGCAGCAGAGACAATACCAATTTCCGATTGGTAAGTCTTTCAGATGGGTTTCAATGCAAGAGAGATGGTAGCTTCTTCTGCAGCCTTTGCCATTACAGTATCTACAAAAGTACTGAAGTTAGCTATCAATAGAAACACAAAGAAAAGTCTGAAATAAACATTCAACGGTAATATAGTCATTGGTAAGATTAGAATCACACAAAAATCGTGCCCCAAGCGAATAGTTCCCACTTTTTCCAGTGAAAGTGGTTCTGATGCAAAAAACCCATTTATTTGAATGCTAAACCAACCAGATTTATCATGTTCGGCAAAAAACTTGTTAAAATATACAAATCATGATACACTGTATGGGAACTCACACCGTGATGATGGTTATCACAGGAATGTGTAATCCAAGGGTATACTGGAAAAGATCATGTGGAGTCCTCTCCCTATATAAGGGGCGATAGATGTCAATGAAAATCGAGGTGGTCCCCCGCTCTTCCCCTCTGTCCGCTGAGATAGAGGAAAGTTCCTCCTCCACTCTGTCTGTTTCCCTATCTTTGTTTCAACAAAAGAAACAGCTTTTTTTATAGTCACCAAACCCCTCCACACTTAGATTTGAGGCTGGGCCCAGGCAGAGTTGAAAACACCCCACTATACCCTATACCAAACGATGGCATATATTGAAGAATTGAATCCACCACTGGAGCAGGTTGATCCACACAGAACACTCATATCTGAAATCAGTGTTTGTGAAGATAGAGATAAGAGGAATGGTAGAATGACAGCAAGAGAAAAAATAGGGTATGGCTACCTACAATAAAAGCCCAGGGTGACCGCAAATGACACATGCATCACCACCAGTGGCAGGTTGAATGTCTGAACAAGATTCTTTATCCTTCATTGTCGGTTCTCCACTTGCAAGATCTGTGGCTGCATTTTGTCCTCCATCCTAAGTCAAAATATTAGATGAAACACAGCACCGTCAATTTTATCCGCAAGATTTTAATCAGAACAATAGGGAAAAAAGAGATCAAATATAAAAACAATAAAAAAAAGTACCTCTTCAACTGTACAAGACGTATGACATGAATTCTTCAGTAAAGTAGAAACGGCTCCTTTTCTGCGAATCATATAGGATGATGAGCTAAATGTTGCAAATAAACAGCAAAATCGAGAAAATCCTTTCTCACAATGACAAGAAACCATCATGACGAATATGACTACCATGTGAAAATATTGCTCAAGAATGCTAAAAATGAAGACAGAAGATTACCTCTGAAGTTCAGTTGATTCTTCTATACCTGTCTGATCAAAAATCTTAGCAGGATCATCTTTTTCAGAAGAAGAGATTACCATCTCATCTTCATCGCGTTCCCAGACGGTTTTTCGATCACAGCAACCCTAGAATAATCAAAGAATGGAAAATAGATAATGGATAAACTGACACGAAAATTAAAAAAAAACAGACGGAAAATATCTAGAGAACTGAGCAAGACATCTATCTCTAATTTTCATTAAACGTCATCACACATCAGTCGTAATGTAAAACGAAAAACCTGACAATAGAATACAGAAAGCTGTCGTAAAATCGATCTGGGAGAGAGTGTATCTGTTTTTGGCCAACTTTCAAAATGGATAAAAAACCCTTCTTGCATGGGATCAACTCTAATTTAAACAACATGTGCATGATAGCATTTAATATGTTCCACTCGTACTCATTCACGATTGACCAAGCTTTTAATGTTGACACATCTTTAAAAAAACCCAAGTAAATTAAATCTCTACGAACGTTTGCAAGGTGGATCACTCCCTTACTGCCAAGGTGATAAGGTGAGGCACTAGTCATTTTTTATGTAATGTCTAATCAAATAAACTTAAAATTCATTAAAAACTATAAACTAAGTTACCCAATCTGTGAGATTGCACTGAGGATATACATACATACATATATATTTAGATACATATGTCTACAAATGAAACTAACATCAAAATCTCCATATGAGACTTGACCTACTCAACGTCAATGAAAATAATGCAACTATAGATATTTATAGATATCTAAACATAAGACTAACACAAAATCTCCATATGAGACTTGACCTACTCGACGTTATATGAAAATAATGCAAATTGAGCATTTCATTAAAAGAATTTTGTGATGTATAATTCTACAAGAATCCAGAAAACATTTATTAAAATAATTAAATTGAACTTATAATCTAGGCAAAAAACATTATGAGAAAATGTATTACTTATTCTATTCCAGTATTATTTAAGGATATATTACAACAAAGATATGCATTCGGTGGAGCCCAACAAGACAAGCGCAGGGGGCGCCCACTACCACACTCATTCAACATCCAAGCCACTACGGCCTTCTTGTCTAGTCGGTTTAAATGCTTTGGGCATCTGACACACCGTCTTGACAAAGTTTCCACCTGAAAATCATTCTATATTTAAAGTATCACCCTTGTACCCTTCGTTTCGCCATCCTAAACAGATATCACTATCATAGTACCTTTACTCCACCAGACACTAGTATTTCAAAGAAATACCAAACATAAGCAGATGGCCAAAAAAGTACTTTAAGGCTCAAAGTTCAGCGTACCAAACGCTGGCATACAAACATAGAAAATCAAAAAAGGACTGAAATAAACGTGTAAACAACAATATTTGATAACCCAAGCTCTCGACTTCCCGATACTGATTTAAAATCCAGAAAATATGTCAAAAATGAACAGAACTGAAATATTGGAAGAAGTTCATTGGTAGAGGGAAAACCTCAGAAAAACGAATTGTACTATTATTGCATGAGCAAAGCTCCTCCTTGAAATCGTTATCCACCCTGAAAAGAAATATAAACAATGGCAAATCAGTCTGGGAGCTGACATTCACGTAATTAAAAGAAAATAATCAACCAAGAGTATATTACTCTTTGTGACCCACTACAGTCAACTATCCTAACAAAGAATGCACAAACTTTACGCAAAAACAAACGTAAGGAGAAATCCCACATTCTCAAAAGAGTGGAGGAGATGTTCATTCTCATTCTTCTTACAAAGGTAGCATCACATCATAAATAATTAAAGACATCTTATACACTCCAGAACCAGCACAACCCATCATCCAGAAACTAATAAAAGTGCACTGCACAGAATACCTTACTTTGAATAATATTTGAAGAAGTATCAGGCATCTTAGAGTTAAAAGGTTCCACATCGGATGGGTTAAAAGTATCGCCAAAGAAAATAAAGAAATGCGAGCAAGTGATATTTGAAAAAAGTAAAACGAGACAATCTATAGAAATCATACACACAAGTACGGTATACATTCTTGAATAACAATAACTCTTGTCTTCCCCAATTAATTCGTCTTATATCACAACCTTTGACTTATAAAAATATGCATGAATGGTGTTCCTAAACAAGACCACAATATTTCCAAATCCACGCCACACTCTCAAATCAGGAGATAAGTCATGTTCAGAACGCCAATTCAGTCCTGCCTAATCAGTACAGACCATACAAACGCGCAGCAGTAAACCTGAAGCCCATCATCTATGCTTAGTCTACAAGACCACCGCATGAGCTTCTGTCCACTTCAGCCAAGGTGAATCATCTTTTGTGACTCCTAAATTCCCAATATGGATACAACTCATAATTTTTTCAGGTTTCATGTAATTAGGATGCACAAACTCAATATTAAGTCCCTTATTTTCCCTAAATAATTAAAACGCCCTTCGCGAAATACATCAGGACTCACCCTGGATTCATACATCTGGCATGTCCTCAATGATATAATCATTCTTCAAGTAAGAAAAATCATATTCAACATCATACTATTGATCCTACCAATTTTTTTCTCCGTACTATGGGCATTCAGCTGCTTAGCTATTGTGAATAAGGGCTCAATCTGATGGAGCCTCTAAACAAACACAATGGAGAAACTCAAACTCACATGTTATATATCACGAAAAAGTAGCTCAGTAGCACAAACACAGCTTTTACTAGTATTCTATGATTACATGAAACGAACAAGAGAACATTATAAGCACGAAAATAAATAAAAAATCCTTTATCGAAGTCATCAAGATTATATGGTCATCCATTCCAAAAAATAATATTCAGACAAAGAACAACAAAAATAATACGAGCTGACTGAAGTTCGGAAGAAAAAATTATTCAACTGAAGCTACAAAGAAAACAAGTACGATGGCATAAGTACTGACCTAGGAAAGAGTGAACAATTAAATACCTTTGCACACAGAATTCTGTAGCCGGATTGCTGAACTGATTCTTGTCCTCAGATGGAGAACAGGATATGGTAACGTCAGTAACTGAGTTTTGAATGACCTCCGGATTCTCTGATCCAACAATGGTAGCAGAACAATGGCCCCCGTTGTTCTCCATGCTTTCTAAAGAGCCAATAACATTACCTCCTTCCACTTCACAAACCGTGTCAGCAGGCATTTGCATGGAGATCCTATAAGAAAGCTCTCTTGAGCTGGATTTAGATCCTTTATTGTTTGGTTTAAGTTCACCAGAAGCATACCTCTCATTCACCTTTTTTTGTTCATCGGGTAAAACTTCTAATTTGAGCACATCTGTAGAATAGCCAGCTTCTGTTGCGATGGGATCAAGATTAAATGCGTTTCCTTGACTACTTTGCAAAACTGAAAAATTCAATGAAACTTATAAATAAGATCAATGAAATGATGTATGAATATAAGTCAACTAATTTTATAGATCTAATAGAAAAATCACAAAACATGATGGGCCATTAGAGTACCATCCCCAAAGCTAAATGTCAACAGTGTGCAGAAAGTTATATGTTTGGAAGATCGACATTAATGAAATCAAGATATCCAAATTAAAAAAAAACAAGAGAAAAAAGTAATGACAGGAAGATGTCACACCGAGATCCCCGGAGTTCTTATTTTGGGACCTCAACAATGCCCTGTAACTACGCGCATCCAGCCTTCTCTTTGGAGATAACTTTCCCAATTTCCTGTCCATATCCACATTCTTTTTCCCCTCTTCCCTGACAGCTAACATTGATGCCCCACCTCCATTTTTATTCCTCTGAGTTTTTTTATCCACTGAACAGGAGATTTCCACAGATGTAATCAAGCCAGAAGAGCTCGTGGATGCATGCTCTTTGATTCTCTTTGACCTCCTCAATGGACTCTGCTCCCTATTCTCTACTCCCTCGAAATATTTTCCATCTCCTGATGTTGATGGTTCACTTGATGCTAGTCTCTTTGACCTTCTACTGGGTGGGCTTGGGCTGACGTTGCTAGTAGGGGAAACGTCAGTGGACCTTCTGGGAGAGGAAAAATCTGCTTTCGAAGCAAGGGAAGCAGAAGATTTGCTGCGATTTTTTCCTCCACTAGATGCGCTACTCCTCTCGCTTGCAGCTGCTGGAGAACCTGGTGTTGTTGAACTTCTTATGTCTTTATATTTGCCCCAGTCACTGCCACTGCTTGAGGTAAAATCGGCGTCGTCTTTCTTCAGACATCCTGATCGAGTGCTTATGACCATCTTTTCTTACGAAAATGATGTCCTCTTCACAAGGAACTACGACGTGATATCAGAAAGGAAACCGTTTGCTGAAACCACGCCAGATCCCTGCATTGTAAGGCCAACGCTAGTGAGCCTAATACACACTGCATGCAGACGAGTATTGCAACTAAATAAAGGGATTAAAGATTAAGTAGAAGCGAGAGAGAAAGTATTGTGCAACGACAGGCAGATTGCGAGAGAAAGAGCCCGACATAAACAGAAGTAGAAGCCTCAGCGAGGAGTAATTGAACAAAAACCCTAGGTACTTGGTTCCTGCCCCGGAACAACGCCCTGCGTAGCAATTAAACCGTCACCCTGCCGGCGCACTCCCCACGTCCCGCGACTTCTCGGAAAAGTGGGTGGGAGGAGTAAGCAAAAGACGAAAGAAAGAACAGAAAGCAGAGTCCGAGAGAAGGAATGCAGGAACGCATTAAAACGGGGTCCATCGCAACCTCCCCGTCTACCCCGCGGAAACCGTTAATCTGCCGACCATTCAAAGAAAATAGACGACGACAAAACGACAGAATATAGTACTGTCCGTGGGAATGTGACCGTGCATGAGAGGGGAGACGTCGAGCGTAGACGGAGGTAATAGATGGGAGTGGAAGAATTAAGCATAAAAAGAATCGAAGAGAAAATCTGCGCAGGCTTACTCCACGTTCGCGGGAGGGAGGCCGCGGCGTGCTCACGGCTACGAAGCCTGCAGAGAAGTCCCCCGCCTTCGCGACGCTACTCGGAGATGGAGAGGCCGCCGGGAAGAGAGCTAAATAGAGCGGGAAATCGGGGCAGCTCTTCTGTACGTACCCTCCTCTTTCCGTATGTACGCCCAGCTGGGGCAACATTTAGTAGCCCGCGCCTTCTCGCGAAGCCAACCTTTTTACGTGTAACCCTATTGTCATGTCCCCCGGCCTCCGCGCGGGTACGACGAATCCCACTGAAGGTGGCGGAACGACCTCACAGGCTGTCCCTCGCGAAACGCACGCGGTGCCGAAAAATAGCAAAAGAAGACTGCTTGACCCTATACAGAGCATTTATCCACGCCCTGCTAAATGGTGTTTTGACCCTGTGCCACGGCTTTATGCTTCAAAAATGTGCTCCAAGTAGGTAATCCGTAGGTGCAATTATTTGCCAAATGCTTCTCGTGTTGGCCTCTTCCTCCCTCACCGTCGCGCCGTCTGCTCTTCTTCGTTCGCGCTCTTCGGGGGGAACAGATCACGCGGAGGAGTTTCACTCGGCGGGGGCAGGAAAGAGGAGAGCGAGGAAGGGAACGGGAGCGGGATCGTGCGGCGCAGGCCGTCGGCGCACCGGTCGCTTCGGCCACTCTAGCGGCAGAGCGCGTCGTTTTCGACCTTTCCTGGTATCTCGACTGTCGCTTCCCCTCGTCGCTGTCAGCGCGGACTCCATTTGTGGCCTCTGGCTCCTGCCTTCGTTGGTCAGTCTCGTGGATTTTAGACATCTTATTATCCCCTTGAAATGCCACTTTTCCGTTTCTTCATCTTCTTTGGGCATCCATTCGGCCCCCCACTGGAGGTTCTCCAACTCGAGATTCTCCAACCCATTGATCAATCATCTGCTTCATGTTCGCATTGTACCCTCCTCTCTATCCTTCAAGACTCTTCTGCTGAAATTTTGGGATATTTAAGCTCGAGTCTTTCTGCCTAATAGTTTCCCCCGTTTGTGTGCTCGCGGCGATAGTTTCCCCATCTCCCTGCTCTCTTTAATGCTTTCTTCGCATTCATGTGATCAATGTTCTTTTTATCTGCACTCAAATGTAAGTGATATCTGGCTCTTCAACGGTCACTTTGGAACGCGTATGGCTATGGGATGATGTCCGTTGTGGCTGTCAGACAGAGTTTTAGGCTCTTTTTTGTGATGACTTTGAGATTTCGTGATTCCGTGGACGAGAAATCTCTCTGTGATTGGAGAACTGTGGCACCCAACATTTAGGAAACGGAGAAAAGTCAGTAGGGGATATTCAACTTTAGAATCAATTTTCGTTGGTTGATATTTGAGTGGGATGCGGGTATGGAGCTTTTTTCCAGATTATGTTCAGCGAAACATGATGAAGATGGACTAAGTCTCTAAAAGTGAGTCAGAAAGGAAACATGCTACCCGACAATTCCAATCCTAGCATATTTTATGTTCGAGTATTAGGGCAAGCAAAAAATCATCCTGGAAATGCAGCTTACACAGGCCAACTGTGTATATTAATCATAAGATTGAATAGTTATATGTTAGTCATCCCATTTGATGCTTGTAGGTACCGTACTTTATCTACAAGGACATCACGAACCAAATGATTTTACTTTTCTACCTCATGTCTGTAAAAAATTTCAAACATAATCACTCTCTGCTGAATTTAAGACTACAAAGTTGAATGTAGGATATTCTAGTTACATTTTTCTAATTTGCCTGTCAATAAATTCTGTTATGTTTTGCCTTGATGAAAAGGATATATTATCCCTCATGTGATTGATTGAAGTGAGGTCAAGGGTCTTATCTGACCAAAAAGGTCCGTTGGAAAGTGCCATTTATCTGATTCCAAGTGGCCCTGTTTGGTGCATCAATAAGTGGTGAGTTATTCTTCAAGACATGTTAGCTTACTAGGCACGAACTTTATTCCTCATGCATATCAAGTACATTAATCAAGGAATATTCTCTGTTTCAAAGAAAATGCCACCGATCAGCCAATGCAGCATTCTGAATAGACACCTGCCTAATAGATGGAGCCAGCCTGTTGCAGAAACGACTCTTTATTTGTTTCACCCTGTGTCAGAACGATATATCAGACCTCCAGTATCATTCAGTTTCGATATGAACCTGAGTGGTGTTGGGTAGGGCACAGAAAATTCTTCATTCTTCGTCGTTCTAAAGAAATATATGTAGTTCGATTGCTTAGTATTCAGGGAGATGAAACCTTGGGAAGGAACTATCAAGAGATGGTCTTAATAGCATGGAAAATGACCTTTGTGATGGAGCATGAAAGTTTAATTGCATAAAGGACATTGTTCGAGGAGATTTCTTTATATGGAGCTTTACCTGTACTCTATTGATGCCCAGTGAAAAGGTAGTTTATGCTTCCCCTAGGGGCGGCTCATTTCGCATTCTGATGGCCTAGCTCCCCTGGATTCGTCTCAGGTTTTTTTTTACTTGCAGAACCAATGATTATTTGATTATAAAAGACATACAGTGTTTACAGGCATATCTAATCAGCTCTAGATGAAAAATTCCAGATAACAATACACTGTGGCATGATAGTTTAGATTCATCTCTGCCCTTTAACCTCTCAAAACTCGGTGAGTGGGTGAGTGGGTGTGTGGGTACGTACCATCCAACAACCAGATGTTTGGATTTGGGCTGGATACCACTTTAGCCGCCGGAGTCAAGCAGATGGACATAGAAGGTGATTCCATTAAGTATTGAGCATGTTTTCATTTTCTTGTATCTTTGAATTCGTGTGGAATAATATACCAAGGTTGTTAAAGTAGCCTTGCCGTTTCCATCTGCAACTGTATTCTCATATTCATAGAGGATTTTCCTACTTTTGATCCAGGAGCATGTGACATGTTGATGTTCCTTTTCGTACCCAGGGAATTCATGTTCTCTTTGTAGTCTTGGGCCAAGGAAACGTTTCGGTTTCATAGATTTGTCAAAAGCATAGAATTGCTTGTAGAATCTAGTTGTCTAAAGCATAGAATTGCTTGTAGGACTTTGCACGAAAATTAGAATCTAGTTGCCTGAAGAAGCAAAGTCTTCTCCGAATCTAGTTGTCTAAAGCATATAGTTAAATCCTTTTTTCCCCTCTCTGTTCCCCTACCTCTTTTGAGGAAAAAGTGAAGCCATCGAAACACTTAATGTTCATTTCATAAAAACAATAATTGGTGTTGTCTGTCCTTTCGCAAGGTCCATTTTCTTTTGGGTTAGAACATCTGGTCCCTTTAGTGAAATACGTTTTATCTTATCAAGGGAAACATCCTACTTTATACTACGTGCTCATGACCAAAATTAGTACATATAGAAAAATAATGTCACGCCCCCGATTTGTGAGTAACCAGTGCCAACAGAGTGCGAGTGCCATGATGCAGATGAAATTCAGTGAACGCTTTTCTTTAATTTCCTGTTTCTTACTCTTCATAGCAAGCATTTGAATTATGGGACAACATCCCGCGTTGCATTATGGAGTCATGCTTCCATTGTTATTATAATCCGCGGAGTTGTTATTGTGTGCCTTATTTTTTGAAACAGTTTCTGATCTTCGTGATGTGCCCAATCCTGTGGCATCACGTGTTGATGTGCTCTGATGAGAAACTTGCTTAAATCCTGTGGCATCACAGGATCTGATGAATGGCGTTTCAACATCAGGTGGTGGTGTTCGGGCAGCCCTCTCCTACTGCGTACAGCAAGTCCGCACCTATGACTACCACCACTACCTCTGCCTTCTTCACCTCCCTCCCCTCGTGCGCAAGGCTGCATTTGCTCTTCGTGCATTTAATATTGAGACTGCCAAGGCCATGGATGCCTCCTCCAATCCCCCGGTTGGTCTCATGCGCCTCCTCTGGTGGCAAGAAGTGGTGGACAAGATATTTTCTGGCAAGCTCGTGGAGCACCCAGTGGCACAGGCTCTCTCTTCTGTAATCGGGGAGCAGAGAATCAGTAAGCATTGGCTCAAGAGGTCAGTCGAAGCCAGGATAAATGACGCGAGAAGGGAACCCGGCGAAGCACCAGAAACAATAAAGGAGATAGAGAAGTATGCAGAAGACACTCAATCCACCATCCTATATATGATCCTCCAAGCTGGTGGGATTCGAACTGCTACGGCAGATCACGCAGCCTCTCACATTGGGAAGGCAGACGGACTTCTCCTGCTTCTCAAATCCTTACCTTACCATTTGAACCGGGCTGGGAGAGTTTCTTATATGCCGGCTGAGGTGGCAAGAAAGCACGGCATATTGGTCACCGGACAAGGCCGTTCGGAGATCCTTCTGGAGCCCACCGAGCAATTCTCTGAAGCGGTCTTTGACGTGGCATCTGTCGCTAATGCCCATCTCAAGAAGGCTCGGGAATTGTATAGCTCCGTGCCGGCTGAAGCCCTCCCGGTGCTGTTGCCGGCGGTGCCTGCTCAAGTATTTCTGGATTCACTGCAAAGGGTCCAGTTCAATGTGTTCGACTCGAGGCTATCCCGTGGTGTGATGGGCGTCTCCCCGTTATGGTTTCAGTTGAAGTTGAACTGGCATGCGTGGAGGAAGTCGTATTGAGAGAGGCTGATCCTCTTCCCTCTCACTGCCGGTATGCATGCAGCTCCGTCCCAATCTTGCCTTTTTGACCATGACGATAGGAACCCTGAAGGTCAGAGGAGAGACTGTGTGAATCCTCGGCTCCTCAACAGCGGCGGAGTAGGTGGAGATGGGGAGAGGCAGGCCAGTGCGACTAACTTCTCTCCAGTATTAGACCGATCACAAGTCTTCTAGTGCACCGACAAAATAAATGCTCCGTATTCGTTCATGCCTGCCTACTGACCATGCCATTGCCTCGTGTATTTCATGTTATTGGCCTTTCGATGGCGATTGAATCTCTCGTGTTGCTTTCGAGAAATGTTTAAATGCCCCATGGTCTCTGTTTACCTAAGCTTGGAATGGGAATGAGGAGGCGCCCCCCCCCTCCATGTCCTTCCTCACGCAGCAGGTCGAGGAGAAGTATTTGCGAAGCTACTCTTCGTAGAAAACGGATTCAGATCTGCACCTCGGTTTCACCTCGCATGTTTGGGTTATGGTCTCATGTCCGGATCTTTCTCAGCCCCCCAACTGATCCTTCTCCTTCAAGAGAGCAACTTCGCCGGCAGAGCAGGCACCAACCCTAAGTCGCTTTCCTTTCCAAGAATAGGAGATTGTGTGGGGATTGAGTTGACTGTGCATGGTCGGCATCCGTCCTTACTCCGCATCGCATATTCTTTGTAGGCAGTGGATCCAAGCGTGATGTCGTATCATGCCAGAGCTGTCCCCGTGCCTCCATTACTGACCGAGGGGACTCGTCAGAGTGTGAACTAAAACCTCCGTGTCAACCCGAGGATCCTTTTAGAGCAGGCTGTCGAGAACGTCAAGGGCCGAAAGTCCCCATCCGTCTACAGAGGGGAGTTTTAGGTCGTTCCTAGAGATGGATCCTCGGCTGAACCTCAAGCCGTCGATCCCTTGTAAACAGGTCGTGTCGATTAAGACCACCGACCCGTCCTCATCAACTCTATGGTAATCCCCCTAACTTTCATTTATCATAGCTACGGTTGCAGGTCGCCATTTCAACGTTGAAGGAAATCGCTGCTAGCGACTGTTGCTGCCCGAGCGGGTGCAACTTCTACACTGTTGCACCATTTCTTCTGTTCTCCTGTGCTGTGACGTGATGGTACAACTCATTTGGTGTGACCTCGACCGAACCAATGGGGACGGAAGCGAGATGCGCACCGACTCCTGTAACAACCTGAGCATGATTTGCAGCCATCGCGACGGGCGCCGCAACAGCAGGAAGCAGGCGGCTACGACACGGGGGCTCCAAAAGGGGCCAGTGTCTTCTTCGTGGACGAGGCTGAGAGTTGAAAGAAATCGAAGATAGAAGATAGAGGAGAGGAAAGAAAGAAAGAAGGAGGTAGAGAGAAATTTCAGAAAGAAGAATGAATTGACTCTTTTTCGATGATGTTTGTCATATGCATTGTACAGTCTTATTTATAATGGTTTAAGTGCTTAATCTAGCCGTTGGATCGTGTCTTCTGTTACGGGCAGTTTGCTGGATTAACAAAGAATCCAGCTGCCTAAGAAGCAGCCGGAAGAAGAATAAAAAGAAATGGCTTGGACGGTGCTTCATCTCCGGTCTGTCACAGGAAAAGGTGCACCGACCGCTGACACTGCCTCAGGAGGAAAATTCACCCACCTACGCCGGATTATACAGCTCTGCAGGTGGAGAGAAATTGCCGGCCACGCAGTGGATCCGTCGATGAGACCAAGCAACCCGGTACTTCGTGGATTATCTTAAAAATCCTCCAAAGTCGCTGCGGCACAGCGTGACTTAATCAGGTCCTAAGACAACGTACGAAGTAAAGTCCTCCATTAGCTTAATGTAGCAGAAGTAGGAAGGAAAATACTAAGCCGCAAAACGCGAGGTTTGCGCGCGTTGGCCGTAGTCTTTGTTTTGAGTTCTCCGTCTCGATGTATCCAAGAACGACATTCCACGCCACGCAAGATAATACACCGTGCCGTCATTACGCTCTACTCCCTACTGCCCAGGAATATCAATGGGGACCACGGGATGTTCGATGTGAAAGGGTGACTGCAGGGACTCCTGGCGTGAGACGGAAACCGGGGAAGATGAAGTCATGAGTCAACGACCCGTTCACACGAATGAAGCATTTCACCTGCTCTTATGTGTAACAGCCGATCGTCGAATATATGTCGCTCCGCGACAGTCGGAGCAGCGTCCCGCCGACGTACGGCTTGCGCAGTCGTTCTCGGAATAAAAGCTTTAACCTCTCCGTTTTACACCAATACCCACTTCGTCCACAAGTTTTCTATACATCGATTGGCCATCTGAACTACAGGTGCAGTATTCTCATAGGGTATTTATTATACGTGAAGATGGCTATCCAGGGAACCCGCAGGCGACAAACTGACGAAAAGAGGATGCGAGGACGTGAATCGGGTATATTCGCTTACAAAAAGCCAAGTCTCATGTTTCACCAGACTCCAAGAGTCTCAGGGGATCCCATCTTGCGTATGTTGAGATGCCGACACCACCTGTAAGTTAAGCTTGATAGACTATCGTTTATCGAACCTTGATCAAACACCGTCTCTCTCTCTCTCTTTCTCTCTCTCTCTCTCCCCTAATTGTAAAGTAGATGAGAACGGCCAAGGAACCTCCAGGAGTAAAGAGTAGATCCCCGTCAGAATCGAACTCAAACATTTTGTTATCTGACTTTCCCCATCCGTCGAGTATCCCTTTAAGATTTCAAGATCATGTGAATTTGTTCAGCACGCAAAAGTTTTGACTTCTGTCGGAGGCGATATTGAACTCCCTCGGTGGTTACAATTGGATTGCTCATTTTGTGAACAATGTCCATTAGGCCATTGTAAATGAGTTCATACCTCTTCATCTCTCTCTCTCTCTCTCTCTCTCTCTCTCTCTCTCTCTCTCTCTCTCTCTCTCTCTCACCTCTCTCTTCCCCCCCTTTCTCTCCCTCCCTCTCTCCGTCAAATAATTTGTCTTGTCTTCCAATGAACGCTGTTTCATTGACAAGTACCTATATTTCATCGGATCTTGTCCTCATGATTGTAAATGGTCCCGTCTAACTTGATGGACTCGAGGAGGCGATCGTCAGGTTCACACCCATTTTCTACCTATCCATCTTCCACCACTAGTTGGTTGAGCATCTTGTGGGATCCCGCATCGTAGTCGGGCCCGCGAATTCTATCGCCCATGCTTGGTCGGTTCGTCTCTCACCATCCCTAATTTTCTGTATCGTCTGGTTCGTCGCGTACCTCGCCTAGTGTAATTCCCTTGGCATTCTGATAAGCGTTGCTAGTTCGGCACGCGGATCTCGGCCGGCCCAGTGAGATAGACTAGAACCCACTTGTGCAAGGGACAAGGGCAACTCGTCACCATCTCGACAGGTCCGGACAATGGTCTCCTTAGACCTGCGAAAACAGGTAAAGCATCAATCCCGCCAACAGTTTTGAAACCACTGCCTGACTGACTTCATCCAGGCATCCTTATGGATATATAAATGAATATATATATATATCCGTATTTCTAAATGAATATATAGCCAGAGAAATAGAGAGAGAGCTGAATGGCTGAGAACCACGCATTACAAGCTCCCACCACGACAATAAATATAAATGGATGCATATTTACAAAACACACAGAGTTATGCATTGCGTAGCGTGGGCCTCAGCCGAAATCAAAGCAGAGCGATCGCAGTGGGAGATCCTGATGTCGCCTGATCAGACATTTGTCTTCCCCGCAGGGCCTCTTCAATTCGTATTAGTTTAAAGAGGTTTGTCCGAGTCAGTCGTTTGAAGGGGTCAACACTGGATGAACCATTCCTGACGCCGTCATGCTGCCGTCAACGCGGGTGAAGATTTGGACCTCTGCACAGAAAACATCGGGAATTGAGTTCCATGGAGCTCGCATGAGGGCGGCTGCGCGTGGTTGACGTCAGCCTGCCCGATCATAGTTTGACGTTCAAGCAAGCTTGACGGAGCCTCATCTGAATTCGGGAGGGATGATGCAAGAAGAACTGACTTCCGGCATGAAGAACCTAAGATTTCGATGCCGTAGCATAAATATTTGATATTTACACGACACTAGTTATAATAAAGGGCATCCTCATCGGCTTGCTTCGTTGGTCACATCTCTATGATAAAGAGGGGAGTGAAGTCGTCAACGGAGGTGAGAAAAGGTAAAACTGAACCCTTCAACGGCCCAACGGTTGTCATTCCCCAGTCCTCGAGGTGAACCCGCCCCCTAATCGTCAAAGCCGGGGAGCAAACCAAGTCTTCAACCATCAATATTCGTTGACCTAATCTGATAACGTGCGATAGCGATCTTGGTACCGGGAGAGTCGGGGCTGTTGCTTTGCCGGCGGGGAGAGCAGGAGGCTCCCTTCGAAATCTTCCCCAAGAGAAGTTGACTGTTTCTATCGCGTTCAAAGCAGCTTAGATAGACCGATAGGATAGGAAGACGAAACCAATGAGGGAAGAGGGGGGGAAGGGGGAGAGTCAGGGCTGGGACCCAGATGGCCAGTCATACCGTCTCGTCGCCAGCCAGTCATACCATCTCGTCTCTCGGTTCCCGGACCCAGGAGGCGGTTTTGGCCTCCCACGTTTCTTGTATGGCCAGCCGTACGGTGCTTCTGGGGTTGACCGCCAGAGAACGTTGAATCACGAGGCATCGTGAACGCCTTCCGCCTCCCGTTTCTCCGTTCACTGCGCCTTTCCCGTTCTGCCTCGGCAGTGGGTCCGGAGGAATCAGGCTCGACACTGGTCGATTGATCATCCGTAGGACATGAGAGAGAGAGAGAGAGAGAGATTTTCCTGAGGCACGCTTCATTGACTATTCGACGTCATGCCAGAAAAGTCTTAAAGTCCATGCGCACGCTAACGCCAAATTGAAAGAAAACAAAACCCTGAGAGCACGAGGTACAGATATTAGCTTGGCATCTTCTTCAGGGTAGCCTATCATGCCTAGTGGAAAGCCTGGCTAGCAATCAATTTAATATAGATTAGATCCCCAATACGTATGGGGCCGCCGAGGAAGAGCCGCGATTGGTTATGCCTCCAGCTTCCGAGAACCTTCTCGCAGGGGTGAGAACACTTCTCGGATCGGAGGTTGACGGGTTCTCTGGTCCTTTTGGCGAGTGAAGGGATAAATAGAGAGGAGGGAGAGGGGGAGTTGCAGGGCTCGTCTTCTCTTGCTGGAGGGAGAAGAACGAGGGGACAGAGATAGACAGTCGGAGAAGAGGCAAGGACGCAGAGAGCAGGAGAATAAAGAGAGGAGCTGCTAACCGCAACAGAAGATGGTGAGGGCTCCCTGCTGTGAGAGTATAGGCTTGAAGAAGGGGCCCTGGACGGCGGAGGAAGACCAGATACTCGTCTCCTACATTCAGCAATACGGCCACGGCAACTGGCGGGCTCTCCCCAGGCATGCCGGTGAGTGTTGCACCAGTGACAAATGGACCCCTTAGGTGCGGTAGAATGAAGCTGGGTAGTGATCAAGAGAGTTGCTGATGCTACACTCCATTTGATACTCTTGTGATGAAACTAAAAAGCTCCGGTGTCCTTGGGTTTCAGGCCTCCTTAGGTGCGGGAAAAGTTGCCGGCTTCGGTGGATGAACTACCTCCGACCTGATATCAAGAGAGGCAACTTCACCGAGGAGGAAGAGAACGCCATCATCAGCTTGCACGGATTGCTCGGCAACAAGTACTATTCTTCTCAAGAATCTCTTCTGGAAGGTTTAATCGAATTCCGCACCCTCGCTAACGTTGCTGTTCCCAATTGCGTGCGTTTCTACAGATGGTCCGCCATTGCCGCTAAGCTTCCGGGCAGAACTGACAACGAGATCAAGAACGTGTGGCACACCCACTTGAAGAAACGAGCGAAGTCGAATGGGGCTGAGCGGGAGGAGCCCGTGAAGGAGGCGGCGACTCCATGGCGATCATGCAGCGAATTATCCTCATCTACTACCACCGGCTCTTCCACCGCCACCCGCGGGGCATCGGTGAACGAAGGGCACACAGGATCGCCGCCGGAGCCGCTGGGAATGGACGAGGACGACTGGTGGTCTGAGGCCCTATCCTTGGACAGTTCCGTCACGTCGTTGGAGTTCTCCGATTCATCCTCTTGCCTCCTGCCCTTCGACCGAACAGATGTCTCTTCCGGGGATGAAGACGAAGATTTCTGGATGAGGGTGCTGATGGAAGTCGGAGGGCTTCCGGAGCTTCCGAACTTTTGAATGGTCTGACCACTGTCAGCCTACATAACATCTTCGTCGTTCCTACATCTCCACAACCCAGCGAACAAACAAGAGCCGGGTTGTCGCCGTCTCACTCACTGATATGGAGTATTCCTCCAGTCTGTACATAAACCTAGATACAACCTGTGTAGAACAAGAAATGGAGGCTTGACGCCGCCACGAAGATTAAACAAGTTATTCGAATTGTTCACAGAGAGACATACTATACTCCTTCAGCGTGGTTTCGATAGTCTGCGCCGATTCACGAGCGTTTTCCGAACAGCAGAGCCTCATATGTTCTTCTATGCACGTTCGATTGGTGATATCGACGAGAACCAGGCCAGTGGCTCTCTCTCTCTCTCTCTCTCTCTCTCTCTCTCACACACACACACACACACATCCTCGTCACGAATCCATCAGCAACATCGCCAAAAGCAAATTATCTCAAGGTAAACACTGCTGGACGGCATCTCAGAGGCGAGCTCATCTGTAGAGGGAGCTGTGGCCGCCACCTCTGATCAGAACATTTTCAATTTTAGGCCAGCGAAAAGACAGTCAAGATCATATCCCATCGCCCGTGATGATGGGCTAAAAGTTATGAATAAGAAGACCTATTTCCCGGATGTACCGTAACGCTAAAATCTGAGTTACTCGTCCGCCATTTTCTCTTGAAATCCTTTCGTGAAGAAGAGGAGGAATGTGACGCGAGAGAGAGAGAGAGAGAGAATTGGTCACGAAGGTCATTTTTTCCTCTTACCCAGTTAAATGGCTTGGGAAGGCGGCCCAGGGACAATCTTTCAATTGCATCGGTCACGTCCGCATGTCTCCCTTGCATGTATTAAGGGAAAGTTCAGGAAGGCGATTAAGGTGGACTCGAGGGAAGAGAGGGCAACATCGGCAGGCGAGACGAGGGCGACATCTCATCCCATTTCCTTCGATCGCCACCCGAACTGGGTCCTTGCATTAATCTCTTAATCTCTCCCTCCCAATCAAAACCCACCAGAAGAAGAGGAAGAAGAAAAGGAATACCTAAGACCAGCCGCGAATGCGATAAGATTGTGTTCCAGTAATAATGGAGAATGAAGCCCCAGAAAAGTCAAGCAGGCTTCCAGCAAGGAATGGAAGCGAAGATGAGGGAAATTTCTTTCTGCGATAGAAAAAAATATTTTTTCAGGTTTATTCAAGAAAACCCCAGATCAGCTTTTCGACGACATAACACTGCAGGCATGGGGTGTCGCTCAAGAGAGGCATGAGTATGCCAAGGTCTTCTCCTCGGTCAGCTCCTGGGCAGTTGCATCCATCTTCTTCCGAGAGAACTCGTCAATTGGCAGTCCTGAATGGGAAAAATACCTTCTCTCAGTCTGATTCACTTTCCTCCCCGCTAGGATCTGCAGCGGTGTACAATGGAGACAGAAATTCTATGCCTAGAAGATAAATGGATACCATAAATACACCCAGACATGAAAGAAGCACTAAGGTCCTTTTCTGTGGGACCCGATGCATATGAAATATCTCTAATATATATTCACACAGGCACACGCCTCAATATACAGCCCTGGAAGACTATTTTCAAGTTAGCTGATGCCTTCGACCTAACGGATTATTAGATAAGAAGGTTTAGTATTACTTCTTAGGCAAATTTTCAACCCATGGGGCGGGGCTGATTGGCTCGTCTGTGGGTAGCTCACAGTATGACCATGGAGTGTTTCACTTGGCTGTAAATAGAAGAGACACCGCTTCATCGTAAAATTTACTGATAAGAGTATTCAGAACATTTGTGAAGCAGCTCCTGATACCCAGTTGAAATCTAGTTCCGATAGAAAAATCCGGAAATATGCACACACCTTGTACGATGGACCAATCACCATTCCGGCAAGTCACTGGGAAAGAATAGAGAAGCCCAGGCGGCACATTGTATGATCCATTGGAGTAAATACCCATGGAAACCCCTGTGCCCTAAAAAAAGGGTATAGGCAATCAGGAATATTCTAAACAGAGACTACTGAGCTCCCTGAAAATGAAATAGTAGCAACCTCTGGGGTCCCAAGCACCCAATCATGTATGTGGTCACATGCAGCACTAGCAGCAGATAATGCACTGGAAAGTTTCCGAGCTTTGATAATTGCAGAACCACGCCGTTGAACAATTGCAGGTTATATTTTCTCAGGGATGGACGGAGCAAATTCTTTCAGGATTAAGCCACTGGTGTTTGTAGGGTTGGCAACAACAAGAACCTGGGTATTTCAAAAAAAAAAAGTCCTTTAAAAATGGCTAGATGGTCCAGATGCTGTACTCAATGACAGAAAAAACAAGCATGCAGATTGAAATCATCGCAGCGTTCATTCTTTCGACATAATGTCCAAACGATGCAGTTCATTTCTCTTTTGAACTTCAATGTCCCTTTGCTTGTACATAGATGCATTCCCGTACTTGCCTTAAGCTAATGAGCGTAATATACCTTACAGTTTGCAGCTGCATACTGCTCGAGGGCTGAGGCCTGAGACTTGTATATGGAGACATTTTTTGACATGACATCTTTTCTCTCCATTCCTTCCTTCCTTGGGAATCCACCAATCATAGCTGCTATGCTGACGCCAGAGCAGGCTTCAGCAACATCGCCTGTGGCAACAAGCAGCCATACCTTTAAGAAGAGGAAAGGCGGCATCAATCAACTCCATTTTCACCCCATTGAGGGCTTCAGCTGCGGGTGGAATATCAAGCATGTGCAAAATTATAGGCTTGTCTGCTCCCAGCATCACTCCCATAGCAATCATGAGCACGAGAGCATATCCAATTTGACCTACAGAGAAAATATCGAAGCCAAAAGTCTTATAAAAGAAACGAGCATGAAGATGAATACAAGTAAACAAATAGGTCCGTATAACGTGCTCTGTTTTGCATCAAATGAACAAAGAAACTGATGAATCCACCACAGTCCCAGTCCAGAATTACAACAAAACTACCCGGTTTTCGAGTGATACATCCACACTGAACCGGTTCATTTAGAAATGTAAAACTAATGGAAAGTGCAGAACTCCACCTACAGTAACGAGTCTGGTCCCTCATAATTCTCTCTCTCTCCCTCGTTGTCTCTCAACTCATGCGAACTCACCCCACGCATCCCAAACATCATCGAAATAACTGCGTCAGAAAAATGGAACAACACCTGCACTCAAAGATCCGAGGAATAACGACAGATCCACTACACTAGATATAAAAACAATTTAATAAACACCGGTAAAAATACATCCCCTATCTGTGTATTATTTTTCCCCGTAAATGAAACCTCAAATGCCTTTTACATCTCGGTATTATTTTTATTCGTAGAAGGAGCCATCAGTCTACGAAGACAAGCTCAACGTAAAAATATTAAATGGACCTAGTCCATCGCACCAAAAGACAGCAACCATATGATCAAAGGGCCAGAAAAGGAATTAATTTTCAAGCCCCAGAAGCCAGGAGACGGACTCTGACGCCATCGCCGGAGAGGGGAGCGTCAAGCTACCTGCTGCGCCGATGACGAGCACTCTGACGGGATCCTTCGCCATCGCCGGAGAGGGGAGTGGGGGTCTTGGAAGTGGGCACGTCGCCGCTGCGTTCTCCGATAGGCCTACCGGGGAGCGTGTAAAGCTCCGGTCGCTAGCCTCCTCTATATAATACGGGGAGAAGAGAACGTGGCGACTCGACTTTTGTCCTCGGGATCTGCATGAAGCGGGGCTATCCTACCGGAATCCGTTTGGCCAATCTTTGTTTCTTATCGATTCGTGTAGCATTCGCGATCAACTGGAGTAAGTTAGGACGCCCACGGGAGAGGTACGCCCGCCAGTTTGCGATGAACGTGAAAACTAGGATCGAATATTATTACTGGACCGGACGGAGCCCGTTAGGCCCAAAAGAGGCCCGTTTCTTTATTTATCAGGACGACTAATTATTCTTTCTGCTGTACATGAGAAGAAGAAAGAGGAGGATCAACGGAGGGGGAGAACCGACGTTCGAGGGCTGGTTGCTAGAGCCCTGGGGAGAGCGTCTCCAGGCGATCATCGGAGGATCTCTGCGACTCCTCCCTCATCTTCTCCCTGAATGCGGCGATGAAGAGCTCGGCCCTCAGGTCTATCCCCTCCAGCTGATTGGTCCCCGGAAGCTTCTCCTCGGCGCTGCCCATCTGCCGCGGCTCACTCACCCCCGTCTCGTCTGCGACGGCGCCGGCGGCAGTGTCGAGCTCGAGCGAGGGCTCGACGTGCACCGGGATGACGGGTTTGTCGGAGAGGTCGTCGGCGAGCTCGGGCGGCGGGAGACTGCGGCGGTGGAGAAGCAAACTCTGGTCGGAGGGCAGGCGTAAGGGAGGGCGGCTCTTGAGCCGAAACCGGGACGGAGGCCGGCGGCGGCCGCCGAGGATGGCGGAGACCCCGACGCTGATCCCGCTGGCGGTGCGTTTGAAGGCCTTGGACGGCCTGAGCCGGAAGCCCCCGAGCCGGAGCGCGGTGGCGAGCTTCCCCAGGGCCGTCCTGGCTGGCAGGAGCTTCCTTGTGATGCTTGATCGGTACATGGCGGCGACGGAGAGGCGCTACCCAGAGGGGTGTGTGGTGAGAGGGGAAGAAAGTCTCTGATGCAGTGGCGAGTGGACTGGCGGCGGGTGGGGTGGAGGGGGGCTTATCGGGCCGGCAAGAAGATTCCTTCCCGAGGTTGCTTCGAGACTAAGCGACCGCGTGCTCCCCACGTTTTCTGGGTCCCTGCGAGCTCGTCTTGCTGTCAACGACAACAAGCTCTCTCCGGTTCCTTCGTAAGTGGCTCCTGAGAGGTCACCCGACAACGCGGGGAATCTTCGCTGCAAGCCCCACCGCACGGGCACCTCCAGCCGACTTCACTCACGAAGGGACACACACACACGCATAGAGGTGATTTCTGACGTGGCGTGCATCGGCTCTCCCCGAGCGGTCCTCTCCCTCCTCAACTACTCTCCCCAGCCCCACCTGGTCTATTACGTCCATAGAGGTGAGGGAAGGGAGATCTCATTCCCGCGTGTGAAGGGAACAGATAGGAAAGTTGAATTGTTCAGTTTGGCTATGAGGGCCAAAGGTCGATCGATTGGTGTCTCATTACTGTAGAATGCCGCCCTTGAGAAGGTGTTCGAGAGGCCCTCTCCTCTTCGTCACTAGTTACTCTTCTGACCTAAAAATTGCACTTCTCCTGCTCGAGAAATGCCCTAATGACCTAACCGTTACAATGATGGAATCCTTTTCCCCATCACTCCTCCCTTCATACTATTGTATCTTTTCCGCCTCCTTTCATAAATCTGCATCAATCCCATTACAATGATGGAATTAATGTTGCATCGTAGCTACTTGATAACATGCAAACGATGACTTAGAAATATGCATTAGATAAGATGTATTTTCGGTTTTTGGGTACTATTTAGGATCTTATCATAAGATGTTTATGATTTTATTATTTCTATGGGTTCATCTATATTTTTAGAATTTTCCAGACTTTTTCCAGAATTGTCTCACATTTATTTGGCTATGAATTGAATTTTCTATTTCGAAATAATAATTTGGGAGTTTTTCCGGATTTTTCTAAGTATTTTCAGGATTTATTTCAATCGGGTGATCAGGATGCACACATCAGAGATATCGAACATCATTACGTATTGTAGTCAAAGCAACTAGAATCTGATTGGACACACACCCAACAGCCGACAGTGTATGACACCCAAATCAAGATTTAGCTGGATGGTGCATCTAAAAGTTTTAAGTGACCAAAATGTTTCCAACTGCTTTTTTTTTTATGAGATTTGGCTTCATTTTGGTCTTTCTGAACTTGGATGTAACTTTTAAATACTTTGATTTTTTAATCAACCAAGAGGAAACGGTGTTTTCAAGCTCCAAATTACATCAATATATGTATTTTTCATCAGATTTTGACCATCACTTTGCCCTAGATTTTTTTGATTTTCTCAAGTTAGCACTTTCCTTTGACAATGAATTATAAGAAAAAAGTGGTGTACATCATATATTGATTTCAAGGTGAGTCAAATCTAATAAAATTTAGAGTAAATTATAGTTAAAAGTTAGGATTAGATCCACTTTGATTCTTGAATCAACCAAGGTCCAAGCTCTAAATTACATCAATGTATGTGTTTTTTATTAGATTTTGATCATTGCTTTGTCTTGGACAAAATTCTCACTTTCTTCTGACAAAGAATTAGAAACAAAAAGTGGTGCACATCATATTGGTTCAAGGTGAGTCAAATTCTAGTAAGAGTTAAAGTAGATTTTTAGTTAGAAGTTAGGAATAAATCTGCTTTGATTTTTTACTCAACCAAGGGAGAAGGGTGTTTTTAAGCTCTAAATTGCATTGACGCATGTGTTTTTCATTAGATTTTGATCATTACTTTGCCTTAGACAAGATCTCTCTAATTTTCTTGAGTTAGCACCTCTTCTAATGTGGAATTAGAAGAAAAAAATAACATCATGTTGGTTTCAAGATGAGTCAAATTCTTGTAAAACTTAGAATAGATTTTAGTTGAAGTTAGGAATAGATCCACTTTGACTTTTGAATCAACCAAGGAGTAGTGTTTTCAAGCTCTAAATGACATCAATGCATATGTTTTTCATTAGTTTTTGACCCTCACTTTCCTTGGACAAGATCTCTCTAATTTCCTCAACTTAGCACCTTCTTCTAATGAGGAATTAGAAGAAAAAAGTGGTGTACATTATTTTGGTTTCAAGGTGAGTCAAATTTTAATAAAACTTAGAGTAGATCAATGTATGGAAGAAAAATGGTGCTTTTAAGCTCTAAATTACATCAATATATGTATTGATCATCACTTTACCTTGGATAAGATCTCTATGATTTTCTCAAGTTAGTACCTTCTTCCAATGAGAAATTGAAAGAAAAAAATGTTAGCTTCAAGGTGATTCAAATTCTAGTAAAACATAGATTAGACTTTAGTTAAAAGTTAAGAATTTATCCACTTTGATTTACTTAAAAGTTAAGAATAGTTAAATTGCATCAATACATGTGTTTTTCATTAGATTTTCATCCTCACTTTGCCCTAGACAAAATCTTTTTGATTTCCTCAAGTTGGCACCTTCTGGTGAGGAATTGAAGGAAAAAAGTGGTACACATCATGGTTTCAAGGTGAGTCAAATTCTAGTAGAAAAATAGGTTTTAGTTAGAAGTTAGGAATAAATCTACTTAGATATATCATTCTCTATTGATATTTTGATCTTTTCTTGATCATCTCATTTGATTATAAGAAATCAGATCATGATTTCTTCTCTTCTCTATGTACTCTTTTTTATTTTCATTATGTACATCACATCTTCTTCTCTCATTCACTAAAACTCAATAGAAACTAGATTGTTTCACCTCAATCCTTGTGGAGATGACTTGATTCATCACTGTCTACCAAGTTAGTATTTACATCAGATATAATTAATATAAACATTTTTTTGATTGAGAAAAACCTTAGCTTTAACAACAACCAAATCAAATCTTACTTATCACTGTACAATATCATGATGTTTCAAAGATTGGGAGATGTTCTTATTAGATGACTACCTCCTAACTAGATGAGACCAATCATATGTTTGACTATTATTTGAGACTAGATGTTCCAATAAAGTTTCACATCTAGTACGATTAAAAGATGTTGACTGTAATTAGTTGATCCCACAATCTTACATAATTGAGGAAGATGAAATGTGGGGTAAAGTAGGTGGTATGAGTGAGATTTAGTTGAGAGTTGATGATTCTAACTTTCTTTAAAATTTTGTAGAGACTAGAGAAGTCCATGGATAACTTTTTGTTAGTTTTCTTAGTAAGAGACTATTATCTAGGACCAAAGGCATAAGTAAATTAGATTGTATTCTTAAAATTAGATATAACTGTAATGTCTATCAGCTTGATACTACATGTGCACTTGAGCCTTGTGGAGGTGATACTTAAGTAATTATAATATCTTATCTATAAGTTGCTTATCCATTGTGGCAATGGGTGTAGGGGATGACTTGTATCTCAATAAGGCTAGTAAATTTCTTTTACACACATCCTTAAACGGTGTGATTTATAACATTATACGGAAAGAAACGCTATGAAAAAATTCTATCAAACACCTTTAGTTTAAAACAATAAAGGTAAATGTTCAGCCCCCTGTTGACCACTTTAGTCTAACAATAACTTTGAGGATGATATGTTATACTTTGCTTGAGTTGTGTACCTAAAAACTTGAATATAATAGTTTAAACATTACTCATGAAGTTTATGTCACACTTTGAAAGAGTTGATGATGGTATACCATATAGATGTGCTACCTAATATGTAAATAATTCTACTACCTCCTTTGTTGTAGAATTATTTGTCTTATATGTGTAACTATAATTTAGATATATATTTTTCTAACGTTGAACATGAACCTAAAAGAATTAAATGGGCTGCTTTAAGACAAAGTTATAGTTTTTAGATTTTGGTAGTCCTTCCCTAAAATTTATGGAAATATCTTCCTATATCTATTGTAGATTGAGAAGTATTTAGAGGCCCATTTGTTCCAATGATAATGATTTGTTATGTTGGTAAGTTTGACATTCCACAACATGTTGCCTAATTATATGTTTCATGCCAACTAAATAAATTTATTGTGTAATACTTTTGTATGTTTTGAGATAACTCAATGTGAACTTATATAAGATTTAGTAGAATTCTTTTAGAATAATTATAATTATGCTAGAGTGGGACAAAATTATTAAATATTTCTTATGTAATAGAGTCATCATCTAATAATATAATATATTTTTTTGGAAGATCTTTGTTAGATATGTGTTGAATTAGCAACAACAAGTGATACATCTCACCAATGGTACTTCCTTTGAGATTTACTTAATATCTAGTAACAACATTTTGGAGATAACGATTTTATTCAACTCACTCAAGATGAGTATTCATGATTGTGTGTAAGTTATTTCATTGTGTACATATTCTTTATATATGTTTTCAAACTTATAGTCAATAAGCTTGATAAATAATATATGATTTTAAAAGAGTTTCTAATATTATTCAATAGATATCTATGGTTGCTCTAATTTGTTTGGATAATGAAACATTTATTTCAAAAAATAATAATGCTATTTTAGAATGATCAACACTATGGTTAAAATTTTTCATTCATAACTAGTTTTAGTCCATTTTTTAGAAAGAACTTGACTAAAATATTTCATTCAACTATTGTCTTCTATTAAAATAGCTCTCACTTTATAATAAAAAACGTTAGTTTCTAATACAAAAGATTTAATTAAGTATTGTTATGACTCGTGTCCTCATCATGACTCATGTGAGTTATTCAAATATGTGTTGCATTTCTCTATTTCATTTGAACATATTTTTTAGTTGATTCATCAAGGGTTAGACTATTACTCTATAACCTACATCAAATTAGTAATAATATCCTATCAGTCCTAATAAGTCTCTTAATTTTTTGTATGTTGTTGGTTCCTACCAATGAGTTAGCATTAATAGCTTATCCTAGTCAATCATTCACTCTTTTAACTA